GACGACGTATACAAGGCTATAAGAGAGGAGTACTCGAGCCTTCCACTTCACGTTTCAGTGATATCGCCAAAACCGAGGTATCCAACAACCCGGACGCCATAGGATTGTGGGGATTTCTCTTCGACGACATAGATTACTACACCCGCCGGCCTGGCATCTTCGGCATGATTCACGACAACTCCTTGATCGATATGCGTCCTTATGATTCCAAAGACAGGGACTCCCACAAATCGAGATCAGTTGAAAGACGTCGCACAATGAAGGGCTGGTCAGGATTCATCGACTGCACCTACACGGCTTTAAGTCTGGAAGCGGGAAAGATCCGGTCTCTGGTTCACGGGTGCCTCTATCGTGTTCTGACGGACAAAGTTTATAACCAGGCGTTGAGCATCCTCGATTGTATAGAAGCCAGCGACGACGAGTCAGTAGGATGGAGATTCCTTTTCGCCAGCAAGAGCTGCATCATGTCCCAACGCTCGGTAGGCCGGATAATTGCTACCTGGAACCGCTTTCAGCATCACAACTGCCCTAGTATCCACGTATGGCCCAGAGAACGGACGATCGTAATGCATATATCTGGCTGCGTTATGAAACCGGTGACAACGAGAGCGGGGAAGCACTGGGTATACTCGACGTGCTACAATACACCGGGAATGCTCCATCTGCTTTGCGGGAAACACCGGGCTGCAACGGATGACGCGGCTGATAACATTAGAACGACCATGCACCTGATTCCTTTCTTCCTCCACAATGAACCGCCTAGGCCTACATTGGCTTCCAGTATGTCGCACCAAGCACTGTGCAGGCCACGGGTAGGACTCACCTCGACAACCGCTGCAGCGACAAACTATCTACCTGTAGTCCGAACCCCCATGATGCAACGACTAATCGTTACTCTTACTAATACTCGGTTCATCTCTGTTCCAGGTGTTTCTCTGCTAGTTGTCTTCGCGAACATGAAAAGGTTCGATCGAGGTAACAGGGGCAAGAGATCAGGGCTCGAACATATTTCCCTCCTCGTAACGGGCATGGAGAAGAAGCATCTATTGGAACTGACATCATCGAGAGACGACAAAGCCCTGACACGATCCGAATTATCAAGGCCACCAGGTATCGGATGTCGACCAACCAGGAATATAATATATGACTTACCATCCTTAGCGATATCACCAGCAGTTCTTACGGCGTCACTGAGCATACCGTTCCCCAGAAAGTTAATAGTTGACAGCTCCCTATCATATCTTTCGAACAGGTGCAATAAGCGATGAGTAATGTCATTAAGGTGGATGTAGTTTTCCATGCCGTAAGTGCAGACCAAAACACCTTTATTATCCTTCGGCAGTCCGCTAAGTAGTTCCATCAGGGAGCGCCAATAAAGGTAGAAGACACAGACGTCCACGTTGTCAGGCATACTTGCAGCCGTTATCATTCTTGTCGAACACGAAAGCCTAGTATCATGAAGGAGATACGCCTGGCCTAGTGCCCTCTTCCTGGATTGACGTATTGATCGAGAACCTCGTACCTCCATGCTGACAACTTCCTAGCAAGATCCCATATAGACGAGACGCGATAACCGTTTCATAAGAAGGTGCCATATCAGCCATGATAGTAGTGCAAAGATAATTAATTATTCCTAATCACAGCATGTCTTGGGATATACCGGAGTCAGCTTTGTCGTCGGTGCATACTAGCCTCGTGGCTCACGGAAACAATCCCCAATGCCCAGACATCAGAATCTTACAACCAGGATACGGCAAGGGGACAACACTAAATGATGGACGCGTGGCCGACACACGGATCGATCTAGTTGGATCGACAGAAACGAGTCAAGTGGTCAAGACTGCAATATTAAAGGTGCTGATACTGTCAGCGTTCTCATAGAGCAAGACCCAAGAGCTACGAAGAGTCTGTGAGGAGCAGCAGCAAGTACAAGTGGTACAGGGCTATTAAGTAAAAGCTGGAGGCGCTGGAAGAAATGGTGTGTGGGTTGTGGTTGTACCACCTGAGTCTTTGCACGTTCTCCAAACAAATGGGTGTTTGAGACGAAAACTGATGCCGATATAAACGTGGAGAGGTACAAGGCAAGACTTGTTGCATGTGGCAACGAGCAACTTTTGAAAGTTGATTACACCTTGAGTTTTGACGCAGTCATGAAATTTGGTACCGTCAAAGTAACTTTGGTGCTCTCTCGCATATGCAATGTGCCTGCACGACACGGTGATAGTCCAAGCGCTTCTGTCAAAGCCGACAAAGAGAAGGACCTCGACATTTCATGCGATTACCAAGTGGGATGCAAGTCAGCCAAGACGTTTCAAAGAAACATAGAGTCACGAGACATCTTGTTTTATTGCTAAAGAAGTCTTTGTGCGGACTAAAGCGAGCTGAAAGACTTTGAAGCAAGTTGCTACACTCGAAGTTGGTTGGTTTGGGATTCAGGCAGTTCACGACAGACATGTGCCTGTACGTCAAGCAGATTGACGGGAGCGTAACGGTTGTTGGTGTGTACGTTGACGATTTTCTGGTCACTGAAACTTCGAGCGATGGTGTAAACGAGTTTCCAACAACATGGCGTCCCTCAAGATCAAGGATTTAGCCATTGTAAACAAGTTTATTAGATGTAGTATTAATTTGAAGGTTGGTTGCGTGCTGGACCAAAAAGTGACAATAAACTTGCTGTTAAATGAGCATGGTTTGGGGTCAGCGAATGAAGCTCGAACGCCCATCTGCAACGAGGTGGATAATAAAGGCTTGTAATTGCTGATGCCGACAGCCAAGATGGGAGTAGCTAGTAAGTACCGGCCTTTCAACTCATCGTTGAAGGTCTATTGTGGGTCGCACGTAGCACTTCCCGGATATCTGTTTTGCGGCACATCGGGCAGCTCGGCAGACGCACAAGACGAAAATTAAAGACTGGAAGATGACAAAACAAGTTGCGATGTACTTGAAAGATGCGAAGACGTTAAAGATGTGCATTGACAGCTCAAGTGTTCGGAAGGAAGACATCAAGATTGAGAGGTGGAGTGATGCAGACTTTGCTGCGGACAAGTCCGACAGAAAGTCAGTATCTGGATCGGTGCTGACTATGGAGAGTGTTATATTGTCTTGGATCTGTAAGAAGCAGACTAACTTGTTGTTGAGGACTATGGAAGCGGCATTTACGTCAAGCGCGAAGCACTTCGACATTTGCTTTAAGTTTATCTGCCACTACGCTTAAGCTCAAATTGTGCAGCCAAGTTTTGTCAAGTCGGATGACATGACTGCGGATCTGTTAACTAAGGCACTACCGGCACCAAGTACTTTGATGTTGCGAAAGCTTTCCAGGCTAAAGGCCATTCAGGACGACGTCGAGGAGGATTGTTATAAGTTACCACTTCTCACAGGTTGTCAAGCGCTGAAGTGTCAACTTCAAGACCTGTTATAGGTAAGTTTCGACCTCACCTGATTGCTTACATATGTGATGGGATGAAGAGAGACGAATGATACGTAGGCGGCCAAGATGTTAAGGTGGATGGGACCGAAAGAGATGGTCGACATATGAAACCAGCATATGGAGACGTATGGACTGAACGCACGTCATCTGTAACTTGACCTGGTCAAGTTGTAGTGCAAGAAAACCACATGGTGTATAGTGTAAACGACAGAAATTAACAGGGAATACATTTTTGCAATACTGATATTTTCTACAGTTTGCGGTGCAATAGCAACATTATAGTGAGTAGTCAAAAGGTTCTGTCCGTTCACGTCAAGTCAAATGTTTCATAAACATTCAACATGCCACACCATGTCTACTTTATTGTAATAGCCGCAGGTTTTGTCTCTGAGCTTGAGGTAAACGTCTGGCACGAAGGCCTGCTGTTGAAAGGGCGCAATTGAAGTTCAAGGTTGCAATCCTCTGAGAAGGCAGAACAAACCTGAAAGAAGGCAGAGAAACTCTTAAGGACCCACCGAAAAGTGATCGATGGTAACGTACAGATAAGCTAGCTAGGATAAGAAGCTGTAATACGTATAGTTTTTCATTTACCTTTTGCCTAACAGACATGGATAAATGACAGGGTATGAGCTTGAGTCCCCCAGAAAGACTCCCGTGCAGCTCCTCTTGCCACTATCCTAGATGTGGCCGATGATATGGCAAGCATTAGCGCGGGGATCAATCAAACGAGTGGTTTTAGAGCTCGTAGGATCCCACATATCGTAAAGATCGACTTGAGAGACTCATCGGGAATCTGATGTGCAGAACATGTAGAGTGGTCCCAGCATGTCTCCCGCTGACCCGGACAACCGTGTGGGGAGCAATTCTAGCGTCTTCAGCCAGTTCTTGGCAATCAAACGACACCGGAATAGATCGACTCGCTGAGTGAGCAATGGGTATGCAAACGCGATACCGCAGTCTCGGCGCAGCAGCAACAGCAAATTTTCCCTACCGTTCAGCCTAAGCGCAAGGGAACATCAGTCTGAGCAGCATTTCTACCTGCTCTAACGCTTGAGGCCAAGATGCCGACTGTTAAGATATGAAGCCAACAATTGAGCGCTTTAATACAAAGGAGGAGTACAAGTGACTCTGAGCCGGGCGCAAACGTTAGTAACATCTGTTTTTAGACGAGCTCAACACGGCCCAACGCCTCAGCGGAGGTGAAAAGCCAAAGGAATACAAGATGAGAGCCCTTAATCAGGTGTTACAAGAAAGCATTTCTACAAGATAAAGAAGTTTTGAGACACGGTAATGCCCGCGGCTTAGCATCTAATGAACAAAATGCTTGAAGTATACGACAGCGAAGTTACTGTGAAACACGCCACAAAATTCATGCGGGCTTATAAGCAGAGCGATGGGTCCTGGTGTGGACCAGTACATTGATTTCAGTCATCATCTCTGTTCCTTGCATTGGATACAAATCAAATGGATGTAAGTTCTCGAAGATTATTTTTAGAAGATTTAGGAATTCGTGGTACGCTGCCACGAACGCCAGATTAGCATAGTTTGGTCTCCGGCTAAGACAATCACAATGGTTTACATCTTTTTGTTAACTGGCATTCACAAAGTATACTTACTGGACGAGCCAGAAGCCGCGGCAAGAAGAAGAAAGCGGGACGGCCGCTGCAATACAAGCAAACCTGCAAGTCGTATAGCCAAACCGACGAGCTTAATGACACTTAATGTCGATGATGATGTAGATAAGAATCTACCACACCCTATCTTTGAAGTAGTTTTATCGCTGAGTCGCAACGTCCAAGACAAGGCAACGCTGGTGTCTTGGGTGCGACAGCGCCGCCAGTTTGAAGCCAAAATTTGCAGCCGATGTGCTGTCACAGGTGAGCAGTACGAACACGTTGTCATTTACATCCACAACTCAATCGGGCAGCGCATTCTCGGTCACCTCGCTCGATTCGTCTTGAAGAAGCAGACAGCCTCGGTGATGGATGAAGATCTTCATCTGGCGATTACGTGGCGTTGCTTGCTCCAAAATTGCCTAGACTAACTCTTTACGACCAGCTCAAAACTGATATAAGAATTGAAGATATTAGGCGCGCATTTTGAACTATCGAGGACCACCAACCGCGGATATCTCTTTTATGTCAATTGTCAAGAGAAATTCACAGACCCAGGCGTGAGACTGACAAACAAGTGCTACCAGGTGTAGCAAAGCTACTTATGCACTAAGTGCAGAGGAAGACAAGTTCTATGAGCTTTACGTCTTAGGGTTAACAATTCTCTAAGGCTAGCTTTACATGTTCGTGCTTTCTGATTGTAACAACCACGTTTAAATGAGACCAGTCTCCACAAATACTATTTCTTTCACAAACGACTAATGCTCTAGCAACAAATGCTGTTCAATGCAGGCTTAAACTGATGAATATCATGTTTATTGTCTAGCACTAACATAAAAACACTTGTTTCATACTTAGTGCTAGTCGCTATTTAGCTGGCTCTGTAGCCTTCTTACTATATACACATATGTGTCCATTGTACTCAGCCAAGTACTATGACCCGAATGTATACCCATTGTGGCATAGATACAGTTACATCAACTCACCAAAGTACAGCCGGCATGTTTGCATATAAAATACACCCCTTTGTGTAAGTGCGATCGCACTTATGACTTTCCTACTATAAGCGCTGGTTTGGCTATGCAAGGAAGCAAGAGGAGAGAGGCGTCGATCAGTGTCCCTTGTGGGTACAACAAGGCCGTAGCAAAGATAAAGTACTTGATCCATGCCATGTCTTCCGGCCCCTAGTTTTTTTTTGTTCTATCTTAAGTACGATATGTTAAATCGATGACTAACGCATGTGAATCACAAGATTTGATCATACACCTTTTTTGAGATAATTGCAAAATGTTGACGGCCTGACCTCTTTACCAGTCCTTACAGTACCGTGATATACATGAAATGTTGGTCATCAACAAGCTTCCCACTAGCTCACTTGAAGAACTTTGCTATTGTATACGAACTGAGCAGTGGCTAATCGTCTGTATGATCGACTTGACTTATGGAATGATAATGCAAAAAAAGGCGAGCATCAGGATGTCCAAGACATGTATAGGATAACAGACAGGACCGTTACTTAGATAAGGCCACGAGTGCGTTAAATGTCAATCCAGATGATGACAAGCTGTAGGAAAGATAAAGGTTCCATTCTGTTGTTCGCCTAGTGTACAACTTGCATCTTTTCATTCCACCAGCATACTTGCTTTGTTGCAAACGTGACCATTTCCTCCTCCATGCATATACATAAGCTTCAATATTTTGCCTTTTCAGCTTTGATTATTGTGAAGCACACTATCCACAATCCATGTCCTTGATGAACATGTTCTAATATTCACAGTAGCATAAGAACAGCATGATAAGCAGAAAGCTGTCATTCACACGCTAGCAACATTAGTTTATGTCTCCTCCTCAACATCCGGATCCACGATTTGGCGCAGAGCGTCTGGAACAAAGTCAAAACCCGCTTGCTCCACCGCAGAATAGGGCTCAATCAGGCTAGAGCCGTCGTCGTGAGCTGCAGCTTCAAGAGCGTCACACGTCTCCAAGAAGGTCATGGCATCCAACTCATCGTACGTTAGCTTCGTCGCCTCCATGAACTTCTGAATACGGTAGTTGCGTGCCAGCTTGTTCACCGTGATGTTTTCGGGCGACTGGACAAGCTCCGTGTCCACGATGTTGATGCCGATTTCCGTGTCGCTTGTCATGCTGCGGCGGTTCCAGTTGGCCGAACCCAGCGAGACGTACACGTCATCGATGATCACCAGCTTGCTGTGGATGTACAGCTCTTTCGACTCCTTGGTTGAGTACAACTTGAACTTGTCCGGATATGCCTTCTGGATGGGGGACACCATGTCGTACAGGTACTTGGCGTAGCCAGTGTAACTGGCCTCGACTGTGCGCTGAACGATGATAATAAGACGCTCGATGCTTGGCATCATATCCATGATAGCCTCTAGCAGCTCTGGCACGAGGATGAAGTACTGATCCTGAATGAAAATGTAGTTCTGCGCGTTGCGAATAGCCTTGATACGAGCGTGGAAGATAGACTGCTCACCCTGTGGCGCAAAGTCGTAGTGGTCGTAGTCGGGGCTAAATGTACGGCACAGCTGCACAGCATGGGTGCCATCCTGAGGGATGTCTAACGGTGTCTCGCTCGCGTCAATAGGCGGTAGCTTTGAGAAGTCAGGATTTTCAAAGTCCAACAAGTCGTCCAAGAGATCCTGCGACGGCTTGTGGTCTGAGTTCCAGCGATCCAAAAAGTTGCACGCTACGTCCTTGGTGGCGGGACCTTCGATACGCGCGTGAGCATCCAGCCAGCCGTTCCAGAGGCGCTTGATACCCGTACGTTCACGGAGCTTGGCCTGGTCATGCTCAATCGTGTCCCAGCGGTCACTGGTCAGGTCTACACCGCCAACATAAGCCACAAGGTCGCGACTCTTGCGTATAATCACAGACTTTTGGTGGTGCGACGACGTAGCGTGTGGCAGACGGTCGTCGTACACGAAGCGCGCAGGGCCATGGTTCTCTGGTGGCGGCAGCGAATTGATCAGGTCGCGCACTTCGTGATTCTGTGCACGCTCCGTGACGTTTGACCATATAAGCATGCGCCAGTCGGCACCGCGCTTGACAGCAGTCTCAGCTAAATTGCACAACTTGGTGTCGGGTTCATGTGGTTTGAAAGGCACATTGCAGGTTCCCCAACCTGTGAGATACACAAGATCTCCACGACGTACTTCGAGCATATCATCGGCTACGTCGTTAAAATAATCAGCAGTGGCAGCGTAGAGCTTAACGTTGTTGCCCTTGGTATACAAATGCATTCCTTCGCGTTTGTAGCCATCACGTGACGTGCACATTTCCTCTTCGGTTAGAAACCATCGTGATGGTTCAAGATAAGGCTGATCAAAGGGAGCCGTGGCCGATTTTTCGGGCTTTTTTTCCTTATGAAAAGGGTCAAGCACAAATTGAAATGCACGACTAATTCCGTCCATAAATGTATTGAGACTAATGAGATACTGGAATCACGTGTGTTGGAGACGGCAAAAGGGGGAATGACCATTCGTTATCTTGCGTATGTGGGTTGACGTGGTTAGGATAGAAATGGATCGGGGTTTTTTGAAATGGTTTCTAAGCGAATATATCAGGAGGAATGCTTTTCTTCGTATGACATACCTTTTATTAGTAATAAAAGAGATTGTTGTTTTCTTTTGAGAAAACCTCTTGTATAATGGGTATGTTTTGCGCTATTTCTATTTTAGAGTTGGCAAAATAGCGTCCAAAGCGTTACAAAATCAAATGATACTTTTTAGCTCTTATATCGATTGAAGAGTGTTTTTGCATTCTCTCCTAGCGGTTGACTATAGCAAGCCAAGTGACTAATTAATATTACGCTTAAGAGTAAGCTACGATTGAATTGGAATTGGTGCTGAGTTCATATAACAGTTGCTTCGATCTTGAGCAAACAAAAAACCACATAGACCGAACGGCTTGATGACACTTCATTACAATATCTTCATAGTCGGACAATAAGCTGGATCGAGTTGTCCAAGAATTGTACATTAGATGATGGCAATCAAGGTAAGAAAGCCCTGTGCTGCATCTCAAGTTCGGGGTCAAAGTCGGTGTTGGCACTATTCTCACAGCAAGAGACGCGCTAGCAGCATGCATTGAAATCGACTCAAACTAAGCACGAATCAACGCTACTGCGTTCATAAATGGATGAGTTTAAAATGGTTGCATGCTTATGGTAAATATATGGTGATACTACAAAAGCATATAAGGTACCGGCTTCATATTTGCGACTTGACATGTATTGAGTTTTTCGGCCACAGTCGGTAAAGTTTGTTATTGTCTAAACTTCATGTCAGCATCGACGTTCAATCAATTGTTTGAATGGTTAAAGCTGCAAGCACAAATTTCGTCGTCGACTGTTTTTTCCACAAGATAAAGCCCGAACTAGATGCAACAAGACCATTTGATCAGCGTTGCCTTGATCGATTCGATGGATCCTCACAGAAAAAGCATATGAAGGCGTCACGAAAACGGCCACGGACGCAAAGGTATACCGTTTGATTTGAAGGCAGCCGTATCAGCTCTCTACAACTCTACTGGCTACGACACAGCCAATGGCATACTGGAGGTGCATCGTCGAGATCACGTGTATCTTGCAGAGGTATGACCTGCAATGTGCCTTTCAATGCCACATGAGTTCGATTCAAGTTGTGCAATGTGGCCGAGCGTCCTATTGTCATTGTTCAGCGCATAGTCAAGGCAGATGCACTGAGTACGCCAAGTACCTGTACGACATGGTGTCCCCCATCCAGAAGGCATATCCGGACAAGTTCAAGTTGTACTCGACCAAGGAGTCGAAAGAGCTGTACATCCACAGCAAGCTGGTGATCATCGATGACGTATACGTCTCTTTGGGCTTGGCCAACTGGAACCGACGCAGCGTGACGAGCGACACGGAGATCGGCAGGACACGGAGCTTGTCCAGTCGCCCGAAAACATCACGGTGAACAAGCTGGCACGCAACTACCGTCTTTAGAAGCTCATGGAGGCGACCAAGACATACAGTGGGATCGGTCGCTGGATACGTGTGATGCTCTTGAAGCTGCAGCCCACCACAATAGCTTCAGCGTCATCAAGCTGTAGGCCGTGGGACCGTAAACTCCAGTTGAACCTTGTGTCGGTTGGTCTGAGTCAGCTTGTTGATTCCGGATGTTGTGCTAGAGGATGCCTCCTGCAAGAAGTTCAATGAGTTCGTAGAAAGGCAAAGAAGGCGGAGCAGTATCTCTTGCAATAGCAGCGTAAATAATAAGGCTTCCAACAAGATGGAGCCGTCTTGATGCCATTGATGGATGATAACATACTTCTGTGTGATAATGATACCTATGTGAAGGTCTAATGCCCGTCCAGTTTTTGCTTTGTGGTCTTCGGCTGTCATATACAGCCTCAGGAGTTCTTGCACGTGTTTTAATGCAGCCTATGCTCATGATCGATTGTGGTTGTTAGTATGGGAAAATTGCGAGCCTTGTTGCTGTCAGTCATAGCAATCATAGCGCTGAGCGAGTAGGAGAAGATGCCATTATTGGTGTCTATGTCAGAGTGTTCAATAGGGCTTATTGCCTGGAACAGCTACACAACTTTTCGATTAGCGCGGTATCAGCACGTCCATGGACTACAGTTTGCCTGTTTTGTTATCCTGACATCATGAACTCCATCATAGGTATGGTTTATAATCTTTTGCAATGTATCTCTGTAAAATCACAAAGCAAACAAGTGCGTACAAAGCAAATAGTCACGAAAAGATTTGAGAGAGAGACAATAGTACTTTGGCATTACAAGAAGTGTCAGTTTGCGCTAATGACAATGCTATAGTGTCATGAATGGATGACGAGTAGGCAGTGTAAACCCTCGGAACCACCGCTTACATAGAGTACATCTTTATCTTGAAAAAGAGCAGAGCCGTAAGAAAGCCGAAAGCGCTCATAAGACCACCGAGGAAGACGGGAAGCTTGTAGCCCAGAGAAGTTTCAACGAGACCGGAACCAATGGCAAAGTTCAGCAGTTGACCAAAGCAGTTTGCCGAGTTCAGAGCTCCAACGTAAATGCCGATTTCCTCGTCCTCACCGAAAACGTGGATGACCACTGGCACAATGAGAGCAAACCACACGGCCTGCGTGATGCTGGTTGTGGCAACAATAAACACGTTGAAGGTCACATTGGTCGACCAAGCCATGATTATGAGCAAACTCTGCGGAATTGTCGAGATAGTCATCATCCACTTTACACCAAACGTGTGCACTAAAAACGGCAATGTCCACGAGTAGATGTAGCCAACGACGTTGAAAAGTAGATCAGCGCGGCCACCAGCAATACTGACACCGTGGTTGTATGCATCCTGCTCGGGGGTGCACGGGTCACAGCTATCGGCATTTTCAGCAGATCCACCGTACACTTCAATACCGAAGAACTGACCCTTGTTACCATTGTAAGCTGTGAATCCGTACTGGACGAAGAAGAAACAGACGCCATAGACGGCAAGTACACGAGGAAGTGTGCGAATACCGTGATAGACGGAAGCAAAGGCGTGTCCAATGCGCTTCCACGTCGAAACCGCGTCAACCTTGCTTGGATCCAATGGAGTTTCATTTGCAAACACGACAGCGACGGTAATGCAGATAAACATGGTACCCGACAACATCCACATGAACTCGTGCAAAGTATTGTGAGCAGCTCCAAATAACTCAATGTAGCCAGCAACAAGAATTGAGCCCAAGGTTGACCAAGCCTGACCAAGAGCAGCACCCGTTGTCTGACGATCGCCTGCAAAGTCAGCGACAATAAGCATGGCTGGTGTTTGGACGACGTTGACGGTGATGTCCATCCACAAGTAGAAAAATACAGTGAGGATCGAAGTCCACGTGCGGTTGATTGGCTGACCATCAGTGCCGTCACCATGATCGCCAAAAGCTTCACCTATTTCCCGCGTGTAGCTCATGGCAATCCAGCAAATGATACTTAGAATACCCGCGACAATCAAAAAGGGTCGACGGCGACCAAATTTTGCAGTGCTGCGATCACTCAAAACACCGATGCTGGGACCTACGAGCACACCGACTATCGGACCAATAAATTGCGTGATCTGAACGGCAAATTTTGGTAGCATCGTTGACAGGTAAGGTCCAAGCGCAGCCCATTGAGCTGACCAAGCCATGTTGATAGCCATCCGTGGCATTGAAACCGCAAGCAATAACCAAATTGACGGATGAGACAAAGCCGTTTTGTCATCATTGTCATCACCAACTCGACTAATCCTTTTGGGTGAGACTTGAAGGTTAAATCCTTTCTCAGTGTCGGTCATAACTATCAAGATGTTGCAATAAACCAGATACTACTACTACTGCTGCTACTGGTGCTGGTACTGCTGGTTTGGTGTCAAGTTGATAAGAGAGGACAAGTTGTAGAATGAGACAGAGTTGAGAAAAAAAGGAGGTAAGTTTTATGCTGACTCGCTACATGCGAAAAACCGGGCATATTGAACATGCTCATGAAAAGAGTTCGGAGCTATTGGACAGCAATAAAAAACGGCCATTCTATTGATCAAGAACTCGTCGAGCTCGAGAAGATACCGGTATAATGCAAAGCGCTTTTTTGAAGAGGTTACTTACGTTTTAATGAGCATTTTATTGGTATTGTAGGATATACCGGTAGCTGCAAAAGCGCTTTTTCGAAAGAGGCTCACCGGTTCCATTTCAAGACGAGTTATAGGTTATTAAATGGCTACATTACTTGTATGACATGTTACTTCATGCTTCAGATGCTTACTCATTTCTCCACGCATGCATCCAATCACTGAATACAGCGCAAACTGATAATACGTTACTTGGATATTGTCGCCGCACATGTTGCATCTGTATTGTTTCTGTTGTTGATCGTGGCAAAGTTGTGGAGTCTCGACTTGAGGAAGCTGATCTTTGTGATCAGACAGAGCATGACAGTGGTTGAATCTCGTCCAGCTTCAACGATAGCCTGTGTTTTAAAATGGACATGTGCCACGTCGATGTCGATATTGTCCTTCTATTGGCATTCTGGGGTACAGCGGCCCATGATGAGTACGCTGGTGGGTTGTTGCTGTGAAACTGACCTCTCGGAGTCTTTTTTCGTCGTGATACTGACGAGACAGACTTAGTGCGTCGAAGTGAGTAGCGTCGTAGTTGGTGGAACGATACTGGATGAGATCTACTGGTGTTATGCACGAATGGCTTGTCAGAAAACCAAGCAAATGGTCAGACAATGGTGAGTTAGATACGCATGCAGGTAGATCGATGTCAATGACTCGCAAAATAGTCCATAGAGCTAGAAAATCAGAGCTTATGTTCGCAAAGAGCGAAAAGACATGGTAGGCCTGACAGGAAGCACGTACGTTCTGTAGTCAACTAAGGTAAGCAAGTACCGGGACGATTTGAAATCTCAGGGAAATGCGAGCCTGGTGCTAACTGTGTGTCGTTGAATTGTAGACAGGTGATCACATCGATCTCATTGGCAATTTATCACCATTAGAATATGAAGTATGCAAGTCTAGTGGATGCATCAGTGAAAGGACGGCGTGATATTTTATGGTCATGTTGGTGTAACCATGCTCATCCATATAACTGTCTTTTGGCAACGAAACACCTTTATCACCAAATTACAGTAAATATGTATAGCTTATTTGATATCTTCGTTCAATGGTGTACGCTACACTTAACCGGTACAGTGTTCCATTTTTTTAAAGAAAAACGGAAGTACGAATTGCATTCTCGGAAAACCTCAGGAATCGAGTCAATCGCCGTGGTCAAGTGCGTCTCAATATCTCTGTATTGCATAGTATCTGTCCTCGTTGCTTCTTCTTTTCTAGTATAGATGAACTCTTGCATTGTATTGTGTCTTATCAGTTGCAAAGACTCTATTGTTTCCTGTTATTCTCAAGCCTGGACCAATGGAGAGTCAAGTGGTGGAACTCACGGAGGCGGAACAGGCCCAGCACCAACTACAGATGGAGCAGCAGCTCAAGTCATTTTGGGCCAAACAGCTGCTGGAGATGGAGCAGCTTGAAGTCGGCAGTGAACAAGGTTGAGAATGGGCGTGACTTTGTGCTGATAAATAACATAAAAACAAAATACATTGCTGACCTCTTTTGTGCCTTTTGAATACGCCATTTGACGCAGACTTTAAGAATCATAATGACCTGCCACTGGCACGCATCAAGCGTATCATGAAGTCAGACGAGGATGTTCGTATGATTAGTGCAGAGGCACCAGTTCTGTTTGCTAAGGCCTGTGAAATGTTTATTCTGGAACTCACATTGCGCTCGTGGGGTTACTCGGAGAAAAACAAACGGCGAACGCTGCAAAAGGAAGACATCCAGACGGCTATTCGGAACACAGACATCTTTGATTTTCTTGTGGATGTAATCAACTAAAAAAGTAGCTGCAGACCTTAGCTTTTAATGCGATGATCTTAGACGGATGTTGGAGGAGAGATTTATGTTTGACAAATACGATGAATCAACTCTTGATGGTGCATATGAAAGCAGCATTGACAGATTGGCTAGTGTGGCGAACATTAATTTTGATTTGTCTTGATTCAAGTAACGTTTCAATCCACGTCATCAATATGTAGCCATATTGAAGCTCAAGACAACTCTTGCAGCAAGTCCTGCGTTGCACTATGCTTCCACTCCATCTGCCATTGTCTACTTTCTGTAGCATAGAGAAAATGATCTAGCTATTTTGTCTACCGGTGTAAATAGGACAGTGGGCAGGCGCATGGCCGACAACCTTTGCAAAGATAAACATAAATTCAGTGTATGACCTAAAATTGCCACTAGGCAATGCTAGTCATCTCATGTCGATTACAAAGCCATAATCTTTGCATCACTTTCAGTATTACCGACCTCTACATAGTATCTGAGTACGCTTACAAGACACCAAGATTGATCAAGACTGACGCTTTTGACCTAGTCTATTATCCCATGCATTGACAGTCAACAGTAGAAGACTGTCAAATAATTTCAGTGCATTTGTTTTCGATGATACTACAGACGATCTCTATCGGATCAATGAATGAATACAGGAGTACTTACTATGTATCTTTCCGTGTAAAATGACCTGTGCTTGTTCAAGTCTCGCCTGTTTGATGCACCCTTTGCTTTGATGCAGTCAGTACCCGAAGTCATCGTACTTAGTACAAAGAACTACGTCTTCTAACTTGAAGTTATGATTAATCCAACTATAGAGACCGAAACTTCTACTAACTAACTCTATCATTTGTCATTCAGAGCTGTCTGTATCACTCGACATTGTCACAATGCTGTCTACAACAACATTCCTTCGTTCTTCTCAATCTCTTTGGTCTTTGTCCTTGACTCGAACGCTGTCTACTCTGTCCTCAAAGGACCCAATAGGAGTCATTGGGTTGGGTCAAATGGGTGGACGAATGGCCGATAATCTTCGGAAAAATGGATACAACCTTGTCGTCTGTGATCCTGAACCTGCTAACATACAAAAGCAGGTCAATCAAGGTGCAATAGCTGCTGCCAATGCTAAAGAAGTAGCAAAGCAATGCAACACTATCATTACGATGCTACCATCCACTGCCACCGTCGAGTGTGTCTACATGGGAGACAATGGCATTCATGAGGCTTTACATAGTGACCATTTGTTGCTTGATTCAAGCACCATTGACCCTATCTTTACCAAAAAACTTAGCAAAGAATTGCATGATCGTGGAGCAACTTTTGTGGACGCTCCAGTGTCTGGTGGCGTAGCTGGAGCTCAGAACGGGACGCTGACGTTCATGGTGGGTGGAGAGGTGGAAGAATTTGAACGTGTCAAGCCGCTGTTGACGGCTATGGGGAAAAACTTGGTTCATTGTGGTGGCAGTTGTAAGTATGAACAAACGTAGTTGACATGGTGAGAGAAAAGGCACTGACATTGCTATGATGTACTTCATGTGGATGACCAGCTACGGGCCAAATTGCCAAGTTATGCAACAATCTAGCGTTAGCTATTCAGATGGCGTCCATTGCAGAGGCTATGAACCTCGGTACGACACTAGGTATTGATCCTAAGATCCTCAAGGACATCATGGACACGTCCACAGCCTCGTGCTGGTCTACCTTAGTGTAAGTTAGAAGGTATCTATATCCTGCTGACTTAGCCGTGTCATTTAATCAAAAACGTCTTGATGTTTGGCTACAGCAACCACCCATACCCGGGCTTAATGGACAATGTACCATCGTCGAATAACTATGAAGGCGGGTTTGCTGTTGCGTTGCACCGGAAGGACCTGGGACTTGCCATGGACTGTGCCAAGCAGGCTGAAGTATCGGTACCTCTAACCTGCCAGGTGCACCAGCTCTTCAACATGATGGTCACGGGTGGCTACGGCAAGAAAGACTTTAGCTATCTCCTTCCGTATCTTAAGAACGGTAAGTAAAAAGCGAAAAAGGAGACATATATAAACAGCGTCACGCTGCGGAACCATGTGTGAAGTTGACACGTGGTCGTGCCGTACGAATTTAAAATGAAATAGCGCTAGTTCAGCAATTGTCCTGGCGTCGTGTTTTGTTGGCTGAGCCGTCGACCTTTGCTGCATCGGGGATCTGCTTGCGCACGTTGAGTCGTTCGTCTACTTTGCTCAGATTGGAGAGACTAGCGGTAAAGCGTCAAGAAGTTGGTGAGCCCAAAAGTCCACTCAGTGTCGTGATGGCGTCTAATCTATCTTAGGCATGCCTTGACAGCCCACAGCGCATGTTGGCGATACATGTCAAAACCAAAAAACAGCAGGTTGTGATCACTGTACCCATGGAGCTAGTTTCTGTCTTACTGCAGGCTTGTTGTCATCAGCGTATCATAACCGCTCACAATTGACGTACTGAGGTGATGCGATCGCTAAAGATGAGGATTGTGATGTGACCGTTTGAGGTACAATATCTTATTTGCTTGTGCTTCGTTAGTTCCTCGTCAAGTTCACTAAGCTCTAACGACATCATGACCCTTGGCAGCCTTTTGACTGGCCTTCCATTTTGCATGTCCTTGTTGGAGCAAACCGACGTGATACTCCGTTCGTTCGAAGTGGTAGATCAAACTCTGCATCCGTTTGTCAAGCTCTGCCAGTCGAATCAAAACTGCAGCAATCGGTGCGTCAATTTTTTGACACAACATCTCAAGCACATGCTCGACTGCTGAATGAAGCTCACTGCGACAGCTTTCAAGGAAGAAAACCGGGTAGAAGAATGCGTCGTACTTATTCTCTTCGTCAGCGTTTTGTCCCACTACATCACCGGCTTCTTGAGATCGCAAACGCTGCATGCGTTTCTCGATAGCCTCGTCACTCTCAGCGAGAACTCCATCAACGTGAATAGCTGGGTAGGCGTAGAGACTGTTTTGCCTAAGCTGCTCACTAAGATCGCTATCTGAAGTCACCGATTCGCCAGTTTGTTGAATACGTTCTAACGCTTCGACGTGCTCCTCGAGGCATTCGGGGATGCCAGAATGATCAGGATCTGCAAAGACGTCTCTGGCAAACCGAACTAGTGCATCCAGATCGCGCCGACGGAGGAGGTGCGCGTTGTGTACTGCGGTAGCAGGTGGTGCCTTGCGCTTACCTCCACTGCCGTCACTTTTGGTCTCTTCGTCATCATCTTCTCTGTGCCTCCGCTCGTAAATCCACTCATGCCAATTTGCACACATTTTAATCGCCACCACCAAATGTGCTACAATGCCAACCTCAGACTCAAGAATCCCGTCTACTCTGTCTTTGTCTTCCTTGGTTGGCGTTAGATTGAATCTAGGATAGCCATCGACCTCCGCCTGAAGCAGAAGTGGCGGTTCTGGTTGATCTCCTGCCACATTCATGAAACCCGAAATCCACTGAAAGTTGCGAAAAACTTCGTCAGGAAATCCCATGGTTGCGCAAATTCGATGCACAGCTAGTGGCACGTTTAACGGAGGCAGACGCAACCCCATGTGATACATAAGGTGATTGGCAGAGTAGGCAATCTGGATAGCATTTGCTCGGTGACGCTTCATCAAAGACTGGAAAAATTGAGATACAAACTTGACGGAATCCCGTACATCAGGCACATCAGCACAAGTTGTAGCCAATGCGTTATGGTATGGAATCACTCCCGTGGCCACCCAGTCTGCAAAATCACTCGGCAGTAGCCCCAAGTTAAGCACACGTGACGCAAGCATCAAGATTCCAATCATATCTACAATCGAGAATTTGTTGAGCGTGCCAGGTAGTCGAACATTTGTCCTGACATACTTTTCTCCTCGACTTTTCTTTTTTGGTGCTTCACTTGTCTTGCTCACCTCTTCGTCTTTTACTTTCATTGGAATTTTGTCATCAATCTGCTCTGTTTCCTCATCTTTCTTTTTCTCCCACTCGGCATCCCATTGCTCTAACAAATCAAACGTTACAGCAGGATCCATGCTCTTTTCCTCTTCCCGAGTATAATACATGAAAAATTCATTGTAACACCGTAGCAATGGCTTTGTACCTTTAATTCCCCACGTGTGTAAGAACTTGAACCACAATGCTTTCACTGCTCTCGGGTATTCGTCAGCTGGAAACGTATTTGGTCCAATCCGTTCCACGAGCGTCCGAGCCATAGCATCGAGCACCATTTGCGTCGCAATAACGCAGTCCAGTAGCTCTGGTAGCTTGGGCTCTATCTTTTGACATGGCTCTTTCTTTGGTCTTGTATTCCGCGTATCGTCAATGCAATTTCTATCGGAATCTCGCTTCTTTCGGCGCACAACACGTTGCTTGAGTGACTTGAGCACAGTCGTCATATCAAATCCCATGTCCTCGGCATCCTGCGTCTCATTACGTGCCTGTAGAAAGCTCTGTGTACCACATAACTCACATACCATCTCACCAAAGTAATTCTCACTAAAGAACGAGTCGCCCACGGCGCCACAGTTCTGGCATTCCAACATCGCATCAACGTGAGGAACGTCACTGGTTTCTAGGTCATGTAGTGTACCTTATGCTCTAAATAGTTTACCTACTTGTATAAAATTACAAACAAACAGGTAATTAGAAATCACAGGTTAAATTGACCTATATCGGGCAAATACTGTATCAAGTATGCAAGGGTATTAGATTTTTGCTAAACAAAGCATTTGACATGAATCACTACTAGCTCGCTCGTATCAAGTCACAGTTCGTGCCTAGGTGTTTAAAGCTTGTTCATGGACGCAATGTCTACGGATTGAACATAGTCCTCAAAGCCCTCAATGGCTTCTGTAATGTCATCCAATAGCACCATATCATCAATAATGACACACTGTACCAGTAGTTTCTTGATACCAAAGGCCACAGGCACCAATTTATGGCCTTCACCCCACGTCAGACCTTCCACAGGTAATGCCTTGATCTTAGCAGCCAGTTCCTCAAGGTCTGTCTCAGCCTCCCACGGTTTTACCTCAATCACCACTTGTGAGCGCTCAATGGGCTTCTTCTTCTCCTTCTTCGCACCCTTTGCAGCCTCAGCACGCTTAGCAGCAAGAGCTTTGGCAGCCTCATCGTCCTCATCATCGTCGTCGCCAAACAAATCGTCGTCGTCATCGTTCTCTTCCTCGACCTTTTTAGGAGCAGGGGCAGCCTTCTTTGGTGCCTCTTTTTTGGTTGGAGCTGCCTTCTTATCACCTGCAATAGGTTTCATAGGCTTAGCGCCCTTTGTCGGGTGTAAGACCGAGAACTTGGCGGTCTGCACTAGCTGAAACTTGCTCATATCCGTCGGCATCTTTATGATTACAGGGTTAATTCACAACTGACGGTCAAAGTGTTTGGGTTATATTATTATAACCATTCGTTTCTATTGTGAGATTGCAATGTAAACAGATGAAACAATATGACAATAGAACCTCGAAAAATCGCATTAGAGACTTTCAAGGTTGAGAAAAGATGAACCCAATTGAGGAGTTACAAGACGTTGTCGAAGCGTATCGAGCTATGGAACCGGTGCATAAACTCATGGAACGGATCAAGACACAGTTTGCATACGATCATCAGTGGACGTCGTTGGAATTTCAGGTACATTTTGTGTTATGTGTCTACAATTTTCACTTCAAATAGTAAAGAGCTTTGAAAGTGAGTTGAGAATGACAAATATTTCTAGGCTCAAGTCATGCAAGTGGTAATAAATGACCCTATATGTGAAGAATATGCACCACAAAAGCAGTATACGTATAGGTTACTAAAGACTTATATGGATGGTAGGTTGCAATTCGATTTAATGTCTAGATTCTAGATTTCCTAGTAGCAAAGAGAGCGAGAGAGTGGATGGATATTGTAGTAGTTTATTCACTGCATTTCTCCTGAGCTCGCAATGTGAGCTTATGGACAATGTCACCGTTGAAATGTTGCTATAGAGATTGAAGCAATGCATACTGATGCTCACGATGGACTAATGGAGGCGTTGATGGAGTTTGTGTTGAATACTAAATTCGTTGATAACTCGCTGAGTGCTGAAACCATGCACTACGTGTCGTATACGGTACCGACAACATCTGACTCGTCCGTCATTGTGACTTGTCGAGTGGCCTCGGTGTTTAATGAGGTAGGGCTTAAGATCTGGGAAGCTGGCTGGCTGCTTGCCGAGTATGTCATTGCGTATCAAGACGAACTTCGTGACCGAAACGTGCTTGAGCTTGGTGCCGGAGTGGGCTTGACGGGCATGGTGCTAGCTTGCGTTTGTCGTGCAACTCGCGTTGTGCTCACAGATTATGCACCAATTGTGCTGCAGAACCTACGATACAACGTCGAGATCAATTTGAACAAGTTCATTTGTCCTGTTGAGGTGCAAACGCTTGAATGGGAAACATGGCAGCCAACGGATCATATAAGCGAGCGCCCGGACGTTTTGCTGGCTGGAGATTGCGCTTATGATGTCGAAGCTTTTCCAGCCTTGATGCATGCTCTCCAAGTATTCTTTGGAAAGGATGAAGCAAGTATATGTCAACATCGGCAGCGCGTGGCAATTTTTGCGGCTACCATTCGCAACCAGAAAACATTCCAGGAATTTCTCAACCAGCTTGCTGCGCACTGTATCGACTACGTTGATATCACGGCGTCTACAAGAGAAAAGATGGGGAAACACATTTTTTCATACCCGAACAGGGACCAGATTCGCCTTTGCCGCTTGTCGAGAGCTGTTGTTGACACGTCAGTAGAAACGGAATAGGGAGCTGAGTTTTGTCTCTAGACGACTTTGTGTATTTAATTAGCTGGAGTGCATCCTGATCCATAGATACAAAGACGTAGACGCAAATAGTAAAGTGCCATTAGACTGACATCGTCCAAAGTCCGAGTTATAACACTAACCGTTTGACTCATAGTACTACAGTGAATCAATAGAAAGTTTTGTCAGCAATTGCTTCACATGTCGACCACGTAGCACATACTTTATGTTGTTCGGTCCAGCAGAATTGCGCGACATCAATGAACAAGCCATGGCATCTATGCAGGATCCCATTCTTGAATCATTTGTTGACTCAACACATTATGGCAGCTTATTTGCGTTTCATCGACGAGCTCGCGCGATGCAGTCGTTTAACGATTCATGGAGCTCTCAATCTTGTCCAACACGTGCATTACTAGAATATTGGACCAGATGTGGTGCTAGTGTTACTGCACCTTGCTTCTACAGCTGCAGCCAAGTCGTGCTCCTTCATTCCGTCCACTCGTTATTAATAGACGCTTAACTTCTGAAGATCTAATTCTGTAATGATATCCATATTACTGCCACTTTCCTCTCCGGTTGTCTTTTTCTTTCTGGCCTTTGCTATACAACATACTTGCACCACCGTTATCTACCCCATGAGCTCCAAGCTGTTTCCAAGCATACAACACAATACCAGCTATATGCGACACAATACATGTTTAGAAATCACCTAGCAATTGGACTATTATAGCGGTTAGAGACGTCAAACTGGCACTTGTTTCTACATAATCACTCTCACTTGGCCTCGAGCTCAGCGACTAGCTTGTTGTCCTTCTCCTGGCGGCGACGACGGACGTCGTGGTTGAATATGCGTGCAATGTTAACTTCCGTCGTAATGATCGAGTCACGTAGAAATGACAGATCCTCCTCAATCTGGGCCTTAAACGTTCCAACAAGACAAAAACCGCCAACATTGTGTCAAACATACAACCTCAATGTCAAGAATCACTTCATGCAGTATCTCTCCGTACCAATTTTTCGGTAGCTAACGCTACATTTTTCTCCAGCAGCTTCTGTGCCTCTTCGTATGGGTACTCAACCATAACCTGAGCACCCAGCCAAATACAGACCTTGCCTATGGAGCAGTCTACTGCCGCCTTGGCATACACATTGTCGGCCAAGTTGAATTTAGTCTTGAGTACCTCACCTTCTTCTCGCTTCGCAATCAAGTGCTGCACCACGTCTAAATCTTTCTGCGTGTCCGGAATCTTGCGCTTGAATGTCTCACGATTCTTCTGCAGACTTGTCTCCATGAACTTGTATTTACTATACATTTGCTGCAATGCACCCACAAGAGGCTCAATGTTGTTTACACCGCATGTAGCCATGAATGAGTCGACGGAATCCTATATTAATCATGATACAGAATCCTAATGTTAACAATTCACACGAATATTACTAAAAGATCAAGATTTACACAAGAAAACGTACGATAAAAACAGCAGAAGGTATACCACGCGGATTACGCTCACCCATGATAGTAGCGTTGAGACGTGCAAGTGCTTCTGGGCTCTCAAGACCCTTGAAGGTGGGGACGGAGGTGGCCATGGCTGGTGAAATGCAAAATGATGGACAATTGCTTTTTTGTGTGTCACGCACACTAAACTAGCTACGAGAAAGTTTCTGAAAGTTAATATCTTATGCTGACGAGCTACAGACTGTATACATGGCCGTGTATACATGCCTCTACGCAGCTCTTGGCCAACTGACGGAGACAAATACACACAAGCTATACACGTGCTTGTAATGCAGTCATAGAGCTTGGAGGCAATTAGTTGATGAAATAACACCAGTAACACTAGTATACCGGCAAAAAAAAGGTTGCGACTCCAAATGCGAGACACTCAATTACATGTGATATGTATCTGATAAATAGACTTTTGTAGCAATACGGTGCAACTACCTTAACAAGGACATCTAGTCCCCAAATACTGCCAGACTTAGCGCACTTAATTCTACCACTTGCCACATCCACACGCACTGAGCTAGTGCTACAATCACTACAAGCACCGTCAACGCCATCTGCGCAATACTTAGTATCCTCATTTCTTCTTGATACTTTGTCGTTATGTCCTCAATTGCCTTTTTCTCTATCTCTTGCACTTGAAATGGTTGTATTGCTATCTCTTCGACTTGTCGACGGGTTTGTTTATCTCCAGTACTTTCAGTCTCGTCAAATGCATTCTTGTTAGTCGAGTCAATTTCTCTGCATCGTAGTCCGTCATGGGTGAAATAGTCCATTATGATCTTTGTCGACAGAGAAGCGTCATCATGACGCAGCATGACAGTCGTTCCAAGCGCTTCATCAGTCGTATCAACCTCGTTCTCGTGCCTTGACATTGCTGTTTCCACATCCATTATTGAATCAGCTTTCAACACAGTCGAACTTCTTAATGAATTTCGGGCTCCTGCAGGTCGAAATCTGTCGGCAAACAATTCCAACCGTTGCGTCCTGATGACAGGATTTTGAACCACTTTTCTCACGTTGAAATGGCTTTACAGTAATTACAGGCTACGTATCAAGATCACGTCCCGTTTTCGTGACTGGTTCCAGATGAAGACTGTAGGCATTGACGCAGCCTCGCCTCGCACGCTTCACTTCAAGTGCGAGTCTTGTGATTATTCTACGGACGAACATCAGACATTGGCAAGAATGACCGAATCGAAACTAAAGCGGCAGCGAAGCATGAAGACGTCAGTTGTTAAAGTGCATCTTGTAGAGCTTATTCGTGACCTTGATAAGGCCAACGAAGAGACCGACAAACACTACGGATTGTTCGTGTGGCCGTCAGCGCTTTTACTATCTCAGTTCGTTGCCCACGAAGCAGACTCGCTCTGTCGCGATAAAGTCGTCCTGGAATTAGGTTGTGGTACAGGACTCCCGTCGATTCTTGCTAGCTTGTGCGGGGCGACAAAGGTATATTTAACGGATCGACCGGGCGCACCGGACATTCAATGCAACGCCGAGACCAACATCAGACTCAACGGCATTGAAGATCGTGCTGAATTTATATCCTTGGCTTGGGGTGACATGCACGTGTCCGATGCAATCCTTTCCGTCTTTCAGACAGTCCAAGTCATTCTCGCCGCTGACTGTTTCTACCAATCTAAAGGTTCAGCCTCTACTTATTTGCATGAACCAACGTCATCTTACGTGTTTAACCTTTGGTTTGTATCGTCTTTCGTAGATTTTGAAAAGGTGCTTGCGACTGTAGCTTTGGTCTGCCGTTGTAGTCTTTCAAGCTCGTGCACGTTCTACTTTACTTACCAACTACGCAGTCTCAACGAATCGATCGCACCTCTACTATCTCGTTGGGGTTTAGTCGCCAAGTCAATTGCCACGAGTAATCTTCCATTCGACAAGAACTTTGATAGTGACCAAGCCGTGAACAATATCTATCTCTACCAAGTCAATGCTCAGTTTTAGCATATCTATCTCTACATATACAATTGATGGTAATGGCTCAGCTTCGCCTTCTATCTTATCTCTCTCATTGTGCTTCATTCACAAATACTACATACAAAAGAATGTATCTCACATGATCTAGATAGCGTATGCGTGGGCCTCTCGCAATAGCTTCTTCAGCCTTACAACGAGAGATTCAAGTTTATATTTCCTACATACATGTACTGATTCGATTTGTCATATGCTCTAATAAACGAGTGAGACTGTCCCCATCCGTTTACATACATACATACATAGTAGTAATACACATAGATAGATAGTAGGGGTGAATTTCCTATCTCACTTGAGAATCATACACTACTTTTTATCATCATTGCCATTCAAATTTGAGTTTGAGATGGCTTCGAGAATGGTGTGTGTATTCTCCATTTTGATTCGTCGAAATATATTTCGTTTCTAACCAATCATATATTTGAATGTATGTGGTCGTGGACGCACACCACACTCAAATCTTCCCATCATGTTCACTCGAGTTGCTCGCATTGCCACACGCTCTGCTGTCTGTCGTAAGCCATTTGTGGGTCTACGTGTATGTCTGACACGCGACAAGTCTTCTCTTGCTGCATTGCTCCACGTACGTCTTGCAATATATCATTCATATCTTGCCCGAAACTGCTTGTACACAGCCTCAATGTTACTAAACTATTTGCTGTTTATTGAATGTAGCGCGAGATCAAGGAAGAAAAGGCCAATTGCTATGAGGAATCAGAACTAGAGGATTTACGTGTCAAAGTGGAAAAGGTGTTCAAGATAAAAGAGTCTTCTGGCTGTATGGACGTCATTTTGCAGGGCTCTGTGGATGATGACTCGATCAAGATCAAGTTCAATGCACAGGACACCGTGGAGCTTGAGGATGACGATATGGGATATGACGAAGAGCACGAGCAGGAGCAAGAGGAAGAAGAGGAGGTAGATGAGGAAGAAGACGATGAACTTCCTGGTGTTCGCTTCACGGCGGATGTGATCCGTGACAACAAAGGGCTGCAGTTTGACTGTGTAGCCGGTAGTAATCTGACGGTGGAACGCGTACGCTACCTGCATGACTTTGCCAAAGACGATGAAGACGAGACGCTATATTTTGGCCCTAACTTCATCGATCTCGAGCTCGACGTGCAAGATAAGTTTTACAGCTACCTGGCCGAGCGCAAGATCGACGACGAGTTGGCACAATTTATTGCGCAGTTTGCTGATCTAAAGGAGCAGCGCGAGTACCTGACCTTCCTCGAAGACGCCGAAACCTTTGTCAAACACTAAACATAACGCACTCGTGATGCATACGCCTCACTTGAGTTTCGTGACTGCCTAATCATAATTTTTGTAAAGAGCCTCACTCATCACTACTTGCCATTCACAGTCGCCCGTGACGGCTGCCTTCTTATTGCTGCATTTCTGTCTACCCTTGCATTCGAGACATCACACTTTGCATAAGCTGAGAAACTTTTGGGTTTGACATGTGACGCATAGCGGCAGATGGGCCCTCGCTGTCCACATCACGGAAAAAGCCCGCCAGGTCTGGGTCCGACCGCGCCGCTACGAGCTCGGGACTGTTCATGAGGCTGCTCATGTCGGGCATGCCGCCTCCAGCACCAGACTAGCACCAGCACCAACACTGCTGTTTGGAGCAGCTCCGCCGCCCATGGACCCCATGAGATTGTTCAGCATGTCCGGATTCTGCATCATATTCTGCGCCATCTGCATCATCTGCGGGTTCTGCATCATACCCTGGGCCATCTGCATCATCTGTGGATTGTTCATGATGTCGGCAAGGCCGCCTCCACCACCACCAAGCAAACTTGCCAGATTCGACAGGTCAGGCATGCCTCCTGCGCCTCCAGCTGGCGGTGCTGTTCCTGAAGTCGAAGATGCGGGAGTTGTCTGCATTTGGTTGCGCTTGCGCTCGGCTTCTGCAAGTCCGTCGCAACAAGCAGCATTCGCGCTGTCCACCTCAAGTCCACGTCGGAATGTGTCTACAGCACCGTCAAAGTCCTTCAGCTGTATCTGAGCACTTCCCATCCGCGAGTACGCTTTCACGTACGCCGGCTTCAACGAGATCGACTGTTCACAGTGATCAATTACCTCAAAGTATTTGCCCAAGTACAACAGAGCTGCCGCCAAATTTGAGTGGTAAATATGAGACGAAGGTCCGTCCGCTGACAACTTTAACGCCTCGCGATACAACTTGGCAGCTCCTTCGTAGTCTTGGCGATTCAGTGCTTCATTGCCCTGAGCCTTTAGCTCCTCAGCTTTGGCTTCTTTCTCCTCCTTGGACATCTCGGGCTTTGCGTCTCCAAATTTCTCTTTAAACTTGGCCAGCGCCTTGGACGTCCGCATGGCATATTCACTGGACCCATGAGTCGTATCCTTAAAAAATCCCTTGGTCTCTAGTTTTGCCAGCCACTTCTTCCACAGCTCCGGGTCTGCAGCAACAGGAAATCAATCAGCACGTCAGCTTCTATTTTCTTTCTCTTCACATTACTATACATCAGAAGAAACGAACAAAACCTACGCTTTTTAACAACGGAATCTTCGTCGACTGCCGACTTGGCTGTCCCCATCTCCAAGTCCAAAGCCTTAAGTCCAGCAGCAAAGATCTCGTCAAATGAAGCCTCACCATTGACTTTCATCTGTATTTTTTGCTCTTCATTGTGAATATCCACGCCAAATGCTTCGCTAGCGATAGAAATAACAGTAGTAAAAGAGGGAATACATTAATGACTCTATGATAAATAAGACATTTATGACTTGTAGAGCGACTTGGAGCATGAAATTTACGTGAGACGGGACAATGCAGCGTCTATTTTTTGAGAGTCAATGTCTTCACGTGTCTTAAGCGTCTCTATCCACGCCAGTGCGTTAAATAGCGTCGCTTCACTCATCTTGTCCATGACGACGCCAAGCAAATCAAATTCTCCCTTTATTCTCGAAACCAACGCAGTTCCAGTCATATGATTGGTCGAGACAACCTAAGGAGCAATATAATTGGCCAAAACATCATCAAGCCCAACAAATGGCTACATCTCGTTGACTGATACGAAAAGATTACTTCATCATTCACTCGTTCTGTAGTTTTTCAATTTACATTCAATACTTTTGGTGTACAATTCGATACAATTCATGACTATTTCTAAATGTTTCCTTAGCATTTAAAAGTCATTTGATGTAGATGGAAACGATATATGGACAAATGAAAAAAAAGCCTTGAATACATGATGGGGACAAGGTGTTCGAGGGACTTGGTATATACCAACGTTTCTAGCGATAGTATGGAGGTCGATAGGATGTACATAAGAGATGCACATGACCTGAATGAGAGAACACAGGAGACTTACGTTGTTGGGCTAGTGATATACCGAGTAGTAAACGTTTTTGGCTCATAACCTTTCAAACGAGAAATTTACCGTAAGAAAAGAGAGATGTTAGTTTTTTTGCTTTCGTGTCGTATGCATCGACCAATTCTTGTGGAAAGTATGCCACGAGTCATACGTTATATTAATCTTCCTCTAGCTATGTGTTGTGTCGGACAAGAAAGTGAACGACCAAAACTGATCGTGTAGCCCTTCCAGACAAACACGATCTTGATATTTGTCAGTGAGGGTCGTCGAGGAATCGACGGCTATGTCGCTAGAGTCAATGGCAAAGGCACATTCAAATAACCTGAAGTGGCTCGTAACTTGATGTATAAGCTTTTGAAGAGTAGCTGATAAAATACTTAGACAATGTGATTATTCTAAGTCCTTCCTTCGCATTGTTGTCAAGAAGACGCCTCGACCAGCGGCGGAATACCGGCAGATACCGGTATGACCTTCATTCAGTAGTACCGCAATCATTCCTGTGATTATGGGACAATATTTACGCCACACGTGGGTACAAGATTGTGGGTACATAATGGGATCTACGTGGCACTCGCTGATTGGCTGAAGTAACTCAATATCCAGTAAAGAATCCAGTAGAGTGTATCCAGTAGGTAGGACAAGAGGCTTAGAGGTAGCAAGTAGCTTGTGAACTAAGGACCTAAATCAATCACTTTGCATTTAGCACCAAACTACGAAAGTGACCTTTTCTTTAGCTTATGAGCCCAAGCCCCGCAGACTCTGCCCCCCACCTTCAACTCCGACTTCGCCTACGCCATGGACACCTCCGCTCCGACCCGAATTAACAAGTTAGACGAAACCAACTTCCACACGTGGAAGCTCAAGATGCAGATGGTGCTCGAGGAACGCGATTTTTGTGGGAGATTGTGAGTGGAGAGGTGAAGCTGGAGCACTGCGCAACCGTTTTGGAACAGACGGGGTTCAAGAGGAAGTCGCGCAAAGCGCTCGCAATCATCTGTATCGCAATGGAAGACTCGCAGCTACCATTGGTCCGGTCAGCTAGTGGCGTGCATGATGCATGGTCAAGATTGGAAGGACATTTCGAGAAGAGGAGCCTGGCCAACAAGCTCTTCCTTCGTCGACGTTTCTTCACGACGATGATGGACGAAGGTGATGATGTGCTGGAGCACATTAACAACCTCAAGACTCTGGCGGAGCAGCTCGACGCGGTCGGCGCTCCGGTCAGTGAGGACGACTTGGGATCACGCTTCTTGGAAGTCTGAGTGAATCGTACCAGTTCCTCATCACGGCGTTGGAGTCGAGAGCTGACACGCTGACATGGGAACTCGTGACGTCTCGGCTACTACATGAAGACATGAAGCGCAAGGAACAAGGTGGCGGTGCCGAAGGAACTGCGCAAGGTCAAGCGTTCATGACTAGTGACAACAACAAGCGCAGAAGGCGTCCGGAGAAGAAGAAGGTCGGAGCATGCAACTACTGCGACAAGCAAGGACATTGGATCGCAGAGTGTCCTTCGCGGATCCAAGACAACAACAACAACCAACAGCGGTCACAGCGTGCGAATGTGGCGCGCGAGGACGAGGATGCCGGTGACTATCTCTTCTCGGTTGGTGGTGGGAGCAGCGCCAAGTCGAGTATTGTATGGCTGATCGACTCGGGTGCGACGCAGCACATGACGTGTTCCAAGAAGTTCATGAAGAACTACAAAACCTTCGACCCAGTTAACGTACATCTCGCGGACGACGGTGTGGTACAGGCGATCGGCAGTGGCGACATTGTGATGACAATGAAGACTCCGCGCGGGATCAAGAAGGGTGTGCTCACCGGTGTGTGGCACATTCCAAAACTGTCACGCAACTTATTCTCCGTTGGACGTTTCACCAAGGATGTTGGACCGGTGATTTTTGAAAGCGATGGGTGCTTCGCGGAGTCGAAGAATCTCAAGTGGAAGCTCGGCGCGAGAGCTGGCAAAGGATTGTTCAAGCTGTGCATGACACCGGTAATGCCTAACGAGGCCAATGCGGCAAGTTCGGAGGATCGCAAAGGGGACACCACGTCGTACCTCTGGCACCTTCGACTTGGTCACATTGGCCATGGCGGTCTAGACGCCATCGTCAAGAAAGGCTACGGTATTGGTCTCGACATGACGTCAGTGAAGCAGTGGGAGGTGTGCGACGGATGTTCACTCGGCAAACAAACGCGAGTGAGCTACATGAAGTCATCGTCGAACCGTGCGAAGGAGCTGTTGGAAGTGATTCACAGCGATGTATGCGGCCCGATGCAGACGTCGACTTTCAGTGGCAAGCGCTATTTCGTCACGTTCATCGACGACAAGTCGCATTTTTGCGTCGTGTATTTACTCCGAAACAAGTCGGAGGTTGCCGCCAAGTTCGCTGAGTTTGTGGCATTCGCTGAGACTCAAACCGGCAAACGTGTGAAAGTGCTTCGGAGTGACAACGGAGGCGAGTACACCTCGGGCGCGATGGCCAAGTTCTGCAAGGATCGCGGCATCAAGCAGAAGTTCACACCGCCATACACGCCTCAGCTGAATGGCGTCGCGGAAAGGATGAACCGGACGTTGGTGGAGTGTGCGCGCTGCATGATGGAGCATGCCGGGATGTCCAAAGAATATTGGGGTGAAGCGGTGATGACTGCTACGTTCCTCCGAAACCGGTGTCCGACACGCGCCATCAATCTCGACAAGTCGCCGCACCAAGTGTGGACTGGCAAGAAGCCACTGTTGGCGAACCTGAAGGTGTTCGGTTGCCATGCGTATGTGCTCGTTCCGAAGGAAAAGCGGTTCAAGTTTGACGCTCGATCTGTGAGGTGCCGTTTCCTCGGGTACTCGGAGCATGAGAAAGCGTATCGATTTGAGGAGCTATCGAGTGGCCGAATTGTGGTGAGTCGCGATGCCAAGTTTATGGAGGACATCTTCGACAGTGGAAGACGCGACTATCGTATGTCTAAAATGTACGTCGTCCCTCAAAACAAAGACGACGATGAAGGATCAACGGACGGAACGACGGACTCAGATGATGCTGAAGAAGAAGAAGAGTGGATTGCACCGGATGGCGATAACGAATTTAACCCCGGTGACAAGCGGCATCCTCGAACACAGTCGCTGGAACAAGTGTCGGAGATCCCACACCCCAAGCGTCAAGTACCATCGACTCAACACTCAACGCTCGAAGACATGTCTGCGACTGCTACGGATCGAATGGACTTCGAGGCGGCCCACGTCGTGTATTCAGTGGGAGAAATGCCGACCACGTTCAAGTCGGCGATGGAATCCAGCGACGCGGACAAGTGGAAGAAAGCGTGTGACTCGGAATGTGACGCGCTACGCAAGAACAAAACCTGGGACGTTGTGCCACTACCGAAGGGACGCAAGGCCATCGGTTGCAGATGGGTGTTTCGAGTCAAGGAGAACCAGGATGGCGAGATCGAGCGGTTCAAGGCGCGTCTGGTTGCCAAGGGATTTTCGCAGAAGTTCGGCATCGACTATGACGAGACGTTTGCACCAGTGGCCAAGTTCACATCGATCCGAATCGTGCTCAGTTTAGCTGCAAAGTACGGACTCAAGTTGCACCAGATGGATGTGAAGACTGCGTTCCTGAACGGTGAGCTGGATGAAGATATCTACATGGAGCAGCCAGACGGCTACGTTGATGAAGACCATCCGGACTACGTGTGCAAGCTCAAGCGTTCGCTGTACGGACTGAAGCAGTCGCCGCGCATGTGGAACCAGACCATCGACGATTTCATGCTGAAGATGGAGTTCGCCAAGTGCGAGTCGGATCACTGCGTGTACGTCAAGCGGGAAGGCGACGACATGATTTTCGTGGTGCTCTATGTGGACGACTTGATCATCGCGAGCAGTAATGACGAGCTGATGAAGTCGACCAAGAGTGCTCTCAGCGATAGGTTTGAGATGACGGATCTCGGCGAACTCAAGTACTTCCTCGGGATGGAGATCAAGCAGAACCTCGCGGCTGGAGAAGTATCGCTGCGACAGTCCAAGTTCGCGCAGACCATCCTGACCAAATTCGGCATGCAGGACAGCAAACCTGTGAAGACTCCACAAGACCCTGGACTCAAGTTGACGAAGAACATGTGCGAGGGTGGCTGCCACCACGACGAAACCATGGCAGGTGTACCATATCGAAGTGCCGTCGGTTGCCTGATGTACTTGATGGTGGGAACACGCTCGGACCTTGCGGCTGCAGTGGGAGCTCTCAGTCAGTTTGCTTCGGATCCATGCCCCACGCATTGGCAGGCACTCAAGCGAGTATTCCTGTACATTCAAGGCACAAAGACACACGGCATCGAGTTTCAAGCGAGTGATACGGACGGTCTTCGCGGCTATTCGGATGCATACTGGGCAGGCGATGTGGAATCTCGACGCAGCACGAGCGGATACGCATTTATGATGAACGGCGGATGTGTGAGTTGGCGCAGCAAGAAGCAACGAACTGTAGCACTATCGTCTACGGAAGCAGAGTACATGGCGTTGTCGGAAGCCACGCAAGAGGCAGTGTGGCTCAAAGCGTTTCTGCGTGAACTCGGCGAGATGGCAACGATGAAGCTGTCAAGATCTACGAGGACAACCAAGGCTCCAGCGCATTGGCCAAGAATCCCGAGTTTCACAAGCGCACCAAGCACATCGACATTCGCTACCACTTCGTGCGCGAGAAGGTGGAAGACGGTCAAGTGGTGCTGGAGTACATTTCGACGAAAGACATGCTTGCAGACATCATGACAAAGCCGATCACAGCCATGCAGTTAGAAGTTTTTCGAAACAAGCTCGGAGTTCAAGCGCCGAAGACTGGCGAGTCGAGTGGGAGTGTTGTCAAGAAGACGCCTCGACCAGCTGCGGAATACCGGCAGATACCGGTATGACCTTCATTCAGTAGTACCGCAATCATTCCTGTGATTATGGGACAATATTTATGGGTACAAGATTGTGGGTACATAATGGGATCTACGTGGCACTTGCTGATTGGCTGAAATAACTCAGTATCTAGTAAAGAATCCAGTAGAGTGTATCCAGTAGTAGGACAAAAGGCTTAGAGGTAGCAAGTAGCTTGTGAACTAACACGGATGTTGCAACAGATAGCAGGGCTAATCGAACGACCTAAATCAATCTCTTTGCATTTTGCACCAAACTACGAAAGTGACCTTTTCTTTACGCATTATGTGCTACTAAATCTATTTGACATATCCTCCTGGAAAATGCTCGCAACATCAATTTGACTACAAAATACACGGCATTTCCGCTATGACAAGCAGTTTTGCAACATAGATAAGTACCATAGAGATTGACAATGTGTTGTGTCGTAACTTTTTGTGTTGTGTCGTGACTTTTTGTGTTGTGTCGTGACTTTTTGTGTTGTGTCGTGACTTTTTGTGTTGTGTCGTGACTTTTTGTGTTGTGTCGTGACTTTTTGTGTTGTGTCGTGAGGCAGACGGCTACCTTTATTCTAGGATTTGTCAGGGATTAGGTAACAACTAATTATATGACCTTACACATGGACTTTGTATCATGATTAGTTACTTAATGTAAATGCTCAAACAATCGACGATGGCCTTTTTAGTGCTGCGTCTTGTAAGACACATACACACACCACTTGCGTACGCAACATTTGAATAATAAAAGACAATGGTCTTTTATTACGTTTGGTGTTTGTTTGCTGGAGCCTTCTTTGGAAGTGCTCTAGCTAACTCTGTGGAAAAAGCCTTGATCACAAATACAACACATTTGCCGGATCCGTACACTCCTGGAACGTACAATATGTCTGTCTTGAAGTCACACGAAGGCGATGAAGCGAGTAGCTCTACCGCTATACAGCACGGAGACGGCGAAGTGAGTAGCTCTACCGCTATGGAGAACGAAATAGGTGAGGAGAGGGTTACATTTTCCTTCTCTGGCTTTGAAGACACGATATCTCGGTTTACCAGGTTTTTTAAGACAAAGGTCACGATAGATACATTGAACAGGTGGGTGAAGAAAAATAAATCTCCAACCGCCGCTTTTATAAGGTTTCGTCTGCACAAGGCCGGGAACAAGTTGTTTGAGGACCCAGATTTTATGCTTTGGATTGAGTACACGAACATCGTCGCTCCAGACAATCCGTATGAAACTATAATTACGACCCTGATGAAGTTCTATACTGTCGGTGATTTGTACAAAATCCTTGAAGCAGCAAAGATGGACTCGGTGACTACTGTTCTTGCCACGAATCTCCAGAGACAACATATAAGCGAGTGGTTACAAGTACCCCCTATCCATCCAAATACTATCTTCACATGCTTGGAGCTGGATCGTGGACTGGATAACATGTTTTTTAATCCAAATCTTCCAGTCTGGACCACATACTCCAACAACTACAACCTAAAATACCCGATAGAGAAGACATACGAAGTTGAAGCGTTATTAGCAAGCTACGGACCCCAAGCTGTGTTTAAAAAGCTTGTAGCGGCGGAGAACGTTCCCGAAACGAAGGCATTAGCTACGAAATGGCTGAATGAGCTGTTGGATTTCTGGGATTTCATACATGTGGAACCCGTAAAGGTATTTGCGTTGATGGAACTTGATCGTGATCTGCATGGTCTCCTCACAAACCCGAGTCTGCAAAAGTTTGAGCAATTCTTGGATAAAGTGTATGCAGGTGGATCACATGAGGAAATGTTTGCTCGCGCGATGATAGCTTACTACTCCGAAGCTGCAGTGAATACAATGCTTGAAGCGGCAAAGGGTGACCACAGGACAAGGGAAATAGCCACGAAACTGCAGGCGGGGCTGCTACAGGTGTGGAAGAAGGACAATGTCGACGCAGGGTTAGTTTTCATGTCGTTGGATCTTCACTTTGACCCCATTTACTTTGATGAGTCAGGCCTAAACGCCTGGTTTGGGTTTGTTGAGCTTCTTGGGAAAGACAAGTATAATACGGTGATCCGTTCAATGATAGCGTATTTTGGGGATGGTTTCATTTCATATCTGTTGTTAAGCGTGAAGAAGGATTCGCATTTTACAACCGTGGCCTCTGACTTGCAGGCTGAATTGTTCACGCGTTGGGCAAGACGTGGAGAAAAGTCAGATCAAGTGGATAAATGGTTATACGGGAAAGAAGGCAAATCAGATGATGACCCGGAGAAAACGCTTTTGCAGATATACAACAGGCGATACGAAGAAGAAGAAGTTTGGCGGGTCGAACATGGTCTTTTGAAGGAACCACCGATGGTTAGACGTGGCAACACGTAGACTAGGTAAGCATAGTACGGTCGTTTGACTATGAAAGGCATCTGAAGCTTAACAATGTCACCTAAAGATTAACACCATCCCGAACTGGGGTTTACAATATGCCACGGTTTCTTTCAATTTTCCTTGTCTCGTCGTCTTCAGCATGGTGATCAATCAAAGATGACTAAACGTCGAGCAAAAGCTTTTTCGATACAGACTATATCAACCACAAAGATAACAAAGCTTGATAGGATACTCATGGCATTTTGCTGGGGAAAATGTTGCTTACTGTGCGCTTTCGTGCTGTCTATATCAGTCGCTATCATCAAATTGCGAGCCAAACGGTAATATGACCACATCGATCGTAGCTTTCTCGTAGCACAGCAAACGAGGATCGAGCGGATAAAATTGGGCTAACGTATTAACATGCACCAAGATACTTCAGACAAAGCAAACTTGTTTGTCGACTCAAGGAATTTACTCGACTCAGACAATGTATGCAAACATAAGAGGATGCATGACGCCCACAAAGCATACATATTGTGGCACTGTCGACGGCTTTTGTGGCTGCCGTGCATGAACAAACCAATACAGGCGAAGCTTGCTTGTAATAGCCGATACCATGTAGCTGCTGCTATGATGCTCGTGTGGTAATGAATTCTGCCTCGTCATGTCTATTTGCTACAACTAACTACCTGATGTGGTCTTAAGTGCTTCCTGTGCATTGATTTAGTAATAATACAGGTAGGTTGGTACCTTTACTTACTGTGCAGGGGTCTCAATCAGTTACACGGTCCTACTTGTTTGCTGGAAAAATATCCAGTGACAATAAATATCCCGCGTCCTTGCCACCGGTACTTTATCACACTTTTGACAGCGTGTTTTACTATGCTTAGGGCCACAACCATCGCGGCTGTGAGACCATAAGGTAGTTAATTATTCCAGTGGTCATTGCCACACACACACACACAAACTTATATACATATAAATCTTTTGAGTAACCAAGTGAAGATCAGGACCGGAAGGCTTTCAACAGAACAGCTGCGCCGAGCAGCAATGCAGTGTTGGTGCTGCGACAAAGTCGACGGCTGGAATTCATCATTTATCAGCTTCGATTGTTCAAAGAGTGTACAAATACATATGCAAAAACTAGGTAGGTTACAATGGATGAATGAAGGATGGATGGTCAGTGTAACTATGACAAAGTTTGGGTGCTCACAGAAGGAAGAGAGACCAAAACAGTCCTCAGTCCTATCACTATGTAACAAATTAGATATCTTCACACCATCGCTTTCATATCAAGAGATCCATGAACGAACACTAGTACTAAGACAATACATACCAAATATGCTACATATCACTTGCTACGAACTAAGGTAAAAAGTTACTGAATGATGCATTTGTCCATGGCCAGTAAGTTTGTTTGTACTTGATATTTGTATGAGACCTGACTGGTCAGTAGCAAAAGTCGTAGTATATCAACAGCATGTTACTATTCGTCGAAATCAGTATTAATTCTACCAATAACATTAACCTCAGCATGCATTAATGGAAGTCGCTATTAAAACGTTTCGACGTGACATGACCGAGTCCCACATAATCAAATGTGTATGTGTCACTCAGTCAGCCATAGAGATACAATTGGCCGAGGAAACATGACGCCCATGACTCCTAAACGTCAATGTAGTAAATTTGGTGAAGGAATTGACAATAACACGGCAGATCCAACCTATAAGCATACTTTCATTAGAGTCTCGACAGTTTGTTGATTACATGGAATGCATGTCAATCCGTAGCGCTCCAAGGCTAATTAATGCGCCTAATAATGAGAGAGCACCTCCCACAAACACTGGTAACGCATACCCAAGCGATGTGTCCACGAGTGCAGCACCAACCAAGAAATTGAGCAGTTGACCCATACAATTGGCAGAATTCACGGCCCCAACGTACATGCCAACCTGCGCAGAAGTCCCAAAGACATGCACGATGATAGGCACAACGAGCGCGAATACTGTGGACTGCGTAATAGCAGTCAAGACGACAATCACCACGTCCAGAGCAACAACTTTTGTAAATGCCATCACCATGAGCAGTGCCTGTGGAATGCATGCAACCGTGACGACCCAGTGCGCACCAAGACGGTAAACCAGGAATGGTAGTATCCATGAATATAAATATCCAAACACATTGAAAAGCAAGTCAGCTAAACCACCAGCAATCTGGACGCCGTCGTTATAGCGCTCTTGGTCCTCCGTGCAGTGACTTAAGTTGCAAACGTTTGCTTCAGTCGAGTTACCACCAAAGACTTCAATGCCAAAAAACTGACCCTTGTTGCCATTGTAGGCTGTAAAACCGAACTGGACGCAGAAGAGTACGAGACAATAAATTGCAAGTGTGTGAGGAAGCGTCCTCAAGCCACGAACAATGCAGGAAAATGCTTCACCAATACGCTTCATTGTGCTAGCAGCTGCTTCGCCCGATTCTAATTCCACGTCTTTAGAGGGTAGTACCTCTTCCTTAGCAAACGCGCATACAGCACCCACAGAAGCTAGCATAGTTACCGAGAGCATGCCGAGAAACCAACGCAGAGTTAAGTGTGCTGCGCCAAAGATGTAGATGTATCCAGCTACACAGATGGATCCGAGTGTGGAGCTGGCCTGTCCGATACTAGCCCCCAGAGTCTGACGATCGCCTGCAAAATCCGCGATAACGAGGAATGCAGGTGTTTGCACCACATTAACAGTAATATCCATCCACGTGTAAAACAGTATCGTGAGCCAAGCAGTCCATGGTCGACTGTTTCCCGAGTCACCAAGAAGTTCTCCCAAATCGCGTGTGTATCCCATCAATATCCAACACGCCGCACTGGTAACGGCTCCATAAATCAAGAATGGACGACGTCGACCCCACTTGCTTGCGCAGCGATCGCTGACGACGCCGATAGTTGGTGCTACGAGAATACCTGACAGTGGGCCAATCAGTTGAGTCAGCTGTACAGCAAAACGCGGTAGCATTGTACCGAGATATGGACCAAGAGCCGCCCACTGCGCCGACCACGCCATATTGGTAGCGAATCGCGGCAAGGAAAGCAGTACAAGCATGGCCACCGAGCATCCGGTAGTGTGTTTGCCTTCTCCGGAGTCATTAAGATTGAGGTGCGAGAATGTCGACAATCTTGGAGGATGTTCCTGTAGCCCCAACGCAGTTGATTCCCGATGGAGAGGCGATTCAGCAGGTTTGTACGTTGGAGTTTTCGCTTCAATGTGCGTGACCATGATGTAAGTAATGTAAGTAAGAGTGGCTGGATAGGCAAAAGCGTAGCGTGGCTTGCACAGGAAAAATGCAAATTTGTAAATGACTCTGGAAATGACAACGTGATTAAAATATTGAACCAGAAGTTAGTCTTCCAAGTACGCATCAGGTGCGCGACCATTAACGGCGTGAGCAAGCAATCAATGTATCAGAGTATCATGGTTGCTATTGAATCAGATTTGTCTTGTGTACATGTTGTTCAAAAAAGAGACAACCTCGATTTCTGATAGACCAAGCATACCACGCATCAGAAATAGCAGACGCATATGCCATGTATTGATCAACACAGTTGCCATCAGAAAGTCTTATGCCATAGCGTTTGACTTGTTTGCAGCTCGTTCTCGTGCTTCACGCATCGCCTGGCGCATTTTTTCCTTAGTTTGTTCTTTTAGATTCTGAAAAAATGCCATATCATCCTGTAGTTCCACCAACAAGTCATGATTCATTCCATGGACCTGTGCTTCACGAAATGACTTGCGTAAATCCTGTAAAATATCCAGCACCTGTTTCAAATGAAAAGTATCTCGATCTCGTTGTTCTGTTAACTTGTGCCATTCTTGGAGCTGCATTTTGGTCTTTCCTAATCGAATTGACTCCATTAACTGATCCGTAACAACCGTACGACAATTGCCACATAATTGTCCATCGGCTGCTACATTTTGTGTGTAAGAATTAGCAATGCCACTCAGAATTTCTAAATCTGTTGTTGGATTGGCCAGCGGTTTTGGGACATTTGGTGAATATTGCATTGGTAATACGGCTTGAGCACCTCCTTCATAGAAACCCTGCAAATCTGCTACAGCTGCTGACGTGACAGCTAAATGATTTGTCTCCGTTTGAGTCTGCATGGCCATGGTCGGACGTTTTCTCTTATTCGTCATATTTGTAATAATCTCCACTTCATTCACATTATCTCCACCATTACTCGCATCTTCCTCATCTTCTGTCTCATCATCTTCTTGTTTAGATATTTGGGTACTTTTTGGTGGTTTAGAAATAGAAACATCATTTTTGCGTAATAAATCAATGTACCCACTTTTATTATCATTTGCATTTGGACCCTTTTTTATGGGTCGAAGACCACGACGATAGCACTCTGCGCGCAGATCATGGGCACGATGACGATCATACGGCTCATGAAGACGACGAAGTGGTTCTTTTCTTACTTCCTTTTCAGTTGATAGTAATGAATCAATGTCGCCTCCGTTCGTATGCATATCACCCATAAGCGTCCCGCTGTTAGCATCCATAGTATTTTGTAACAGGAGTAGTAGTTATAATAGTAGTAATAGTACTATCATACGAAAAAAGTAGTAAATAGAGTCTTATTCTTATCACAGCAAATGCACCTCACTTTAATGACAGTTGGATAAACTTCAAAGACTAGAGTAGACTTGTCCATTTATTTGCTCATTCGTTGAGCGTAACCAATGAAGCTATGAACCTCTTTACTCTTCATCAAATTCTCCATCAACATACTTTTCAATAGGAAGTATGCGCCCGTCGATAGATCCAGTGTCTTCCATTGCAGGAAAAAGCTGTTCCATTAAGACCGAGTTAGAGCGACATTTCGCTTCCAGTACCTGCATCAAAACATTAGACTGCTCGTTGTTTGGTGCTTTCTTCAGCTTGCCATCCTCCTGGTCATTTGTCTCATCCTGCTCCTTCACTGCATCGTGCAACACTGCCAAGCGCCTCACAATTCCTCTACTGTGTTCAAGCATCTCCTCGTGCACTGGAAGCACACTTCGGCGCTCTAGCGCCGCAATCAAAACCTCTCCACCTATAGCTCCATCCGCAGGGGATAGAGGGCTTTCCATCGCTGTGTATTCCAACAATCCCACCAACAACTCTGCCACGTTTTCCCACACGGACGGAAACTGGGAGCACGTCTGTAACTTTGTCAACTCTTCACATACCACAAGTGATAGCAACTGAACCACCACCACATGTGGTTGTAACGCTAACGGGTCTCTTATCGCTAATGGTCGACATCGGCGTCCTGTACGACTTGCCTTTTCGCTACTTGAAGCACGCACGTCAGTAGGACTCGACAGCAAGCTCTCTTCGTCAAAAACAGGTAGTTGTCGCCAGTAATACAGGAATGGTGCGTTTGTCTCCTCTTCATCGTCTCCAAATTGCATTGCTCCAACAGAACGCATAGACCCCACGTCGTTTAGCAAGTCAAAACCGACAGGAACCAATCCGTATCGAAGAACGTCCAGCCAAGCCATCGGCTCGAACGACTGTTGACATCCTGTGTGCTCGCATAGCATGTGCTTCAGACCTTTAATGGCCGCCACAACGAGGTCGTTGGAAAGCCGGAGCTTCATCTGGTTCAATAAAAGATGTCTCGCTATCACAGTCATCCCACCTAAAAAGCGCAAGCGTTCTTCCAGATAGTTGGGTGCATCAGGGCGAAGCGTATCAAACATGAGCAGAAGTAAATCAATCGGCCTCGAAGGTGCCCATGAATCGTGTGGGTCGCGGGTTTTCATGGCAAACATAATCATCTTCGTGTAGCAGTCGCTAATAAAAATTTCGTTCCCGTCTACATTCCAGATTTTTTCTGTCACAAGCTGCTCAAGAAGTCCGAAAGCGTGCGAGGCTGCGTAAGGCATTGCAACCGACCAACTAATCAGATTGCAGATCGTCAGCCAATCCATGCGTGAGTAGTGTAAACTGTTCGGCTTCACCAACGTCACATATCGATTCAATCCGCACATAATTGGTGTCAGGAAAGGTCGGATAAGCTTGTCATCACCGCTTATCTTCATTAAAGTACCCAAGTAGTTTACCAGCAGCAGCCCGTTCACATCGCTACGCGTACGGGTCACCCAAGCAAACAGACCGTTAATCGACTTGTGTAACAGAATGCATGCATTCTCGTAAGTCAAGCCAATTGGACTAGTGTTGGTAACCAGTACCGGTTGCAAAAGAGTCAGAATCTGAGTATAGTGAGCTTCAAGGACAGCAGATATTCCTTCTTCATCAGCACCATGAAAAAGAGATCCACTAAGCGAGATCACCTGGCTTAACAAGTGCTCAAAGAGCACGCAGCCTCCTTGGCTAAGCAGCGGCTTTGCAGATTTGTTTCGATCTTTTTGTGATTTATTTTCATCACAACGATGCATTGTCTGCAATATTTCGTCATGCAGTGCCTCAATAACTTGTGCAAGAGCACCAGAAGGCAAGCTTGCCACATCTTCCATCAATAGTTCCAATCGATAAGGCTGCAGAATCGTTCGAATCCACTGATAAGTGCCGAACTCACCTCTCAAATCGTGTTCACTGCCGGACGCCTGTTTCGTTGATGTACTCCTCTCGATCACAAGATCTTCCGTATGACAGGCTACCTCAGCCGGACTAAGCTGATACCAATCAAACTCAGGAGAAAAAAGACGCTTTGTCGTTGTGACAATTGGAGATGCTGAACCGCCAAGGCTCGAATCAAGCGTTGATAGTAGCCAGGCAACACCGCTGAAAAACCCACTAGTGTCCTTACCACTATCGACCTGATTTTGTGCACTTAGCGCAATCCTCCTCTCTAGCTCTTCCTTGTTCTGGTACACCAACCTAATGAACTCAAGACGCTCGTTGGGCGTCATTAGCTCCAGCTTCATTTCATTGCTAGGACACAGAACTCGAGACGGTAAAACATGGAACTCCCGCAAACCGCTGACAACATGGAAGAAATACTTCCACGAGCGGCTATGAAGCGATAAGCTGCACGTGTTCACGAGCTCAAGTACAGCCGCAGTTGCAACTGGAGCACTCTGGTTCTCGCAATACACCCAAATGCCGTTTTCACGACCGTTATATCCAACAGGATAAATGTCCGACGAAAGCAGCGCCGTGTACTTGCACATGCGGATAAACAGAGCATTGCAATGTTCTGCCAACGACAAATGAGATGCTACCGCTGCGCACAGCACAAAACCATTACATGCAAGTTGGAGAGCACTTTTCTGGGGAGCATAGTTCATCTCATAGCTGCTGCTGACTGAGAGATCATCGCCTCTTGCTGCATCTTTCGCTTTCGAATCAACGACAAATTGCTCAAAAACGCTGCTAAATGCTCGAATGAGACTTTGCTGAATCAGCTCGTAAATGTGGCGATCATACTGGTTACCTAAAGAAGCATACAGAGGCACAAGTTCATCCTGGTGCCTATGCGTTTCACTTTTTAGTGAATCAGCGGCTTTCTCAGCAGCGCCAGAAGCTCTTTTCGTCAGTCGACCCTGTCTCATCGTTTGCATAACATCAGGTGCTACAGGTAACGCTGAGCCTTGGGCAGCTTCGACACTGTGACGCAAACCTGACGATCGGAGATCTAACGACGGATGGTGCACTATCAAACGCGAGTTGCGCGGGTCACTTTCTGCTTGATTGAGCAAGTCCTTCCATCGATCACTCGTTACTTCACCGTGCTTGCCAACATCTTCAAACGTCTTGATCTCCTCTTTCGCAATGGTGCTATAGAGTTCCGTTAGAAACTCCTCTGGCAAATCAAAGCCTTTAGAAACGTCCTGGCCATAGTTTTTGTTGTTCTTGATAAAGTCAGCTAGCTTCATCTTCTTCTCTGTTCGAATATTTGAGTTGTGCAGATCTGTGTTTAGCATAATCAAACTGAATGACAGCAAATATGCTACGTCCACAGATGCCATGACATATCGTTCCCGGCACTGTTCATATACCTGGCGCGAAAATGTGTTCAGGATACGATCAATTTGTTGAGCCTCTCCCGGAAGACGAAAACTTGCGAGGAACATTCGCAGTGCAGTAATAATGCTCTCTCCTTCGAAATTAAACGACCGCACGAAGTTAGTAAGAACGTCGCGATGGAAGTCTATTGTATCAGCCTCGTGAATCTCAGTCTTCTCAAAGCCCTTGACTTCTTTGCCCATTGCACCCAAGTACACACCCACCGCATCTTTGTTCATACCCTTAGGAAGGGATCGAAGAAACGTAGCAAGGGATATGCTGTCCAGCGGCGTAGGAAGAAAAGAGTGTTGCTGCAAGAACCTAATCCCTGCCAGTGGCTTTCGATTGAACTCCTTAATGCCGTGCTGAAAAAACTTTTTGCGCTGTTGTTTCTTGTATAAATCTTCTGCAGAAGCAAACCTTTCAACAACATCGGCTGGTACAAATCGCTCTTCCTGATCGAGTAGCAGCACGTCCACACTATTCTCTTCATCGCTTGCCCCACTGCTAGTGCTACCACTAATGGCTGGTGTCTCTGGATGCGTACGGAGGTGCACCACATACAGTGCATTAAACATTCCACGAAGAGCAATCTCCCCAGTAGCCTGAGCCCACAGGAAGTGCGCTTCTTCGTGCGACTCAAAGCAAGCAACAAGGGACTGCTGAACAGTCTGTGAAAGCAGCTCAAACAAAGCTTGCGTCAAGTCGCAACGATTGTCAACGCAGTCGTAGTTCACGTATAAATCGGGCAACAATGTCGTCTCGCCAAGCAGGTCCACCAAACAGTCGAGAATTTCAAACGAGATTTCATACAATTGACTCATGGGTAACATCTCGCCGGAAAACTCGTCGAGAGCGCAATCCACCATTGTGAACGGCTTGTCGTTCCCTTGACTGTTCATGTTGTCAGTAGATGAAGCCGAATCATCTCCAGACGGAAAATCTGGGTTATTTACATCCATTTTGGAGAGACACCAATGGAGCGTAAAGTAGAACACACCCTCAAATATCGCTTCTACCTGCATTTTAAGATGTGAGCGAAGCTTTGACCACAAGAGTCGAATAATCTTAAGACATCTCACGGGAATCTCAAGCTCCATACAAGCGCTGCACAACATTTTCATAGCGTAAGCAATAGATTAAATTGAGCAAAAGTAAGAAACATACAAACGCACCCTAGACGACAGTAGCGTAAGATGGCGCTGCACAAATCGTCCTTGATAAAAAGCATCAGCGACGGCACACTCGTCATCAGTTTAGCGTCGCAAGCGATCAGTGCGCGCTCAATTAAGCTAAAGGACAGCAACACTTCACGCTGGCTTGTCATGTTTCCAGTCGACGGAGTAGGGGCATCGAAGACGGGAGTTAAATGATTGCGCTGGTGTAACTTTTGACATAGAAAGCCCACAACTTTTACAGCACAAGGAAGACCAAATCCTGGTCTGAGAGACGTTGACGACAACGCTGTAATGTCGGCAATAGGAGCCAGGTTCGAATAAACGGCAGGGTTAGAAAAAATGAAGGCCATCGTGTCGTGCAGAGAATTCGTGGCAACTGATCGCAGCGTGATATGAAGCTGTACAAGCAGTCACAACAAGGCTCAATATTCATCAAGACCAAGCATGACAAACCACCAACGCACGTACACCATATCGAGTGTTGCAACTGAGAGCATAGAGTGACTCCACCAATTGCCACATTGAATGGTCCGACAATCTGGTGCCGCAGGGAGAGCGCACCACTGCATGGAGCACATGAACCACAAGTGCCAGCACGTTCTGAACACTTTCCAGCCCCGTCTCCTGGAACTCGCAGTGACTTACAGCGTCCACAATGTCGGACACGGCATCCGTCGCCACGTTCTGGTCCTTAACGTCTGCCCACGGCCATGAGTACAACAAATTCATCACTGCTTGCAACGCAGCACTAGTAACTAAGCTACTAATGTTCTTATGTCGTATTACGTCTAGAAATGGCTTTATAGCGATTACAGGAGACAATTCCGTCATATCTATACGAAAATACGTCAAAAAAGTGTCAAATAGGCAGCTTTCAGCACGTTTCGAGGCAAAAATGACACTGGAAAATACCTTCACAGCGTAGAAGACGTCCACGAAGCAGTGCAAAGCTCTGAAAAACTGTCAAATGGCTCTCCTTGGATCATATTTATGAGTAAAATTAGACACAAATGGCTTATGTTAAGGTTGTATTTACAGGAGCAAGAGAACATGTTTACACCTTTTTAAGACTATCACTGGTAGTACAAATAAACATGTATCCATAACAATGTCGTGCAAGACTCAAAACACTCTGAATATCGCTCAGTAGGACTGATCGTACGGTCATCATTTGAGTAAGCGGTGGGGGGGGGTCGAGTGTTTGTTTGAAAATGGGTTTGATGTATCCTACATATTATGTAGGTGGACTACACCATCTTCATGTATTGCAACATCCATCAAGATGCATCCCACACCAATCTCGTGTCGTCCACATCAACTATACCGTCATTCGAGCGCTGAGATGGCTACACTTTCTTTCCTCTTCGTAGCCAACGCATGTATGTCATTCTCCTTTCGCTCTTTCGCGTCTTACGTTGATTGATATATAAATTATATATCTATATATATATAAGTAACTCAATCAAGAATGAAGGTCGTAGCATTAGTAAGTGGTGGAAAAGATAGTTGTTATGCAATGATGGAATGTGTTCGTTTTGGTCATGAGATTGTATGTCTAGCACATCTTCATCCACCAATGGAATTAGCAGTAGACAAGAGTGAGATTGATTCGTTCATGTTCCAGAGTGTTGGGTATCAGATTGTTGAATTAATTGGAGAAAGTATGGAACTTCCACTAATCTCACAGACAATTACAGGCACAGCAGTCAAGACAGAGATTACTTATCATGAATCAACAGCTGGAGATGAGGTAGAGGATTTGTTTCGGCTGTTGGAAAAAGTGAAACAGCAGTTTCCAAATGTACAAGGCGTTTGTACGGGAGCAATTTTTTCTAGCTACCAGAGGAATCGAGTTGAGAATGTGTACGTTTACAGACTTTGTTTCTTTAAAACAATAGTAGGGTCATGCAGGGACTTGATGGAACGCTCACGTGGTTTTAATTTATCTACAGGTGTTCACGATTGAACTTGACATCGCTTGGATACTTGTGGCGCCGTGAACAGACAGAATTGCTACAGGAAATGATTGAATCAGAGATTGAAGCGATTTTGATCAAGGTCGCGTCCATTGGTCTACATCCACGAAGGCATTTGGGGAAAACGATTGCTGAGCTGCAACCACAACTTTTGATGCTGGTATCGTATGAAGCTGGTCGTGTGATCTGAGTTGCTCTCATCTTGTTGCTTATCTCTCTTTGCTGTTCATGTTTTTTTGCTATAGAAAGAAAAGTATCAGATGAACGTTTGTGGTGAAGGTGGGGAGTACGAGACGTTTACGCTCGATTGTCCTCTTTTTAAGAAGCGCATCGTCATGTACGTTATTTGTGACGTAGCACTTTATCTTTTTCTTCTACGAGTTAAAAAGCTCACGTGATTTTGCTGTTTTCTGAAGTGATGAAAGCCACACGGTGCTTCATTCTGACGATTATATTGCTCCTGTAGCCTTCTTGTCGATTGACAAGTGTCATTTGGAGGACAAGGAACCTTCGGATCCTTCACAACTAGCCTCGCGAATCCCAGCACCATTTTTCTCTCGCTTATTGGACAATGCAATGATTACGGACAAAAAGCCAGCCACCGTGCTTGCACTTTGCCCGCAGTCTGCAAAGACATTTGTGCCCACCTTTGGTCAGTTTCGTGACCAAGTGCATTTGTCAGGCATTATGAGCAGCAAGGCTGGTGATGCATCGGTATCGCTGGAGGAGGAAATGATTGATATTGTGGACCAGCTAGAGACCATACTGGAAAGTCAAAAGATGGTGCTAGCTGATGTGTGTTTTGTGCACCTGTATGTTCAGGACATGGCCGCATTTGGTCAACTCAACGCCGAATACATTCGACACCTTGGTCAAAACCTACCGCCGTCACGTAGCTGCGTCGAAGTAAAGGCACTGACTGACGTGCCTGCCAGTGTGCTTTTGGACTGTTTCGCGTTGCGCGGTAGTGGAGAACAAAAGATGCAATCTCTGCGTGTACGCCGCGATGTTTTGCACGTGAAGAGTCTCTCAGCCTGGGCGCCATGTTGCATAGGTCCATACAGCCAAGCAAATGTGCTTCATAGAGCGCTCATTCTTTTGGCTGGTCAAATCGCATTACACCCTCAGACGATGGACCTTGTGCCAGGTGACCTGGCCGCCCAGACGACGCAATGTTTTCGCAATGCCTGCCGTGTATTGGAAGCGCTTCAGTCAAATCTTCGTCACGTTTGCTCTGGTGTCATCTACACTACCGGAGACCCTAGCGACCGAGAAGCTCGCGAATGTCTGCTAGCTGACAGCCGTCACAACCTCATTACTAATGCCGACTTGGACGATGAGTTTGAATCTGTTGACGATAGTGATGAAAGCGATGAAGAAGTGAATAAGAAGGAAGCACGATTGGAGTTTGTGAAGCAGGCTCCACTTCTAGTCATTCAGGTGTCAAATTTGCCGCGGAATGCTTTAGTGGAGGTGGAGCTGCAAGCATTCACGCACATTGCGCTAAAGTACCTGGTACCCCAAAGTTTGATGCGCACGCGCTATTCAAGCAATTTGCGCTTTGACTGGCAAAGTGGTATGGTCCCGCGCGCTCTTTGTCAGATCATGTGCACTGCGTCAGTTGAAAATGGCGCACGCTACTCAGACACCCGAGCATTGGCAAAAGCTGCAGCAAAGGGAATTTGGACATGTGTGCTGGATAGCCTGGTGGAAGCTTTGATGCCTTGGGACCGAGTGATTCACGTGCGCACCTTCTACGTGGCAACGGCTTTTTCAAGCGAGAATGAATTGGCCAAACCTTATTACGAGACTGTAACAGCACGAAGTAAAGTGAACAGCATGCCTGGCATGACGTTTGTACCTGTTGATGCAATTCAGAGTGATGCAGTAGTTGCACTGCAGGTGACGGCCCAAGACCTCGACAAGCTGGAGACTGAGCTCTGGTTGCACAAGCAAATCTAGATTACAGATACGTGTAAATAACAAACGAGTTAATGTGAAAAGGATTGCAACATTATTATTTCTTCTGTCCGATGCTGTATTGTCCGAATGAAGCTGTAGACGCTTGCATACTTAATTTTTTGTCATCTAGCGCCGCCGTTTTTGACGCTGGTCACCACGGCCACGATTATCGCCAGAACTTTCATTCCGGTCCTTGCGCTTACGTGAATCACGTTCTCGGGACCGAGAACGTCCACCTCGGTCTGCTCGATTGCGTTCTCCTCGCCCTCGTTTTACGGGGTCCCCTGCTCCGCCTCCGCGACCTTCGCGCTCGCGTGGACGACGGTCACGATCGCGACCGCGATCTCGGCCATTTTCGCGATCACGAGCATTCCCGCCATCACGAACATTTTTGCGATCACGATCGCGACTGCCACGGCTACCAACACGATCACGACTACTGACACGGTCACGACTGCCACCACGGTCACGACTGCCGCCACGGTCACGACTGCCACCACGGTCACGGCTACCACCAACACGATCACGACTGCCACCACGGTCACGGCTACCACCAACACGATCACGACTGCCACCACGGTCACGACTGCCAACACGGTCACGACTGCCAACACGGTCACGACTGCCAACACGGTCACGACTGCCAGCACGATCACGGCCGCCATCACGTTCACGGCCGCCATCACGTTCACGGCCGCCATCACGTTCACGGCCGCCATCACGTTCACGGCCGCCATCACGTTCACAGCCGCCATCACGTTCACGACCACTATCACGATCACGGCCGCTATCTTGGTCTCGTTCACGGCTGCTGACACGGTCGCGTCTACGTTCTCGGCCTTTGCTGCGGCCTCGATCCTTCTCGCTAGCAGTTTTAGCCTCCTCTTCGTCTCGACGTCCGCTACCCCGTGAGTCATCCTTGCGAGGGCGATCACGGGATTTTGATCGGTCACCATTTGCTTCTCTTGATCCATCACCACGTCTATCATCTCGATCATGCTTGACATTGCGACCTCGATTGTCCCGGCCACCACTTCGGCCTCTTCCCCCACCGGGTCCGCCCATCCAAGGGGGTCCTCTTCCTGGCCCAGCATTCCAAGGCGCACCCATCGGAGGACCATTCCAGTTTTGCTGGCCGACAAAGCCCGGCGGGGGGCCCATTCCAGGATGCCAGCCCCTCGGAGGTGGTCCTCCCATAAACCTGCCTAATGCCCCTCGCGGCGGCGCTCCATTCATTGGATGCATCCCGCCAGGACCCCATTCTCTTGACCGATTCTCTGTATTCTGGTCGTCTTCACTTTCTGATTTCATCTGTCCAGGGAACCCGCGCGAGGGCATTCCTCCACATCCTTGCATTTTTGCATCACGATCACGCATCGCTTGCTGGTTGGCAGCATTTACCGCCTGCCGTAAAGCCTGTTCTCTCGATTTTTCCGCCGCCATTTCGCGCCTTAATCTCAGCTGCCGTGCAGCATACTCTCTCCAACTGTGTTCGTCAAAGCCGTAATTAAAGTAATCTGAAATATCCACACCCGGTTTACGCCATGGTCGATCCTCCAAGAGGTCAATATCCACATCAAATGCCGTACGTCGACCACCAAACATAGCCATGTCGTCTCCTCCATCAGCCGCCGAGCCGTCTTCATTTCTAGATTGAGAGCCCGTTGTAGCTTTAGTTCCTACAGCTCCAGTTCCACCATGTTGCGTGCTTCCAAAACTTCCTCGTACATATCGATTACCACCTCCAGTGAATCGTAGTGTAGGTTTACTACCTGCATGATCTTTGCTCAATACAATGGCTACGTCTTCGTCTTCTTCTTCATCATCATCATCATCATTATCATCATTTGAGCCCACTGCTGGATCAGGACTTGACTTGGATACAGCTGTATCATTTATAAAAGTATCAGCTACTTTTTCTGCTTCTTTATGTGATGTAATAGACGTATTAAGCTGAATAGAGACACCACCATAGAGTTCTTCATCTTCTTCATCTTCTTGTTCTTGTTTAATCTTTTCATTTTTTACAATATCGTTAGATTCCCATGTGACTCTAGATTCTTCTGTCTTGTCCTCTTCTTTAATATTAACGTCACTAGCGCGTGTTGTCACGAGCACGTCCTCGCCAAAGTCTTCGTCCTCCATCGTCAGTAGATACACGTGATGGATAGATAATATGAGTAGAAAAGAGGTACTGAGAGTATGCAAGTAAGTACGAACTGGTTAAATACGTTTTGACAATTTAACTTAATCGAATGAGTAATTTTCTCGTATGGTGATTGGCTCATAAGATGTCTTACTTGGTGTTTGTATACTGACGCCTTCGCGGCCAATAGTTTTGCTACGCTCATATACACCACATTTGAAGCCTCAGTTCTTCTTGTCTCGTTCGTCTTTTCCAGGTAAGCACGTGTGAATGATAGTATGAATGGATGTCAATTAGGACAAGGGGAGAGCGCAAGATGGAAGTGAGTATAGTGGGGATATGTGGAGCAATGGATACGTAAACAGACATATCCACAATGGCCAGCAGCATGTAGCAATTGACAGCGATACAGGCAAAAAGGATTGTAGTATTCTGGACATTCTGTATCGATTCGATCATTTCTTGTTATCGTTACTAGTGTCATGATTGCTGCTTTCTATATAGTGCTCTCCCCTCTACGCTGCAGTTCTTGGATCATTCTAATGATGCTGAGAAGTGCCATTTCTAACGAGGTTTTGGTTGTTGGTGGTACGTCAGTTTAGTCAAAGATGCCGCACTCTTTTGGTTACCGTGCTCGCACGCGCGACATGTTCGCCCGTCCATTCCGTCAGAGTGGTATGATCAAGATGTCAACATACCTGCGCACGTTCAAGGTTGGCGATTACGTGGACATTAAAGCCAATGGTGCCGTGCAGAAGGGTATGCCTCACAAGTTCTATCACGGCCGCACTGGTCGTGTATACAACGTGACCAAGCGTGCTGTCGGTGTGCGTGTGAATAAGGTGGTGGGCAATCGCATCATCCACAAGCATATTAACGTACGCGTTGAGCATGTGCACCCGTCCAAGTGCCGTTTGGGTTTTCTCACACGTGTCAAGGAGAATGAGTTGAAGAAGAAAGAGGCTCGTGCTACTAACGTTCGTGCTCAGATCAAGCGTGTTCCTGCGCAGCCTAAGACTGCGTATATTTTGAAGACCAAAGGCAGTAAGCCCATTACCATGGCAGCGCAGCCATTTGTTGACCTCATGTAAGCCAGTGTTGGGTACATTTCACATATTGTCGAGAGAAACGTGTGCTTGGGTTATGGTAAGACTGACAATTGCTCTTGAACTGATTGTATTAACATCAATGAGTGGAGCATTTCAATAAAAGAACGAGTCAACTCCATTGTGCTTGGTCATCATTTCATACTTCTTGTCCTCGTTTCAGAAATTAGTTACTTGACTCAGATATTTTCCTCATACAGTAGTTCTACCGTAACAACAAACTGGACCTATCAAACAGCATGATTCTAAACCTTATCTTAATTCCAATGTCATTCACCTTTCGTGACTTCATCTGATGAGCGCTTCGATAAACGACGTTGCTATGGAGCAATACATTGCTGTACGTGAGTTTATTATATATGTATGAGGTAGAGCTTGAAATTCTGTATCGAATAGTCCATGACCTCTTTCTCACCGCCTCATGACTTTATTCTAAAGTGGCTCGATACTTTGGAAAAGACCGATCCAGAAGGCTATAAACGCTTGATTGATACAATACAAAATCAAGTAAAGACTGCAGAAATGGAACGAACGGAGGATGTCGTTAGTGCACGAAAAGGTGATATTGATGCAGAAATGTACAATCTGCTCAAGGCCTCTGCAAGTGAACGGAGAACGACTGCAGACACAAACTCACTAGGTTTTGATACATGCGCTTGAGCAATGAAACATCATGTTTCTAGACGTAGAAATTGATCTGCTCTTTGACGTGATATGTGCAATTGATGTGAAATAGAGTTTAAATCGAGATTCTGTGGTGATAAGTTCATAAGAGAGGATGGCTCGAAAGATACACAGGAAGGGGTACGACTTGAATTATATCTACTTGAAGTACCAGATATATATATATCAAGTTTTGATCGATAGATAACTAAGGGTTGTAATGTTTTGTTTGTTTCACAGATGTACATTGATGTTAAGCCTGGTTTTGTGTTGATGACAAACGACACTCAGAACAAGAAGAAGGTATGGACAGCGATTCTGTGTCTACAATCTAAACTTGAAATGTCAACGTATTGATGAGATAGGATCTACTGACATGCGCTGCAAAAGGTGTTTGTAAATATAGTTTTTGCCGACGAGATCCAGGTGTTTTCAGAGAAGACAAAACTGGATGACAAGGGCAAAGAGCAAAAGGTAAGGATTAATCGCAGCTGGTGTAGTGCTGTTACCTACCTTTTGAGTTGACTGTAAGAATTTACAATGTGTGTACTTAGGGAATTCATGTGCCTTTGAGTCTAGGTGCACCTCGTGAGGTTGAGAATACGATGGGAGTGAGTTCACTGGCTTTTGACGTAGCGGTAAACACGAAAGCCGTAGAAGACTGCAAAGTAGATAAAACAGGCACCTTCCGCAACTTTGTTTGTGAGTTGGCGATCGAATACATTGATCTAAAGGTATGACTGCGATTTTATCAAATGTGGACATATATCTGACGCATTTCGGCATACATGCAGTACAAAATCAAGCTGGATGGTCGCTACAAACTGCCGCGTTTGACGTACCGTGGAAAACTTCCTCCACCAAGGCACTATATACGCAAAGCGCAGCCACCAATCATCCAAGAAGTTACACCGGAAATTACGGCAGCGTTGAAGCAGGCTTGTACGTCGAAATCTACAGCACAGAAAATAACCAAGGCATCAAGCAATTTTAAGATGGCTACGGCTCGTTTTGACATATTTGAGGAACGCAATGGTGATCGCGTAGTTTGTCAACGATTACCTTCTGTTATGAAGGGTAGCATTCCGTTATCACCCGCGGTACTGGAGCTAGCAGGGGATCGTTTAATCGTCTCCGTCAAGTTTGGAAACAATGTGCGGGCGGCTAGAGATGTCAAGCTCGAATTGCATGCCGAGCTATTGAGTGTTAAAACCACCACGCACAATGATTTGGGTGAGTGTAATCCGTATGCATGCATAGATGGATGGATGGGTGGGACTAACGACCTTCATTTGTTGCCATTGTTGTCTACGTATAGAAATTTTTCTTCCATACCCTGTAGATAGGAACTCGGCGAGGGTTTGCTTCGATCCGGCTCGCAACACAGTGGACGTAATACTCATAATCGACAAATCCTGGGATACTCTAGGGCCCGACTGCGGTTCAGCTTCATGGCTTCTTGAGCAGGAGTTAGCCAAAGAAAATGAGGCAGTCGCAAAGTCTAACACCAAGAAGCCAAAGACACTGGTGGAAATGTTCCAGCTTGCGAACGCTGAATCATCGAACGACAGGAACCGGGCTACTCGACAGTTGGGCCCTGTAATAGAGGACGATAAGGTACCGAAAAACCAATCTCATCGCAAGGATGTGATGATGTCTATGCATAGTTTGGAGCAGCGGCGCATCGAACGTGAGCAAGAGACAAAGCAACCGGAAGCGAAATGGACACAAAAATGTGATGAGGCAGAGGAAATGCAGGAAACGACACAAGAGAACGAGAAGTCATGCTCCGAGATGTACCCGAACGAATTGGAATCAACCTACATCAATGTGGAAGCTATCGTACGACAGGAGAAATCGAGACTCGACCGCCATCAACAACAGCAAAAAGAAGAAATTGATTCCGAAAAAGAGTATATGCATACGGAGAAGGCAAAGCGAATAGCAGCCAAATGGTCCCGAAACAATAAGGACGGAAGCCTAAATCTGCAATCTGCTTTGGCATTTGGTCTGTACTAAGATCATCTAGGACATACGCCACCTTTCAACTTCAGTCTAGTCTTTTTTAGCATAGTCACGAGCACCAAAGATGGTTGAACCCACACGAACATACGTACTACCGCAAGATATCTAACAAACATAATTATGAATTTACCATCCCATCAACTGCAACATTTTCTGTATAACGAAAACAGATATATAAACACTTACCGCAAGCTCAAAGTCCCCGGACATGCCCATGCTAAGATCCAGATCTTTCTCAGCCATTCCAATTGCCTCAGCCACGTTCTTACGACAAACCACTAGGCGGTCAAAGCATTCGGACGTATTGTCTCCATAACGACCAATAGTCATGAGTCCAGTGAGCTTTAGATGCTCACAAGATGTCACAATGTGACGCGCCAGCTCAATCGAGCCATCAGCATCAATGCCTGACTTTTGCTCTTCTCCGCTGGTATTTACTTGCACCATCACATCAAGTTTCGTCGTACGAAACTCACCTGATGCTTTGTCCAGTGCATTGGCAATTTTGATTGAATCCACGGTCTCAACAATAAAGAGATTAGGTACGTCACGCACAAGCACCTTGACCTTATTTGATTGTACATGTCCAATATAATGCCACTTGATATCAGAAGGAAGCAATGGTGTTTTCTGCACTAATTCCTGTATCTACTGATCATCAATTTTTGTTACAAAAAAATACACAATTAATATTTATAATCGAATTAAAAAAAAGAATTAATTGTCATTGTATCATAATAAAAAAGGTTCTATACATAATTCTCGCCAAAATGACGCTGGCCAACTTCATAGGCTTCGCTTAAATCTTCCAGAGGCTTTGTTTTGCTCACAGCCACGAGTGTACATTGCTTCGTCCTTGTACTTTTAGCTACAGCTTCTGCTACCTTAGCACGCACTGCTAGTAGATTCTTTGCGACTGTCATCTTCTAAGTCGAAAACAAAACTATGATACAGAATGATATGAGTGGTTTATTTATTTATTATAACATTGCTTTAATGTGTACCACCTCATCATTTACAATCGATACATAAGATTATGTATCATTAGTATCTTTTCGGTGCCTTACTATGACCACCAAAACGTAGTCCTAGTTACCAAGCCACATGCTGTGCGTATTGCTTGCTCGACGTAACACTCTATTACGTCGTCCATACGTAATATCAAACAATATACTTAGCACCATTCAATACGTCAGTGTTTCTTCTTCATCTTCCATATGTTTAAATACTCAGATTGATCTTTGTTCCGCATTTATATGGGTTCAAAAAGCTGTACCAAGTCTTCAGACGTACTTGACGCTAAAGAAGCATTTAATGACGCCTCTTAAGTTTAAAGTACCTTATGGAGATATTCCCATGGCCACAAGAGGCGTGGAGTTTTCTATTAGGAATGCATTGTAATCATGTACGTGTATTAAAGAACCAGAAGAAGCAGTTACCGTTTTTTACAGTGAATGACTTGGAGCGACTGAACTTTCCATGGAATATGCGGCAATATATCAATGGGAAATCCTTGTTCTACCATCATTAAAGACATACTTTGAGCTGTATGGTCATACGGATATTTCCAAGGATTTTGTCATCCCCATGAGAGATTCGCAGTGGCCCGAAATTCTTTGAATTTCAAACGTGGACAAACAACAATGAGTATCAAACATGCTGGAACGTATAAAGCACAACGTGAGGCTTCAATGGATGCATTGGACAAGATTTAATTTTCAATGCAGAACTGGAAAGCACGGGTATGAGATGTGGAGATTTATCCGTCTTTAGAGACATTTCGACAGGAATTTGGACACTGCAATGTACATTTCAACTTTGTTGTACTGGATAGTCAAGAATAGCCACAGCAGACGAGAGGAACGCGACTAGGAGCGACTGTTGCCAATATGCGCTGTCGAGGTAATTATGACGATATGGTGGATCGAGACAAGGATAAGCTGAAAACGATTGGATTTGGGTGGAGCCCAGAGGATGAACGATGGACCAACAAAAATTCTTCCAGCGCTTGAAATGTACCGTTAAATATACAAGTCAGGATGGATGCCAGTTGAGTTTACTGTCCCGGATTCAGAACCTTGGCCTGAAGAGACACGCGGATTGAAACTCGGTTATATCTTCATGAAGACCCGACATACGGCATCCTACTCCTCGTATGTGGAAAGAGATCGAGATCGTTTGAATGCGATTGGAGTCAATTTCAAGGCTCATTACAAGGGATCAAAGTGATTTGCTGACCCGCAACCTTTGCAATTGAGGTGGAGATTGCTGACGCTTCAGCCAGCATTTCCGCATCCATTAACGGTTGACATTCGGCAGCAGCATTCTTCTTTGCTTCTTGTTAGGCGAACAAGATACAAGGTGTATTCCTGCGTATTCTGCAATTTCGAGTTCTCGCGTCTATTCATCTAAATGGCTTTGGCCGACCTTCTAGCACAATGCTCTTGAACAGCTCGAATGTGCTGATGGTCGAACTGCTCTTCAGCTTCATTGCGCTAAGCACCACGCCCGTGTGCATTGTGCTGACACGCAATCCAGCTCAAGTATGGAAGCGTGTACCAAACCGACATTAGCGTCTGGTGAGTGGATCACTTGTTTTCCATGAAGCTTGCGGCGAGTCACGAGAGACGCGACTATTGATGTGAGGGTGTTTGTATCGGCGGTTCCAAGACGGCGTTTGTAAGGTGGTTGACAGCTTTTGTCGAGTCCATCATGCATTTAGAATCTAGATGAAATGCGTAAATTAAATGAAACTATTGTAGTTCTCATGTCATTGTTAGGATCTGATAGAACATACACAGACTCGCAACCGTTCTGTTCCGCTGCGCTGCACCAAGTTTCGTCCTGTTACCTACAGAATTACTACAAAGTTATCGCAGCCTTTTGAGCCTTGTGGGTCTAACTCTGACGATCGAAGGAGTGACAGTGGGCTTGCTCGTCTCTGCTGCTGCTTCACATTTCGCATTTGATTCCTCTGTCGCAGATAGGGATGATGTCGTCTCGGCAGATGTCCTTGTCTTCGGTTCCACGCGGACGCACTTACTGTTAACAGCACTAATGCCAACCCGTCGTGTTTTTGCAGCCGAGGGGCGGGTTCGATCAATGAGGTTAGGTAAACGCGGAGCTGGAAGAAACGAGAGTGCCACGGACCTGAAGAACACGAAATGTAAGTCGATAGTTAGTCAGATGTACATGTAGAAGACAAGAACGACGAAAACATGTACTCAATGTCATCCTTCAACAAGGGAGTTTCCAGTTGTTTCAGTTCTCCGCCGGTCCGATTTTTGATTGCCAACTCCACTAATCGACCAATACTGGATCAACACACAAGCACACGCACAGCATTAGTTACAACACATCAGCACCAGCATGCTATGTTAAGACGTACTTGTGGTAAGTGACAAAATTGAGGAACTCGAGTGATGCGCGTGACATCTTTCCCAGACCCAACCATTGACGAAACTGCGTCGCCTTGTTGTTCATGAAGTTGAGCTTGCGACCTCTTGCAAACATGTCGTAAATCGACCAGTCCATTTTTTTCGTCCGCTCGTCCGCAAAGCGTATTCGTTCCTGGGTGCAACCAAATATCAGATGAAGCACGTCAGCTTTGGAACATTTTGCTCAAACTATTGGCACACGACACCGTACGAGAAACGCCTCTTTGAATACGTCGTCGCTTTCGGACACCGCAAAGAGATCTAGCTCTTCCGCCAGCTCTTCTTCCTCCACATCCTCCAGCTCATTTTCTTCGTGCTTTGTTTCACTGCGGAATTCTCGCCAACGTCCATAATAAATGGCCTCTTCTTCAAAAATTTCCACCAGTGTCTAGCAAAAACGTCAAATCAACGCGCATGTTAGTAACAGCATACGAAAAGACTAGATTCAAGCATAGACTACCCTCAGACACGATGAGGCTGCAAACACTTCCGGGTCCACCGTGCCTAACAACTTTCTAACATGATCACCAACTGCATATCATGTCAACAAGCACACGTGATGATTAACTAACGTTACTGTATCCCAGATACTCCAATCCAACAATTATTATCTCACCAAGAGCCTGTACTTCTTCTACAGTCGTCATACAGGATCTTGTACTGTCACCAAAGGTGCTCATCATAGAGCTAATAGTGTGCAGCAGTAACGACGACTTTTTTCCAATCTTTCCAGTATCATGTTTTACTCCACAGGCACAAATATCTTCATAAAATTCACCTTCTGCAATCTGCCATCGAGCATTTGACTTGGATTGAACCTGTGTATAGTACGGTACTTGTGCTGGTGCAACGTATGCACTATTCAAGTGGTATTTTGGTAAAGTCCCTTGCTCACTTGTAGTCTCCATTGGTCCTGATAATAATTGTAATTTTCTCTGCTGTAACATTCGAAGATAAGGATCAGACTTGACCGCTAGAGCTGGATCCAGTATCAGTCCTTGGTCCGACTGTTTCTTCATCTGATTCTCCTCTGTAGTTACCAGCTTTGACTCAATATGAACTTGTAGCTTTTGGTGTCGTTTAGTACGAATGTAATGCAACATTTTCTTCTTTTGATCCAATGGGAGCGTTTTCCATGCATTTGTCTGTAGCAATAATTACAATAAGAACAAGAAAATGACAAAATAGTCATTTGAATGTTTGGTGTTACGTACGTCTTTGTAGGGATATTGAGACTGAATAGCATGGAAAAGACGATGAACTTGTTCTAGAAGAGGTAGACGAGCAAGATCTTGAAGACCGTATTCATTCTCAGCACCAGGCACGTCATTATTCGTGGTGAGAGATGATGAAGGCTTCGAGTCGGCCATTCTGACGAAGTTTATTAGCTATTAACAATATTGCAATAGATGGGACGTCAAATATAACAGCTGAACGATAAATTGACAATTACAAATAGAAGTTACACGTCATATTGCACTCGATTCAGATTTCAAAGTAGTTGTCATACTATTTACAAAAAAACCTTAAAAATAGGACCTCCAACTTTTATCTTATATTTCTACAAACTACTACATTTTAAAACAACACTCAGCAACGAACGTGTCAGATGTTTCTTAATCTCAGAACCAAAAGCGATCAGCTAATTTACAATGAACTAAATCTGTCATTTCAGATTTGTTGAGTATGGTACCAATAAGCAAAGACGGCACTAGCTCATTATTATCCATACGAGATTTCTACGATGGTCTTTATCACTCACCCATTTACTTGCAACACCATCGTATTTGTTGTAATATAGGTTATTATCCTCGTGATAAGATCCATACAAACTCAAGTATAACAAGTCTTACGACGTGTGACAAGAGGGATCAAGACACGTCGATGATCAAAATCGATGCTTGTTATCCATATGATCGATATCAATTTCAATTGTATACAAAGTTACTGGATATAGATGGACAGCATAAGACACGATGTGATAAAGCATTGAGGATTTTGGATCTTGGCTGTGGTTCCGGTGGTGGTTTATGTGAATTACAGACATTATATCCTCAAGCAGAGATCAGTGGATTAGATTTCTCGTCTCAAGCTCTAGCGCGTAGCAAAGAAGTGTGGCAATACTTTACCGAGAAGATATCAGAGTTTCACGACAAGAAGTTACAATTGTATCATCATTCGTGTGAGAGAATGACGGGAGTAATGACCCATTCAGTGGATATTGCTATTGGTGTACAGAGCTTGCAAGAAGTGAAAAATCTTGGCAAAGCTGTGAACGAAGTTGCACGTGTACTGAAGCCTGGCGGACTCTTGTTCATTGCGGACTTTATTCCACCTGATGCTGCGGCAGATCATTTGGAGCACGTGCTCCTGGCGCCTATTTCGTCAGCACAAAACAAAGCTCGTGTTTTTGAAATCGTACAGGAGCAATTGGTGTCGTTCGAGGTATCCATGGGTGCAAAACAAAGCTCTGTCGGTATGCGGGAACTGATCCATCAGTTGATGCCACAGGAGTTGCATTCCGAGCTAGAGACTTTTTTCTTTGTTGAAAACTCGCCGCTGTACGAACTGCTACGTCGTGACGAGATGGGCTACCGTTTACTGTGTTTGCGTAAGACAGACGAGTGTAGCACTGACGAAGAGGAGGATAGTCAGCATGTGACCGATTGGATTAGCGATAGCGTAGGCTACTCTTCAGATGAAGAGATTCAGGACGACGACGCCCCCAATTACTATCCGTACCGGGAAATATTTCCTCAACTGGACGTTTTAAAAGACAACTACGATGTAATTGTGGAGGAAATGCAGACCGTGCAGCAAATGACAACGTGGCCATTCTGGCCGGAGAAGCACTACACAGAAGGCGACAGCGAGTGGCGCGTGTTTCCATTTTGCTATACATTTCCAGCCAATGACGCGTCCAAGACAGCTTGGGTATCTTCAACATGCTTAATGTGCCCTCGTACGGCAGAGGTCCTGAAAAATCTGTCTGGTATTCGCACAGCGTTATTTTCAAAACTTGGCCCCAACACGACGCTTAGTGCGCACCAAGGTTGGGCAGACCTGGCCAACCATGTGTTGCGCGTTCATTTCCCGCTTATTGTACCCACACTCTCGAACGGTGAGCCGTGCTGCGCCATGGTGGTGGGTGGGGAGACTGCCTACCATGTCGAGCGTGAATTCATCGTGTTTGACGACAGCAAGCTACACTACGCATTCAACCAGCATCCTGACGCGACACGACTTGTACTTATCGTCGACTTCTGCCGCCCAGATCATTTACCGAGAGGCCATGCTCGTGGTGGCCACTCGGACGAATTAAACGAATTCATTGAGTCTTTTGGAAAGCAGACGTTGTTCAATGGTAGCAAAGAAAAGTAAGGACTAAAATCGGAATTGATCAAGATGGGGTGGTGTCATGCGTGATTGAAAATGGGTGTTTGAAGCCCGGAACAATATTGCTCTTCATTTTGTCATCCCTGCTTAATCTTAATGTTAAATAAACCTGTCGATAAGACAAGACACCACCATCACCACCACCAGAACAACAATAATACATTAGAAAAGTAAAAAAAAGCTGATAACTATCATCTCTACTATGACCACACACACACACACAGACACGTACACCCAGGCAGCACACGAACGTCTGGAATGTCCCCATTGACGATAGCCGTAAGCCCGAGATTAGCAAGTGCACCTCGAATCAAGCCACAAGGAAAAACAAGAAAAAGTAAAGCCATTTCCCTCGTCTCTTTCTCTGTTGCAGCAGAAATACCAGCCAACCAGCGAAAACTAAAATCTTGCACCACAAACACACCGCGATGATTTGTCTGCAACTTGTCAATTTGTTTCTTAAAAATGGCGATCCAAAAGTCTTTGCAGACAAATTTAATCACATCCAATGGCTCTAACATACGAGATATATCTCTCGCTTCTTTTTCTGCCAATCGATAGCCAACGTCATAGCCCATGGCCTCTAATTTCACAATAACAGCCTCACGATGAACAGCAGCCTCTTCTGGTGTTGGAATGATATCTTCTCCTCCGTCTTTCATCTGCCATGGATAACGTTCTAGCTGCATAAGACACATAAATCATACAAAGATACATATACTGATATATATTACATGATCATAAACCAAAAGATAGAAGAAAATACGTACCATGGAGCGAACAATCTCACCGTAAAGCTGCTGGAAACAGCCATCAGCGACTTCTTTCATGGTAATTTATTTTATTACGGTAAACTATAATATATTTCGTTGTTTTGTTTATTTTTCATTTTTGGTGTTTGGGGGATGTTACTAATGTGAATCACTGACGTCTCCTGATCTGACCAATAGATATTATTTGTCATACTAAAAAGTATAGTCGTCGCATTATCATTATGAGTGCAAAGAGTCCTGAAGTAGTAGACAATATGATTGATGATAGTCTCTTAGGTATTTTCATTATCCTTCTTATTGTAATGCTTAGTACTGGATACGTCTATATACAACAACTTCGACAAGGGGAAACTGGACAACAACGTGAGAATGTACCCACCACTATCTTTACAAGAATGACACCGTCTACGACTGGAGCACTTGCATCATCAACACGTGGACGTATGGTCTCAACTACTGAGCTAAATGAACAGCAAATACGTCTTCATTTGAAGTTACCAATGCGTAATGGAGCACGTATCATTACAATCAGTGCGGACGTGCTACTGAAGACGGACAAGTTGGAAACGTTGAGCTGGAGAAATGACGAGATCCCCATGATACTCATGGATTTATCATATATTGCAGATGTATATCTCTTGTATAAAGTATCAGATACAACAGAGATCGAGCACATTGATCGGATCCGTGACTTTATCTCCATGCATCCACATTTAAAAAGTAACGCGACAACGGCTGGTGGTATTCAGGCACACAAGATTCTCTTCTGCACCACGTCAATTGGCAAAATTGCATTCGTGCGACAAATTGAACCTCATGTTCATGTGGATGGTAGATTGATGCTTCGTTTTTTGTATGAGAATGTGTCTGTATATGAAGCTCAGGCACTGACTGATGTATTGTAAATGTGTGTGTGTTTTCTATCTGTCTTTAGTTGACGCTAATGTCGTTCGTGATTTGGAAAAACATGTGCCATATATTGTGCACATCTCGACATCACGTGAGGGTGTAGCAGTGCCTTTGGTCCCGAACGTGGTTCATGTGGGTGACAGCTTTTCAAGTTACTTCTCGCTCATTAGCTCAAAAGAACGTCTTTAACCGTATTATTGCCGACTAATAATGGTGGTCTCATAAAGAGTTTGGAAAGAAGCATTAGTTGATTTAGTTTTGTGTATAGGTGCTGGTGCTGCTAGCCTGTTCATGTAGGGGAGTTGTGCACATCATCCACACACAAGGGAGAAAGGACAACTGGATGCACAAGCCCAGAATCTCAGGATCACTGATTCTATGAGCTCAGGAATCCAATTGTCATTTGCTAGACACTAGCGGATGCACGAATGAGCAAGTGTTTGTATCCGTCGTGCAAGCTCGCTTAATCCTTCCGTTACAGGTGACAAATGCATCGAGATGAACCAACCTCTTTGACGTCCCAACGCGTTGGTTGAAGAATCACGATGTCCTGCAAGCAGCCCAAAACTGCCCATGCTTACTTGCTTTGCGATCTCGCATAGGCGTCGGCATGGATAAAACTTAACTCGACACACTGTACAGACATCAACATGCTGGTCATTTGCTTCCATCATCACATCCATTGAAATCGAGCGAACACAACGTTAACGGAAGTGCAAGGGCAATCGATATCGTCCACGTAACACATTGAGAAGCTGCTAAAGCACTATTGACTATCTGTATTGTTGTCTCTTTAACTGCAATGAAGGACGCATTAGAAACGCTAAAATGAATGAGGAGTAAGTGGAAGAAAAGTCAAGATACCCAGCCTTCAAACGAGTTGGACAAGATCAGCAATGAAACATCAAACTGTTTGAAGGATCCGGCTTCAGCATCGTCGATCACGCCAAACTGTTCGTAGCCTTGACCAACGAGAGCAACCAATGCGATGACTAACTTACTCCTCACCACCTTTCTTACCACCCGTCTTCGACTTAATCGTCTCAATGCTAGCAGCAGCCGTATGTTTTGCCTTCTCAAGTCCAGACGATGACGCTGCGCGCGCCTACCAGTTACCAACCAAATCAAAGTGCACACTAGTCACCATCATGACTATTATCAACACTAGCAAGCAACCAACATATCTCTCAAACCTTTTCCAGAGCACCTGAGGCAACAAGAGACGTCCGCTCATAGGCACCACTTGCCAGATTGGATGACTTTTTAAAAGCATCCGTCCCCTTGAGTTTGCCATATCGTTCCTGACCAGCATTCGCAGCAGTATTCAATCCGCCTGCAATTGTTTTTCCAGCATTGGATGACTTGGCTGCTTCAAGTGCAGCTCCTGATCTCTCCTTAAACATTGAGAAAGTTTGACCAAGAACTCTACAAAATCATCACATTGTAGCAACAAAGACGTACACAAGACAGTCAATACTAATTCACATATAAAACAACAACATGCCACATACTTGGAGGCCGTAGTAGCGCCATTCTTGAGCTTATCCACAGGCAGGACATTATTTAGCGAAGAACGGTCGCCAGATTTCGCCAAAGCCGCGGATTTTTTCTCATCACTATCGTTCGAGTCCCCGTCCTGTGTCTCCATCTGAATCTGAGGCTGTAATTGCGTATCCTTCGTCGTAAATTCCGCTTCTTCTTCGCCATTAAAAATCAAATTGTCCAGTTCTTTCTCGTCCGTTGGTGGTTTTTGTTGTAGCGACACGTCGTCCATGTTGATTGAAAGTTGTTAGAAAGAAAACACCACAAGAATAAGATTGTTGCAGAAGGGGGGTGAAACAATACAGTTGAAATGAGGACGAGGTCGTTAGTAAGTTGTAAGATGCAATATGATTGGAAGAAATATTACAACCAATAGCAAAGGAGATTGAAGAAAAATCAGACCAAAAGCTGTGGCATCGTCAATCGGTGGAATATGTAGCCATATCTACATCTCCATTTCATCTTATTAACCAATCACAAGTCGGATAATTGGAAAAAAATCACAACATGAGCAAGCGTATGGTAGTAGAATGGTCACCTCATGATACGTCTCTATTTGCAGTAGGAGCTGATAATTTGCGATTGTTTGAGGTCACAACATCTTCCTCTTCTTCTACTGATTATATAGATCCTACGTCTTGTTCTCCTTCTGATCTTATAGCTCCTACAACGCAGCGTAAACGTGCGTTTCGTGTCATACGCATTAATGCAAAAGTATCACAACTCAAGTGTTTACAGTGGTATCCATTTGAATCCAAGCCATTGCTAATTGCTACAGGAACAGGCTCAGGTAAAATACTATTAAGTGATTTTGAAGACCCACGGACACGTGTGATGCGAGAGTTTCTGCCGAAATACAGTCGTCCGTGTCATGCTGTGGCTTGGAATCCATCAGTACCTACTCAATTGGCTGCAGGGTTTGAAAAAGTCCGGAGTGATTTTTGTACTCTAGTGTGGGATCTCAATACGTCAAATACAATGACAGGAATGACGACAAGTAGTAGCAACATTGGAGGAGAACTTGAAGGGCTCGTGGATCAAAATGGAAGCGTAGAACGATCGATCAACAATCGAAAAGGAGGCAACAATGGAAATACAAATACTAGTGTAGGCGTTGGAGCAGGATCGAATGGATTTACAGCTACAGATTCTAAACCGGTCCATGAACTGGCCAATTCGGAAGCGACGATGGCCCTGTCATGGGTACCGCTGCAGCCAACGTGTTTAGCTACAGGGACAGGTTTTAAGTGGCTGCGTGTGTACGATTTACGTGCAAAAGGGTCATCTCCGATGAGTGTCGTCGCACACAATAAGGCAGTGCTGGGTGTAGTATTTGACCAGCATCGACCACATATGCTTGCTACATACAGTGATGCGCCACAAGAACCGGTGAAAGTTTGGGATGTTCGTCAACTGGAGTCATCGTCCGGACCAGTGCTTTCGCTGCACCAGACGAGCAAAAATCTTGTTCAGGTGTCGTGGTGTCCGTCCAAGCCAGGCATTCTAGTCACGGCGTCCACTGATGAGAAGTGGGTGTCCTTGTGGGATGTCACAAAGCAAGAGACTGGATCATCAACGATCAAAAAACCATTTTGCAGGCGCTATACGTCCGAACCCCTGACGTCTTTTTCTTGGCAGCATTTGGACTCATCGTCTCAAATGCAACGCGCGATAAATGTGGGCAGGAGTAGTAATGCTCAGAAAGACCAACTTACGCAAGCAGCGTTCCCCAATCGACTCCTGATTGCATCTGTTACAGGTGAGCTGGGAGATATTTCGGTGCACGATGCTATGCCACTTTCGCTATCGTCTCATGGGGCGGTGACGTTTGGATGTGGCAGACTGTTGTTTGGCGGGTCTGTCATTGGGTCTGGATTGGGGACTTCCGCTGTAAGTCGACTAACGCTGGAGGATGCGATTGATTCTGGCTCCCGTCTCGAAGTTGACATTTCACATGAAATGTACAAGCTTGCTAAGCAAGGCTATTCCATCGGACTATCTAAGAATCTGAAGTTGTTCAATGAAGCAACATCACGTCGCCGACAGCTACGAAGTTTGTGGTTGTGGGTCGACCAGGTTGAGGCTCTACGCCAAATGCGAGCTTTCCGTGTAGAGCAATCGCGCTCTACAAGTAATGGTCTTGGGAATAGTGCAGTCAATGTTGCAATGGCTGGTCCTCTGCGCGGGTGGCCCGTTGATCCAAGTGCGCTTGTAAGTGCTGGTGTGAAGAATTTGCTGACAGTCTCTGAGGAGCCCTCGACGATTGCTAGGCTTAGTTCTGCCGGGCCCACTGCCACTGCTCAGGAGGATTCTAGAGAGGAAGAGTCTGCTGTTGTATCTGTGATAAAGACGGATCAGGTTCTTGGTTGTCAGTACTTTGAAGGGCCTGGACGGCGATTAAGTTTGCTAGCATGCAACTGGGATCCTGACAATGGTCAAGGAGGGTCCCGCGCGTCGTCAGCAGGTGTGGGTGGACCAGGCCTTGACAACGCTGCAGGAAGAAACATACATCGAAGTAGCTCAACTATCTGGAATCCTCAAAAGCATTACGATGAGAATGCCCATTCTGCCAACCGTTCGCTGAATGAGAGTTGTCGACATGAATTACAAGATATCCTGAACGAATGCATCTTGGAAGGCAATTACGCTCGAGCGGCGGCCCTCGCAGTGTTTCATGGAGATCTGAATGCAGCTGTGGCGCTACTTCAAAAAGGAGCTACATTGTTGACTCAGACGCAGCAGTTGGACGTTAGTGTCCCGTTGCCTTATTCGCCTGACTTGCTGCAACTTATCGCGATGTCTCTTGCAGGCTATTCGTCGTCTATTGCTAGTGCGGGAGGGTTGTCTTTGTGGTCAACCATGACACAGCAATTATTGAAGCGGAGTGAGATCATGTCGCAAGCTAACCCTCGCTACTTTCACGCCATGCTATCTTTCTTGTGCGTTGCAAGCTCATCTTCTTCGTCTAGATCAACAAATCTAAACGCCATACGAGCTAATCAGCAACCTTTGCTGCGCGCAAATAGTCGAAGACAGTGGGGAAGCGTTGACGGGATAGCAGCTTATGGAGGAGTTAGGCCTGCAGGTGCTGGCGCATACTCGGCAATTCTGAACGATGTTACATTGCCTCTAAGCGACCGGCTAGCGTTTGCTTGTCGATATCTTCAGGCTGACGACTTGCTTGCGTTTGTCGCTCAGCAAGAGGAGGAAAGCCAACAATATGGTCGCCTCGAAGGGTTGATTCTGACTGGAATTAATACTGATGGTATCAAGCTTCTTCAGACATACGTAGACATGACGGGTGACATCCAAACATTGGCATTGCTGGCTGCGCGACTTCCATCTTCGTACGTGAAAAAAAAATCTACCCTGGAGAAGTGGATTCAAATCTACAAGGACTTGCTGAATCATTGGCAGCTGTTCCACGAGCGAGCTCGATTCGATGTGGGTCGCTCGCAGCTTGAAGATCTTTTGAATGGTTTTGCGATCTTTTTGCGTGACAGCGATGCAGATGAACACCAAGCCAAAATTTCAGGACCGTCAACGCTTTCCGTCCCGCCACAGTTATTCGTACGATGCAATTTCTGCAATGCATCGCTGTCGTTGGCTAGTTTACTACGACTTGGCGGATCGCACTCGTCTTGGTTGAATCGTGCCAAGCCTAAACTTACGTGCTGCCCAACATGCCGAAAACCATTACCACAGTGTGCGCTATGCTTGCTCCCGTTTGGATCACTGAATCCTTACTTTGAATTGGCGCACCGCCGTTCACGGCAAACGTCTGATGCAGTGAACACGTTAGTGACCAGTGTAGGAGCCGATCATAGAGGTGTGCTGAAGGAGCCCAAAACAGGCAAAAATGAGTACGAAAATCTCGGTCAGCTCTCTAGCATTCCGTTTGTGGAGTGGTTCACTTGGTGTCAATCGTGCAAGCACGGTGGTCATGCCCACCACCTTGCAGACTGGTTTAAAACGCACACAGTGTGCCCTGTTACAGACTGTAACTGTTATTGCCAGCACTTGGACTTGCCAATCGTGGGTGACGACAATCAAAAAGCGCTTATTGAGCAACAGCGAGCTAGCGCTGCGGCGTTGGCTGACCAACGTGCAGCTCTAAAGGGGAAGACAAAGCAGCAGCAATATCACCAACCAAAACCGCAGAATGCCAAAGCACCGATGCGTGCTGGGAAGAAGCAGCAACAACTGGGATCACAAAGCTCACAGCACAGTTTCTCGGCATCTTCTACCATTGGCACGAGCTCAACGTATCGTTCATACTCTTCCGCTCAATTGAGACCAAGTGGCTCTAGCAGTGGCTATCCACCACCCTTTTCGTTATCAGGGAGCAACTCCATGGCAAATCTCTCCAGTGGGATCAACGCTGCTGGTGCTGGCAGCAATGTTGGCAGCGGTTCACTAATCGACGGGGTTTCTCTCGGCAACAAACTCGATCAATTGGAAAAGGACAAAAGCAGCTATCAGTTCATGTGAAGATACAACATTCGTCAATAATGAATCGCGTTTAGCATTGCGTAACAAAATGCATATGGCAAATATCCCTTGAGTCGTCCAGCTCTACAGGTAACAAACGAGTTTATTGCACCCAAGCATGATACTTGCCTGCTGTTGTCGTTCACATCTCCTGCTCGTGGCTCCCATTTCTATAGCGATGCAGCTCTTTTACGTGAAGCTGACCACGAAATCAGCTTTAATAGTCGGCTCTGTTTGCAAACCCCGTGTAGCATTGCTGCTCCTCGCTTTGCTAAAGGTATCGACGTCGCAACAAATGCCTAACTTCTTCATCCCCTTTTTTTATCAAGATGTCAGCATTCCACCCCAAGACGATCGATGAGAACGAACTCTGGATACTGAAGACTTGTCACGTCGCTTCTTCGGTTGTGCTGTTGAGTATCGAGCTGAAGAGGTGATTGTGACGAAAGAACTGAACCCGCGTGGCATCTTTTTCTTCAACAAACTGCTCCGTCAAACGAGCTGGACTGGTGGCGACAATTCCGCATGCTGTCGACTTTTTCTTCTTCCATTGAGGTTGATATACCCCCCGGCGGTCCTCGTCTTTTGAGTTTGGAAAGCGCCGTTGCCAATGAAGAATGAAGCGAGCTTCGTCTGCTTCAAAGCATGTTCAGATACTGAACTGCACTTGGGCTGGAAGTGATATGTGCTGCTTGGTAGAATGCAGACTTTGGCGACAACACCCTCTCACGAAAACGAAAAATATGTTGATCTATCTCCGGATATTTTGGTACGCCTCTGTGCCTTGTGCGCGACCGAATCGAGTTCATGAAATGCTTTGTGTGCTCGACGATCCTGCCACAACGAGTGTTATCCGCTCGCACGACACGCTTCCACTCGGGCAATGACGTACAAGATGAAGGACAAAATGATGCCTGTGACGAATACTTTGTACATCAGTTTGACAACATTGTTCCGCCTTGCCAAATATGAAGAAGAACGTCACGCGTTTTTCACATTCCATCCAAGAACAAGGATTCGGTGTGCTAGTGTTCGTCATTCATCTCTCCATGAATATGAACCGCAAGTTCTAGTTGTCCAACCCGCAGAATGGTCTGTCTCACCAGCGCAAATGCAGTCAATACACTCTCAAATGCTGTAGTTAGTGCTTTAGTAGTTTCCATACTTGAATCCATGAGCAGACTTTCCTTCAATTAGTCGCCATCGTTACCAACTGCTACTAGCATCGCATCGTTTAAGCAAGGCTGAGACGTTGCGCAACAAATAACACCAAAGTGCGTAACCTTCAAAATCTGCACTTCGTCAGCGACAGCATCAATGTCCTTCTGTAACCACTGCAACTCGACATCCGTTGACGCTACGCTACCAAGATCAAGCACAGCAACAACATTAAGAATGAAAAGTGGATGTAATGCAATGCTGCTGTATTTACATTGAAGCAGCCCCAGCCAGTCAATATGCCGGCCCATAGATAGATACATAAGAGTATAGATAAAGCGACCAGCACCAATCCAGAACAACATACTGCCTCAAAGACGAGGCGACGCTATTCTTGGCTCAGTGCATGGTGTAAGTCCAGCACCACATGCTTGAGGGTGAATGAAGACAAGGCGTTCGACGCCAAGTTATGATCATGACGTGGCGTCAGGATCATCAAGACAGGCGTCCAAGCCGTAGATAGACGAAACCAACGCGCTCAGGCGACTGCGAAGACGGTCGTTGCGCTCACGAAGGTCATGAACAGCCTAGACAAGAATCAGATGAAAAGCAAAAGAGTGTTAAGAGACAATTTCTTCCACAGAAGACGACACCGCACATTCTTTTATCGCACCTGCTGACTTTTTTCAAGCACCAGTTTCTTGCGTAGTCGAGCTCTTCGTGCGTGCAAGCGGTTACGTTCACGTCGCACGCGTTCACGTTCTTCCTTCGAGCAGACGAGTACACTATTGGAAGCAGTAATGGACAAATACGGTCTCTTTCCATTGACATTAAGTTGCACATCGGGATACATGCAGGTGTCGTCATTGTCCTTGAGTTCACATCCATTCCATGCTCATGCATTTCGTCATCGTAGTCACTTTCATGCAATGAACACGTCGTGTGAACACTCTCACATAACTGTCCATCCTTGTCTCTATCCTCCATTGCATCAATCCCAACTTGCTCTAGTCGATAGACACAGGGAAGATCATGAACATTTCCAAGTTTTAAAAGACATACAGCTGTTGTATGAAAATCATAAGCTTGTTTCAAGAGCTGAAATTCATCTTGCAATGCTTCAATACGTTCCTTAAGACTCTCCAATAACTCACGTTTACGAATTCGTGTGCGTTGTGCATGTAATCGGTTTCGTTCTCGACTGACACGTAATTTTTTCTCCTCTTCACTTGAATGTTCCATCTCATTCAAAACATCCGATGGTGATGTTGGTGAATCCAATTGTAATTTTTGTAAGAGTGGTAATGTCATTTTATTGCTACTGGCTCCATCTTTCTTCATAGGAGACGTTGATGGTGGAAAACTCGTACTTAGTAAATGGCCACTTGTAGGTGTACGTAGATTACTCATTGTTAATTCTTCTGCTTCTTCTTCTTCTTGTACCTCTGGTTTACGACGTATACAACTAGGTAATGGTACACCAAAGTATCGAGCCATATCCTCTTCATATTGTTCACGTTGTTCTTCATTCTCATATGTAAAATATGTCCATCGAGATCCAGATGTCGTCGTAGTAGTATATAATGGTCCAATCGATGGTAATACAATAGGCATTGTATCATCGGATGAAATGAGACGTCTACCCCCCACTAGAAAGGGGCATGGATTGTCTTGTTCTTCTCGACTGTTTCTCAATATGGGTATTCGACACTGACTGTACTGACTGGTTGAGCCTACGGCAGGAGGAATGTATGTCACTACCGTATGTTGCAGATCTGCTGATGGTCAAATCGTTGAATCGCAGAATGTATGTGATTGTCTCGGCTTTACGCTCAAAGAGGTTTGGGTGGTTTAGAGGCAAATGCTAAATAGCTGACGTAGGAAAACGACAGTTGGCCGGTTTTTGTCAAGGTTATGGATACCTTGGTTTATGGAATGTCATAGGACACAACAGGTGGTGGGATTTGTATGTAATACACGACAAAACAACCTGGATTTACTGACGTTTGTCACTAAGAAAAAGATCGTGTCGTGCACTGATTGGCTACGCTGACACACATGTGACGAATTGATAAGAGCAAATGTCTATCGTTTCGAAACATTGAGCTTCCACTAAGTACGATGACTTGCAGGAAGCTAGTCGCGCGTTTATCACACACCACGCATTCACCAGCGTTTTTCAACCTTTGCTAAGCTATAACCACAATGATTATCGATCTTTATTAAAAGCAAGTGATGTATATAAAAACTAGATAGAAACCACTAATGTTTTGATTTTCGAAGAGATAGATCGTGGCTACTTTGGTAAGATTCTTAACAGCATCAAACCTGATACATCGCACCCTTTCATGATTATCAATTTTGAAAGGAATGAAAGACGAGTCGCACGTGGCTTGAAGGTCAAAGCAACGTCAACGGCACTACAATGTGAGTACTACTGCACTACAATAGCGACATGATGAGGATGCAGCGCAAGGAAACTGGGCGTCAGGAGTCAATGAGAGAACGCACTTGTAGTCTTGTGTGGCTCATGCAGCTCATTACTTGTGACGAAGCTCGGTGAGCATTGCCTTGTTGACTCAAGTCTCGTACTAAGCTGTTTGCAAACCAGTTTGTACTTTCATTGCCATCAAAGTGCCGCAATCTCTTTGAATGTCAAGTGAATGGATCAGATCCGAGTACTATAAGATCGTTATTATCAGGCATCTAGGCACGGTACATGTAGTTTAGATACGATCCAATATATTCTCGCTAGTCGGGATAAACTTGAGTGGATCGCGGCTACTTTTGCGCAGACTTGAAGCAACTGCAGTGGGTAAAGGAAGCTTGCATCAGGGACGTGGCGTTGGCGCTGGCTGCTAAAATGATTGCCGCCCATGACTCTTCTACTCACTTTCTGGATATGCTTTTTGTCTAGCAGAGCAGCAACTTGAAGTCAACCTCAACTAAAACTTGAGTTGACCTTTACAAACCTCTAAGTATACCAAGTATTAGGATATGCTACGACCCTTAACTCTGTAACTTCCTATCGATCATACACCCACGTTAACAGTAATAAAAGAAAACATGTTTTGCCCAAAGTTGTAGCGCTTGATGATATCGTTGCCGTTTCAGAATAGAATCGCAATCCATCCATCAACGACGGGGGACGTGGGACATGAAAAAGATTATGTAATCTCATCAACATATAATCCATCGCTGTTTAAAGACGTTTTTATAATAAAAGATACTAAAACAAAATATAAAAACAATTCTATATAAACCCCTTTACATCAATGGAGCTCCAGCAGGAGCTTGTGCGCGTCTTACAGCCACTTGCACTCGGTTCTATCCCTTCTGAATCCATTTCATGTGTCTTTAATACAGGTGGAACTGCTGCTTTACGTGAAAAATGGGCTGAAAATATCTCGCAGCGACAGCTACGCGCTATCTATCGCGTGTTTATCAAGTATTTGAGGCTTCATGAGGCCGTAACTCATCATCAGGAGGCTGTCGATACGCAAGTGGCGCAATTTTGGAGCTTTATTACGTCTCAGGAAGCTATTAATGTGGTGATACAAGAGGATGACGATGTGGAGAACCATGACGCTGTCTATCGTTCATTTTTTACATTGCTACAAGCGGTTATTAACGTACGTGATGTGTACGCAGCTATGAGTGACATGGAGAAAACGAGCGCATTGTTAAAAGCTTTAATTGCTGCAAACATTTATTTGACATGGCTACAATTACCGGGAGGAGCAGCATACGGTTTATTCATGTCATTTGTATATCGCCAAGTGCTGGATATTTTGAAAAAATGGGTCGTTCTTATGGCGACTACAAAGCAAGGAAGTTGTAATGTAGTTCAGAAGAAAACAGGACGACATAAGAGGCGGAGAGCAGTGAGAAAACAACAAAGCAGTGATGAAAAAAGTGATGAAGACAGTTATGCTGCGTTCGAGACCATGACGACGCTCGGGTTAGAGCTGCTAAAAAGTTTAGTGACATTTCTGACCAATTTCTCACTCTCGGCTAGTGAAGAGTCGATTGTACCGACGATTGAAATAGCGATTGCGCTGCAAACTGCAATGCCACCGGAGAATGAGGGCACGGCGTCGGGTATGATAAGTAAAACGATGCAATTACTAGAAGAGCTAGTAAGCGGAAGGCATGGTGAACCATTGCAAATTGGCAGAGTGATTCTGCATTGCTATGTTCCAGGTGTGACGTTTCAGGATACGATGGCCAAGGAAACCAGGTCGTCGTTGCGCTTTCACAAGCTTGCCATTGACGCCATTACTAGGATCCAGTGCATCACAGCAAAAACATGTGAAGAAGACGATGCAGAGGGTACTGCACACCGGGAAAACTCGTTGATGCTGTTGGGTTTGCTGCAGAACATCTGTTTGCAGGCACCAGGTCTGGCAGATGAGCGGCAACGTGTCCTCTCGTACGTCTTCTCGACTACCATGGCGGGACGGCGGGAAAGCAAAAATGAAGAGCAGGCAAGACCAAGTGAGCTGCGAGACGAAGAGTGCGCACGATTTGTGCGATTCCTGGTTAGTTATTCTCGCAACGCCAAGCTAAAGTATCGCCAATTCGCGGTAGAGCTTCTCAGTCGTTTTGTGGTGGAAGCTAAATTTTGGAAGTTAGAGGTAAACGAACTACCTGAAACGTTGGCTGCATATTCGGGCGTAGGCCCTCTCTTGGAGGTCCTGATTGATCGTGCTCGCGACAAGATGTCCCAAGTTCGTACAAAGGCAATTGCTGGAATCTCGGCCATGCTGACATTAGGTCTATCAAACCTGGCTAATAGTGAACAAGACAATGATGAGCAAATGAATGAAGATGACGGATCGGAATCGATTTCAGGCTCACTGCAAAAGCTGTTGTACGAGCCATCAATTGATGCAAAAGGATTAGCGTCGCGTAAGGAAGCATTACTGATGGAGCGACTTATTGACCTATTCCGTGAGCGACTTGTGGACGACAAGACATTTGTGCGCAGAGCTGCGGTGCACGCTTTGGAAGCGCTTGTGACGGCGCGCATTGGCGAGACTGTCCACGCTTCTTTTAAGAAAGACTTGTTTGATATCCACGCGCGCTGCACGGATTCCTCGGTTATTGTTCGCATGCAGTCAATAAAGTCGTTGTCAGCAATCGTGCTCAAATTTCCACGCGATGAGGACGCTCAGAAGTTATGGAACCTTGGCGTTCTTCCGCTTTGTGTTGATCCAGAGACAAGTGTGCAAACTTGTGCACTCGAGGCGGCCAAAAAAGTTGTGTTTGAACGAGTTTTGATGTGGTATGATGTACGCCGTACCAAACATCAGCGCGAGGCTCTCGACAATGTTTGGATGCAGGTTTCGCACCTTGATGGTGTCATGGCTCGCTGCTTGCAGAAGGCAATGCGTATGTTAATCAAGAGCGACAAAATTGGCGTCGACAAGATTATTAAAGCATGCGTGTTTGCCATTAACGAAAGCGTGAGATCGTACAGCTCTGGGAAAGAGGTGGAAGAAGAAGCGGAAGATGACGATACTCGCCGAGTTTTAACTCGCTACTGGGGTTTTAGCTGGATTGTACTGGAGGAACTTGCGCACTCAGGCACCCTTATTGAAGCTGCAAGGGGAAAACAACACAATTTGAGCATTGTCGTTGAGTGCTGGAACAAACTGCAGGACCAGGCACTACCGGTGGAGTTTAATGAGGGATCGAAGCGCATTTTACGTGTGATTGCCGCGATTTCATCTGTAATTGATGCACAAGATGCCAAGTCGATTGCGGATGGCATTTTGGCTTCCTTGCATTCGTTTGCCATTCCACTAAATGTTATCGCCGATGGAATTCTTGCCTTGAATAGCATTTGCAAAGCCAAGGCTCCTTCGCCTGATAAGGGACGTGACATCAGCTTTGCGTGGGGAAAGAAACTTATTGATCTTTGTGAGGTTAATCTTCGCAAATGCTTTGTAAGTAGCCCGGATAATTTAGATGAGGAGACGATATTGCTGCAGAAGCAACTGATATCGATTGGTGAAGTGGTGCTGCTGGAGTTTAATAAGAATGCTGACAAGAGCGGTGAGGCGGCACTTTTACCTGTTAGTTCAAGTTTGAAGTCTCTTGTGCAGCTTTTTTTGCCACCAAAGTTTGTCCCTAAGAGTATTGCCATCAGCCGGTCCATGTCACAACCTACCGTACAAAGTGAGGAAGGTGAGACAATGACCTCCGTCATCTCAGAGTCCGTTACGCTGCCAACTCCTGTTCGTGTGTGCGCTTTCGTGACGCTTGGTAAATTGTGTTTGCGTGACAGTGACCTAGCCAAGAAGTGTATGACCATGTTCATTCGCGAGCTGAGAACTTGCGAGGAGCAGGACATACGATCAAATATCCTGCTGATTTTAGGTGATCTATGTATACGCTACACGTCTCTCGTTGATGCGTACGTTTCTACAATTGCTTTGTCGCTTCTAGACGAGAGCCGATTGTTGCGCCGCAATGCGTTACTGCTATTTTCACAGCTGATCCTGCAGGATTATATTAAGTGGCGTGAGTCACTGCTGCGCTTTTTCCTGCGAGCTGCAGTAGACGAAGACGAGGAACTGGCAAACTTGGCTCGCCATGTGCTGTGTGGACCTTTGCTACAAAAGTCGCCGCATATCTTCACAAACAAATTTATCGAGATAATTTTTGTCTTCAATGGGGTCCAGGGTGACAAACTTAAGTTTTCAGAGCCTTTTGAGGAGGAAGGTACGCGCGAACTTGCGCTGCTGGGCAATGCGTCCTACCCACGACGAGCAAAACTGTACACTTTTTTGTTGGAGCACATGACGGACGAGCAAAAGTTACAAATTTCCATGAAACTCTGCAGTGAAGTGCTGGAGGAAGTTATGGATGGCAAGCTTCCGCTGTGCGATAATCCATCGCAGATCACGGACCACTGTACAGAGGCAGTTCTCAAGGATACTTTCGCGATTTTGTGCTCCCCAGAGATTAAACTTACAACTTCAAAGGAGGAAGACGACGAGGCTGAAAATGAAGATGCAGCAATGGGAACACATGCCAACGTTGCATCACAGATTGCAGCAGCCAAGGGCAAACTATTGTCCAAGATGTCCAAGAAGAACTTTCTTGAAAATGTAGTACCGGTGCTCATCGGACTCAAACACACACTTGAGGCAAAGCATAGCCCGTTGACTCGCTACTTGCTGCATTACATTCGTGACTTATTCAAGATGTATCGTCAGGAAGTCAAGGATATTTTCATGAACACAGACCCGCAGATGGCAATGGAAGTGGAGTATGATCTGCGGCAGCTTGACTTGCAACAGCAACAGCAACAACAGCAGCAGCTACAGAAACAGCAATCGCGTCGCATGACCTTTGCTTCGAGTGATGCCCAGACAGCACCGACATCTCCGCAAGCTACAGCTACCGCTGCACCTCGAGCACCGCAAAGTGAATTATTGGAGGCAAATGATACCTGTGTGCACCTACGCAGGGACGAGACGGATGTGCCGGTTGGTCAGCTTCGACGTCAGAGTCTACCATTAACGCCAAGTATTTCTCGTAGTAGAGTACAGCCGCGCGCGGTGTCGAGTGAGGAAGCTCAACGGCAGACACCAAAGACGTCGACGTTGATATTTTCCCCCAGCCAGGGTCACATAGCCAATGAAACTTGGCACGTGACTGCCAAGTCACCTTCAGTAGACAAACCTCCAAGCCGTGGAAAGAAGAGCATTACTCAAAAAGATTTGGAAGGCTGCATGAAGAAGGATCTATCTGCAGCGTTTGACTCAGCAAATGAGTCAGACGAAAACGTGCCACCCACTGTAAACATTTCTAGACGACGAGTAAAAACAGCAAAGGCCACAGCCAAGGCAAAGTGTAAAACAAATTCCAAAATTGCTGCCATTAAAGCGACAAGAGACGAAGAAAACGAGTGTCAGGATGAAGAAGTTGTGCAGTTTCCGCTCAAGAAGAAAGCAAAACAGAAGATAAAAGCTGTGAAGAAATCTGCTACACGTATGAATACTCGACGAAAGCTTAAACACAACTAGTCACACCAAAGATGTCAAGTTGTAGTGTGCTTGATATGCACTCAAGAAAAGAAAAAGCTGTCAAACCTCGTATTGTTGTTGTCTGCTACTTCCACCTGTTTGTGCCATCATATTGTTCTTGTCTCCTACTTCCACCTGTTAGCGCCATCATATTGTTGTTGTTTGCTACTTCCACCTATTTGTGCCGTTATGTCATGTCTTCTCTTTCCTTTATCTAATCACACCATTCTTCACAGAAGCGATACATGGACCTGCTGACGTACAAAACACATGATCTTTCCACTTTGCAACCCCATTATCATCCGTCTTCATCTCGTTTCCAGCCATTAAAAGCACTTTTCTCTTTTCCACCTGTGCAGGAGACAAAGGATCACCTTCAAGACCTTGAAATGTAATACGTTCACCAATCTTTGCACCATCAGGTGGTGTCACAAACACGACCTTTTCCTCTTGATTTTCCATTGCTAAAACACCACATAGGACCATTCCATGACTAGAAAAATTCACAAGATTCCGTGGTTTTAGATTACATACAACAACCACACGCTGTCCTTGCATTTCTTCAAGTGAATAATAAGGAACAAGTCCACTAGCAATTTGACGCGGTTTTTCTTCTCCAACGTCAATTTCTTCACAATAAAGTTTTGTAGCACTCTCATGTTTCCAGACTTTTAGAATCTGACCGACACGAATATCGAGTTTTGTAATTTCAGGTTGAGTCAAATTTGATACTTCTGTAGACTGTTTCCAATTCTTCTTCGTCGTCGTTTTCTTCATCATTGTCGTCTTGCCTTGATCCTGTTGCTTGTTACTATCATTATGATTATTAGCAATAGGTCCAGTAGCTTCAATGCCTAATTCCGTCTCAAGGGAGTTAATAAGGTTCTCAATCTGATCAATGGCGCTCATGGTCCCGAGTTGTTTGTCAATATATAAATTAAACAGTTCTAAATTAAGAAATATTTTAACAAAAAGGTGTTGCTTTCTAATTTGAGCAACTTTAGCTTTAGAAATAAGTAGCATTTATGGTTTCATGGGCATGTGCTTATATTGGTAATGCTATTTACTTCTATGCTGCGTATTTCAAACTCATTGAATAAGGACCATCCAGCTGAGAAACATGTAAAAGAGCAAAACTGGGTACACTGTAAGCGCCTTTCGCTTAGGTGGTACCAGCTTCGACATGAACACAACTGACGCTACATACATCGCCAATGACACCGAGCAGAAAGTGGTGCAAATAGAAAAAAACATATTACCATTAGAGATCAGAATACAGAGCTCAGGTATACATGACTGACTGATTGACTGTTTACAAAGCATGACGCACCTCGTGTAGACCATAGAAAACCAACACCGACAATCACGATACGCAGCAAAACGTGTGAGACCACCATTTTCGCCAACATACACACTAGCGTGGCAATATTCAGCGGGAACACGCAATAACCCAGTACACATACGCTTTGGAAGAAAGATCTGTCGTAGATGCAAGTCCGTCACAATCGTTTGAATCAGTACCATTTAGATACAAACAATTTCAGCAATAACAAAGATCAAAGATCAACGTACATGGAGCTACCTAAAAGTTGCGCATTGATAGTGACAATAGTAGCACCTACCCAAATCACCACAAACACTCCAGTAAACACCATTGCTGATTGTGCCGCAGGTGCTGTCACACTCAATATTCTGCACGAGCATTTCACCAAATAGAACAATTAAAGTCGAAATTCTGCAACTTTGGACATCATTACACGTTCAACAACGTACATGGAGAGCGTTAGACACAGCAGCAATGGTCCCCAAAGATCCCCTATACATAGAAAACACAAAAGAAAGCGAAATTACAGGATCTGCTTGTGGCTCGACTCAGATCGATTCTCGCCATCGTACAGTCACGTAGTGCCTTAAGCGTCTCCTCCGACGTGTTACTAGGCATAAGGACAACACGTAATTTACTTCCAACCAGTCGCAAATCACGAAGCTGTTGCAAACAGCGACATCACGCGTCCATTTACAAAATACATGAATCAGAGCAAGTTGCATCGATATTTACAAAGAGACAAAGATACTAAACAGCTACGTACGATAGTAACAGACACGGGTTCATCCAAGGTGTTTTCCTTTCCTAAAGGTAAACTCATGCTACCTGAGACAAGTTCCACGTCTTCCATCTCTTTCTCCTTTATCTTCATCTTGTTCTCGTCCGTCATGTTTTTCTTCTTACGTTGCAAGTTTTATAAAAAAATGCAATATATTTCGGTAAGGAATTTATCGTGGAGTGTGTCTACGTTTTCGCTGCAAAGTATTCATTTGTTATTTTTATTAAAATATACATATATAATCTCTCAAGGGTCTACTAAAAGTGAAAAAATTTCTTGGATACTTAGTAAACGAGATACGATTGGCTCGTTTATAATTGCTCACGTACGTCGTCTGGCTTTGTGTCCTGTTTCATAACCGCTTTTTGACTATCGGGTCATGGGTTGTGCTTCTAGTACTGGGGTTTTCCAGTCCATTCCAGACAAATATAATTCTGTCGGTACTTGATAGTAGACGCTTTTGAATATTTGTATTATAAAAGAGTATTCTTCCTACTACTAACTCTACTCAATGCTTTTAAATTGCATAATCGTTTCATTTATCAGAGGAAGTTCAAAAAGCGCTTCGGTGAGTGTCAGTCTCAATGATAAACAAAGACCGTGTAGTATCGAGGTTTGTATTATCTTGGATTATACCTACCTCAACAATTGTTGTGGATATCTTGTTGTCAATAGCCAAGCTGGACTTCAGTCGTCCGATCTGATTATTGCAGTACGTATATGCGTGTATGCTTCATTAGCAACGGAATGGTTGTCATTATTCAAGCTTTTTACTGCGCCTTGATTCAAAAATAACTTTCATATGTGATGGTGTTTCATGTTTTGTTTTGAATAAAATGTAGGTGGATTTTACAGAATCAAATCTAGTATGGAATATATATGTATACGTATATAGAATGTTGGTGCACAATTGATATGATTGGTGACAGATTGCTGAGCTTGTTGTTGTTGTTGTCAAATTATAGTGGAAAGGAGAGAAGACATTTGAAGGACGATCACTTCATTACATTGATAAAACAGGCCGTGTGACAAACCCTTACCAGGTATGTTGCTTAATACGATGAGTCCTCTTACAGGATGGATGGATATTCATTGATATTCGTTTTAAATACGTGACGGGTATATTTGACCGTTCTTTTTCCTTCGCAGACTGTGATTTCGGCAATCACTCGTGTATTTGAGTTATTTGACGACGATGATTCTATCCCGGCCTTTGGTTATGGCGGATATCCAGAGCGGCCACCAGCGGAACGATACTTTCCGTTCGTCGAAGGTCAAGGGTGCGAGTTTGACGAGATCTTGCAGCGATATTTTGCAATTGCTTCTACTATGGAACTTAATTCTTCATCCAGCTTTGTACCGATCATCCACGAAGCAATGAAGATGGCAAACAAGAGTCGCCGGTACCACATCTTGATCATTATCTCTGACGGTCACGTTGACGACCCTGGAATAGCTAGAAGGGCAATTGTGGAGGCTTCTGAATATCCACTTTGTACGTAAAATATCTTGCGCGGTACAGTTGTTACCATGGTGTTGAATATCTGACCCGAGATGAGTTTATTTTTTTGCTCTTCTTAGCCATAGTCATGGTTGGTGTGGGCGATGGTCCTTGGACTTTAATGACCGAGTTTGACGACAAGTTGCCCGAGCGTCGTTTTGATAACTTTCAGTTTGTAAATTACAACACGATTCCAAGAGGAAATCTCGACAATCCAGATGGAGGATTTGCCATGCAGGCACTCATGGAGATTCCAGGTACATGTTTTTGACTGTATGAGTAGGACAGACTACAAAAATGTTGCTTACATGTGGACAACACTATTGCTTGTTCCTTTGTGCAGAGCAATACAACACAATCCGAGAGCTTGGATTGATCAAGAACTAACGCCGTCGACGCTACTGCGGTCACTAGTTTTGTCTTTGAAGCGTACGTGTGTACATCCGACAGCAAAATAGCAACAGCACCTTTATTTTACGCCTGCAAACTTACAAGCGTGCACCTGATCACTTTGTAGAGTTATACGCTATAGTGAATAAAGTACTGAATATTGATGAAAGACTTGTAGTTTGTTTTGAGTGTGCCTCGATATATTCGCACCATGTTGAGCGCTTGCTGTCGTCCATCCACTCACTATGTCAGTCAATGATGTCTATACCACTATGTATGATGGTTGTATACCGGTATCACACTACGATTTACTAGCTATCATCCATGAAGGTGATTATCTCGAGTTCATATGGTCCGTTTATCTCATTGCGACTGTTAATGTCACAATGTGCTCATTTACATGTGGGACGTGCTACAAAGTCTGCTACAAACAATTTTGTATGTCAATCACCTTTATCTCGTTCAAGTATGAGTCCAAAGCTTCGTGTAAGTGCACCAGGAAGTAATGAAACACAGTGGCTGAATATAAACCAAAGAGGGATTGGAAGTCCTGATCTTTGGGCAAAAGATATGCCTCGATTGAATACAATGAAAATGCTCATGTCTTCTTATACTAGTAACTTTATCCAGACAGCTATTGATCCTTTAGTGCGGATAAAATCAGGTGAAAAACAAGCTTCCATGGAAGCTCTGGCACTGAGTGAGGTTCTTAAAGACACGAATATTTCACGTGAATGCTTTGTTATATCGGCATTAATTGGTACAAATGTACTACATTCCACTCAATTGAAAACAAATGAAAGACTGGAGAGAGAGTATGTCAAAAAAGGAGTGGAAATTACGATTGAAGAACTGGATATTGAGACACTAGATCATGTTGTATGTCAGATCCCAGAAGAATTGGCTTTCATACCAGCAAAGCAAAAGGAATTGATGGAAAAGCTAAGGACGACGTGTGATGTCTTAGAAACATTGTGCAAGCATGGAAAAGTGCAGAGTTATGGCTTTTCATTACCAACTTTTGACGTATCAAGTCAATTGGAACAACTGGTAGAGAAAACGTTTAGTCCATTGTCGGAACTATTTGGAAACTTCGCGTCACTGCAGCTGCCTCAGCATGTGGGTAGTGCAATATTTGCGCTGCCAGAAATTGTGATGCAATTCCGCAAGGAACGCGAAATGCTCCTTATCGGTGACCGCCCAATTGAAGCGATGCTGTCGAGCGGTCATCCGTTCCATGTGAAAACATACGACGTCATCTCTGGTGAGGATGTGGTGCTGTTGCTAAAGACGGCATTTAATCTGAGCATTGCTGTGGAGAAGAAGTACATGGAAAAGATTCGACCAGAATATGAGCATCTTGATCTGCCACCAGTAGAAGATGTGGCGTGGGCGCATATTCTAGCCAACCAGCACAGCCAGTTTAACAATCTTCAGGTCTGGCAATATGTCCGTGAGACACAAATTCTCCCTCGCTTAGACGCAACCATTAAGCAGTTCAACAAACACAAGGAGACGGAAGAGCTGGGTTTTACTTACTCAGTGGTCTTGAACCAATTGCTGAAATGTTTTACCAGATCGGTCGAGGTACGTCAATTCGTAAACTCCACATCGCGATTTGAAGTCAATTTACTGACACTTTGACTACTATCTGATAGCTCGTAGATGCTGACCGCTCGACAAGGCTTATGACCGCGTGGAAGAATGAAAAGGGATTGCTTCCATCGGAGAAAATTACTACTGAAGAAGTGGCAGTGATGGCAGCGCTTAGCACCGGCATCGACATCACTTTGCTTGAAGAGCAACTTCCCGCTTCGTCCTCGTTGCCTTTCACCCACAAGTTTTCCTCTACCCAACTGCAACAGATCACGGCACTAGCAGAGCCTCATTTTGCTGCCGAATAATCAGATTGCTAGTAAAATAGCCTAAAGAAATAACCATGTTACGGCTTTTTGGTTCCCAAAGACTGTCACTGAGTTTTGCCATTATTGTCGTAAAAAAGGCCTGAAGTTATGAAGCATTCCTCAATATGTTATCATCAAGACTGATCCGCACTTGCACCTCGTTGTTGTGTCAACAGTATTGCGCAACTGCTCAAGAAGTTTTTCGTAGGAGCAATCGTGGCGCTCAATGCCATAGTACCGCTGACAGCTACATCGACATCGTTGACTCGGGACAACATCAAGTTTCTGGCGGTTGGTCGCGTTATGGATAAAATGGTCGTAGCCTGTTATGTGCATACTTCGGACGGCAAACTCGTGCGCGACAGTGAGGCAGAAGATACCAACGTATTGAAGTAAATGCTGAATAAAATGATCCAAGCTCCGACGTGGAAGTCGCACGTCAGCAGCTAAATAGCTGGCACTCACTCAAATGTGACCCTAATAAGCTTCACCTCATGATGAACAATGACGAGCTTGTGTTGGCAGCTATGACCGCTAAGAGTTATCCACTTACTTGACGTTCCAGGATATTTCTGTCATGCAGCAGGCGATTGTGGTAAAATTTGGCTCTAATGCTCTGACTTTTCGAGAGGTGTGTACTCATGTGGTCTAGGCTGGTGATTGCAGCAAGCTGAAGATTTGTCTTGGTGTTTTTGCAGAACGGATTGAGCAAGGTCTGCATGAAGTTCTTCATAGCTATTGCCACCACATACGATGATCGTACCAAGGTGGACAAGTTGTCCAAGGTAATGAATCGAGTCGATGATGGCACGACTATCATGCACCATAATCTTGAACTCGTGCTGTCTGACATGGAGAAGATAAAAGTTGTGAAGCAAAAGACCAATGACTTAAGTGATCAGGTCAGGTTTTGTTACAATACTAGTCGGAATTTGCGTCAAGAAATAGGGTGGAAGAAGGTGAAGCTGATGCTTTTGTTCCTCATTTGTACTCTTGTCCTTACTTTCATAGTAGTTGTTACAATGCTACATGTCTTTCAACCCCCTTGTCTTTCATCTTCCAAGATTCAACTCATCTTTTAGCTTCGTGTACAACGTGCATGTAGCCATATTAAACAAGACACATTCCGTCCTATGTAACATAGTTAAACTTAGTATAGCGTTTTTTTGTGGCAAGTGTTTGAATAATGGAGAGAAACATGTCCACTGCGCAAGAGTTGGAGGCGACACTTATGGACCCTCGCTTCTTACGTGGTACATCATTGCTGAAGAAAAAGCGTTTTGAGGAAGCAATAGTGGTCTTTGAGGATCTATTACGTCTTTTTTGCGAGGCAGAAGGCAAGAGTGAATCATTGGCTGTGGCTCCTATTTACTATGAATATGGTAATGCTCTATTAAGTCTCAATGAGACAACATCAAGTATATTTGGTCATGTTGTTGAAGGTTCTGTACCCAATCGAAATGAAAATAGTGAAAAGGACACTCAAGAGTCATTGGGTGACTTGGAGGCAGCTTGGGAGGTCATGGAATTAGCGCGCGTTATTTACTCGCGTTACCCTGGAGATCAAGTAGTTGAGATGCAGCTGGCTAGGGTATACACTCGATTAGGAGATTTGAGTCTTGAAAGTGACCAGTATGAACAAGCTAAAGCAGACTTTGAAAAGGCATTGCTGCTACGAAGGAAGCTGCTGAATGTTACCAATGCCGAGGACACGACGCAGCTAGCTGATCTATACTGTCAATTGGCTATTGCATGTATTTATAGAGACTCAACACAAGAAAAGGAGAAGAAGGGCGATTCGAACGAAGGACTTACGTACTATGTCATGGCTGGCCGAGTCATGGCAGAGAATATTCATCGGGTGGCAAAAAAGTGTGTCGATAAGGTGCAAGTATTTGTGGCGAATTGTGTTCCCCAGTATTCATTTGAAGGAGACAGTGTTGCAGAGCTACATAGCAAAGGCAAGAGGAAGGGTTGTAAATCGAGCACACGAGATCCGACGCTCACGTTGCAATTTAATGGAGAGCGTCCTGAAGCGCTTCGCGAGGAATTCCTCGCTTGTGTCGACGTCACGGAGGAACAAAAGGACGCGCTGAAAGCGGACGAGAAGACTCTGCTTGAATACCTTGAAATCTACTTGGAACTAAAGGAGAAAGTGGATGGCATTATAGAGACTAGTGTAGGTGCTGTACCAAAGAAGGATAAGGGAATGGATGAGGCGGTGACAACCCTTGGATTGCGACAGACTGATGCATCAATTGCTGCTGCTGCCTCAGTAGTTAACGTGGTTCCGGTGAAGAAACGGAAGACAGTGGCATGTGTGGCCAAGTCCAAGGAAATGATGGAGGCGTTTGCACCTGCTAGTAGCAAGTAAAATTGCAGTCAACGTCCAAGCATGGGCCGATGCACTTTAAGTAGCAAACAAGTTTGCATCTTGTTTTTCTCTGCTTGGGCATTGAAAGCGATCTACTCAATGTTACTATCATGTACACAAGCATGAGGTAAATGACACTTATAGAGCATGTATTTGTACTGCATTGTCGCTATAAGACCGCCTGCTGAAGTATGAGATCACAATACATACTATACCGACTGAACTCTTGGATTGCAGATATGCTGTCTTCGGTACTGGTGCAAAAGCATCATCATGACAATAGTAAAGTTGACGGAGCTACCAGCAATAAGTAGTGGTAAATACACTGTCCGTATGTTACATGTAACCTAGTCAAGACTATTGCGTCCAAAGTAGCTAGGTCATTCAAAAGCTTACAGCATCATAAAACATGTGGTAAGCTTGGATACATATGGGGCAGCCTTGTGGTTGATATCAGTATGATCATGTGCTTCATCATAATGACTTTCCAATCAGCAACAACATGACGGACCAACCACCAAACATCACAAAAGTTCAAGTTTATTACAGTGACGATAAGTGCTGCGAAGCAGGTTTTTCATTTCGCATCTCAAACCTGTAAGGTTTGATCTCAACACTATTGACAACATGAACAAATCATTTCACTTGACAATTGCATTCACTTGACCTGCCTCTGTTCAACACAAACGGGAATGCGACACATTCAATAGGGATAGTCAAGCGTTCTTTATCAACGCCTGTTACACTAGCCGCATGCCAGAATGTTGACGACCAATTGCAGTTGCGTGTTGAATGTAAATGTCCAAGGGCCAACATGCCAACCCTTTCGATGGCCAATCTGCTCGTACCAAGAGAAGACAGGGCAGAAGAACAACTGTTATCACCGGGATTTTCTTTTGATTGTCTTGACGTGTCGTACGAATTAGTGAAGAAAGTAGAGAGCATGGATAAAAGAACGCCTGACCATTCACAAAAGTACACATTACACACATTAATTCGCTGTCGTCCAGCAAAAGTATTCGGTACTAGTGGACACTGCGAGCACGATATTACGTATTGATCATCTATTTGTTGAATGCTGAGCATTACATCATCTACCTGTCCTTTTGATGTCCAAACGCAGATGCAAGTTGAGATTAGCTAGTACAAAAACGGTAGCTGGAAGGATTTACGAATCGATCATCTTTTTAATCATATACACTGAATATTTATTCCTGGGTCTTCCAGTATTGTATATTTGTATAAACTAGCATAAAACATTCACACAACGAAAGCTACGATAGCCTCATTACGTCCTCACGAGTTGGGTAACTTGTCACTTTACAATACACTCACTCAATTGCGCAAGAAACTTCAAACAAAATCATAATGCGCTTTCACTACCTTTTGTTGTCATTGGCTGGAGCCGTCGTCGGAAGTGCTCAAGCGAAGTCTGAGGAAACAGTCTCGGTCCCGAGCACAACACGTTCTGCAGAGCCTCTTACTACGTCTGTTACGAGATCGCTGCGGATTAATGCACACGAAGACGATAAAGAGAGGGTTTCTACTGCCAGTGTGCACGAAGAGTACGAAGAGAGCAGCGCTGACGCCACTGTAAACGAAGACGACGAAGAACGGAACCTCTCTAACTTTGCGGAGGCCTTTTCTAAGATCAACCCTTTTAAGAGAGGTGTCACGGATGATTTTTTGATAAAGCTGGTGAAGAAGGAGAAATCTTCGGAGGCCATCATGAAAGCAATCAGGCTGGACAAAGCTGGAGACAAGCTATTTGAAGACTCAAATTTTAAAAATCTTGTAAGATACGCGAAACATGCGTCTCCACAACACCCTGAAAAAGCGATGATCAAGGTGTTAATGGACTGGTATCGTCTTCATCCTGATATGCTGTACAGGATCCTAGAAGCTGAAAAGACAGGTAAGTATAAGGAAACTGCCACAGAACTTCAGCAGCTACTAGTTAAAGGTTGGATGAAAAGTAACGTCGAGCCGGGCAAGATTCTCGAATACATGGACACTTTCGGCAACGTGGATCGCATGGTTGCCAACCCTTTTTTTTGGCCTGGGTACCATATGTCGGCGACTTTATTAACATAAGTCGTGCTTATAAGACGTCTGCAATAGGCTTGTTAGTGGCTAGATACGAGGATGGTGCTGTGTTTAGAGCACTTGAAGCGTCACTAATAGTTCCCGAAAGGAAGGATGTAGCCGCGAGGTTGCAGGAAGCGCTGATACATAGCTGGGATAGAGCGAATAGTGACCCAAGCAAAGTATTGGAATTCATGGGGATTCACAACAGTCTGAAAAATTTTATTTTGAGCCCTCTTCGCAAAAAGTTTGAGCTATATTTGGAACGTTACAACGCTGGTATCGCAGATCATGACAAGACAGAGATGATCGATGTGCTATTGATGAACTACACTCCATCTGAGCTAAACCGATGGCTTCAGGTAAGCCTGACTAACCCTGATGAAAAGGAAATGGCCACGAAATTGCAGAAGCAGCAATTTCAGGAGTGGGAATACAGCTTGCTCGATGCAGACGATGTTTTCAGAGTATTAGACCTTCACAACACAGAAAACGAATTTGATAGCCTATCTGACGCAGGTCTACAGGTTTGGATCAAGTATATTAAGTATAAGACAGCCAAAATGATGTCTGGTAAAGCGGTGGACCCGGGGAAGAGTTTTGATGCGGCGGTGGAGGACGCGATGGTTAAGGCTGCAGTATCAGTAATGCTGCATGAGCTTGACATGATCCGCGTGCATAAGATGCTGACTGAGGCAGCTGTTAAATCTAATAAACATTACGAAATGGCTGTTAAGATGAAGAAGGAGTTTTTTGAATTGTGGGGTCAAAACCATGATGCAGAGCCGCATGAGGTGGGTAAAATTTTGAAAGACTCAGGATTCTCAAAGAAGGAACAAAGCGAATATTATTTAAAGTACTTAAATAATAATAATAAATACAAAGCTGATCGATGGGAGGCGCGAAGGGAGGCGCGCGAGGAAGGCGACAAGGAGAAGACAATATCGGAGGATTTGTCTAATGAGCCGAACGTTGGCGACAAGAAGAAGAAAATATCGGATCCGAGAAAAGTGGATTTGTCTAATGAGTTGAACGTTGGAGACAATGGGGAGACCACAAAAATTGACGAGATTCTGAAAAAGAGGAAGGATACCCAATTGGACGAGCAGCTGAAACAAAAGTTGGACGCGAGGAAGCAGCAGAAGCTGGAAGCAAAGGCGTTAGCGATAGAGAAACGGAATCCCACACTTGGGGAATTATTTGAGAGAAACCGTCACATAGATGCAACCTAAGAAAGTAGGCGTTAAGCTAAACAATTTACGTTACATTCAGTTTTGTGCAAAAGTATCGTTTGCGTTATGAAAACTTAAAACGCAAACTTGATCGTGGACACAACAACGGTGCAGACAACATTGCACTCGATCAATGGCCAAATTTGCCAAGCTCGTACGAAGCGCATCGCTTGCGCCGCCGACTGCTCACTAAAGCACGGCTACCTGCCGGACGATACACAGGCCATTCAGCGCCCCGCTTGCCGTTTACATGTTCGACAAAGTCGTGGAGGCCGCAAAGCTTGCGGGTGAGTGTGCCGATCTTACGCGTTGGTAGACAGATAATGATCAGCTGCTGGGCTTTAGCAGCTGATTTTGTTGGTGTCTGATGCAAAGGTTAGGCTGAAGACAAAGTTTCAACCAGCTGGCGTCAACTACGAATTTATATCTTCGATGAAGACGACAAGCACAAGCAATCAGATGTATCTATGTCACTTGTCTATCTACACAGCATTACCGGACCCACAAAGCGTTATCTGAGTTGCATTTTTTCGTTAGCTGATCCAAACTATGCAGTCTTGTAACTCATTCATCAACAACGACGCCTCAAATAAACTGGTCGTTATCGTGTCTTAGAACTCATCGCCGTAGTGTAGCAACCGAAGCAGCTCAGATTGAGTGTTAGTCATCTAGAGCCTTGCATCAACCACAAACGTCATCACCTGATGGAACATCACAAACAGGCAAAAGTTGACAATCCGCTGACAAGGCTTTATGTCGAGGAGATGAATGATTTTGTAGCGTCTTTGATACATTATCAAACATATAAATGTCCTACTAGAGCAAGTTATAAATGTCCTACTAGAGCAACTTATAAATGTCCTACTAGAGCAGCGAACAAATGATGCGCTTATTTCAGAGCGTCACACCCCTTAAACCTGATAACAAGGCACGTTGGCTTTGAACGACTTACTAAGGGAATCTCATACTGGTTGTGTGATCACACCATTCCAGTAGTCCCATGAATTCACAGGCATCAAACGCTGAGCGGACGGTTCGATATTTGCATGAAGAGAGAGTAAATGAGAGTAAACATAATCAGAAGAAGAATACGTTGTCGTGTCGGTGGTTCCTCGATCGTTCGTTCTATTGCGTCAGTACGTTATAAACGTACATTGTTAATTGAATACTGATTCAATTTATATAAAAGAAAAATGTAGTTAGATGGTTAACAATATGTGCTGTTATACATTTTTACTGTCAAAAAGTAGCACCTGGGAACCAAATGGAACATTTCTATCGATATGGACAAGTAGATGAGTGTAAATTTACGTGGAAGAATTTGTATTTGTGCTATCGATCAAGTATGATGGATGAGAAAAAACGTCAGGACTTCCTAAAGGATACACCGCTGGACACGTCGAAGAGCCCGTACATCACGGATGTGTGGGAGAGAAAAGAAACACCTGGCTGGTAGAAACGGTAGCTAATGCGCTAGATGTGGTACGAATTGATGAACCTAAAAACAGACGTAAAGCAAACGTGATCCTGAAATGTCTACAATACAAAGCTGTACGATTCGATTCTACCTACGTCGTACTCATTTACTTGCTTACAAATTGCGTTTCGCTGATAACAGCATTTCAGAAATTGCTATCGGGTCGAATCTTCGGGCAATGAAGCAGTTGCCATTTCAGGGATGCCTACCATCTCTTTTCACAACCGTTTCGCACCGTTGCACAATCTTTCACCTTGACACTCAACTGTTGTTAGAAATATCTCGCGTAACGATATGCTTTGCAGCGTCCAAGAGGCTTTTGTATACTCAACAAGATTTACTACCACATGGTACAATACATCAAATGCAATCATTTGCTGTTGCATTTATAGGCATAGGCAAGCATGCGATCGATTGGGAGTGCTCTAGTGTATAGTACCAATGTACGTATATACACATAAGGCTCACATTTAAACTTGCACAATACATTTATCGGTGTACATGTGTATATCATGAACGTGTATTGATCGCAGCACGAAGGACATTAGTCGACCTCACAAATTTGTCAGGCTTTACATCAGTCTTGCGTCTTCCTTTGATTGGGCAAGACACTTCAACATATCCTAGTAGGGTTGGGGTAACGCCTCCCAGAAGGCTTGGGCTAGCTGATGCTAGCTCAGGCCTCCGACGGGTGCTTCGCGGCATCCGTCAGTTTAGACGGTTTCCTCTCCCTTTACACACCTCTCTCTTGTCGCTCTCCCCCCAGCCTCCAGTCAAGCCGCCACGATGTACGCCACCACGCCGGAAGCCCCGAAGTCCCAGTATCTCCGCTTAGGTACGCTTGCGTTATTCTTTGTTCATGGTGCACGCAACAAGGACCCTCCCTGGAGGTAGACATCCAAGGAATTAAGCAAGGAACCACCCTGGACACCGCCGTCGACTGGACCCAGACCTGTTACTCCTTCGCCAATGTGCACAGGATCGCGCAGTCTGGACGGCCTTCAGCGCGGCGCTTATAGCGCGCGCCGCTTAATGGACCCTGGCGAGAGCAGAGAGAAATGTAGAGAAGGAGAGATAACCTGACGCATGCGAAAGTTGAGTCACTTCGGTGGCAAGATGGCTCGCGTAAACCGTTCAGATACATACTTCAACATATTTTACATTATAAACTTCTGCGCACTGGCGCTGGCATTCAATAAACTACTGAAAATAATGAAACATCACTCAATACAACCACTATTGAGTCTTTGACGATTCATTACTCAGCATGTACTCGCGCAAGTTCGGCGTTGGTGCTGCTTGTATGCGTGGCCGCACCCGCATAAAGAAGTACACGGCACCGATGGAAAAGTACAGAATAGCAACGATGATGGACGCTAGGAATTCGTAGCTGGATGTTCCGCTGTAGATAATCGACACCATTCCTACGACACACAAAATCATCGGCACCATGGCGCCAGGAATACCAAAGGGACTACAATCCGGGCGAGCCCTATTCGGCTCTTTGATGCGCATTCGAATTAATGAGGTCAGTTGAAAGCTGTATGAAATCACGGCGCCGATAAGTGCAAGGTTGATCAGCACCGAGCCGAGCCGTGTGTCTCCAATGATATAGTGAAGCACTAAAAACAACGGAAAATCCAATAGAGCTACCAGCAATTAAAGACAGATAAACAGTGCCACGAATCGGGTGTAGTTTGGTTAAAGCCTGCGGTAAGTAACCGTCACGAGCAATAGCGTACAATAGCTGGCCCATGCAAAATACGAACGAGTGAAAACTCGCAATAAGGCCTAGCACGAGCACCCAAGAGAAGCCTAACGTCGTGCGGTTGTCACCAAAGACGCTTTTGTATCCGGCCAACAACGGTGACGAACTGTTGTCAATCTCGTTGGCTCCTAAGAAGATCATCGAATTGAAAATGACACAACAAGCGTTGAGATGGGCGTTGCAAGACCAATTGGCACATTACGTTTTGGGTTGATGGTCACTTCAACGGCAAGCGGCAACTCCTCGATGGCTAAGTAGAACCACAATGCAAAAGAATCCCCTTTTACAGCACCGTCCCAACCTCTAGGATAGTCCCAGTCGACATCCGACACCCACTCCGTATATGACAATTTGGTTGCTGCACCGATATAAAACACCACCAGAATTAAGACCGACACGACAGTAGTAAAGGCTTGCACACAGAAGGTTGTCTCAATCCTGACAATGTTGAGCGACACAAAAACGACGTAGGAGACGGCCCACCAGATCAGGCCGTAGTCAGAACTCAGGTCCAGCAACTGGTTCATGTATGAGCTGATGCCCGTGACGACCACCGCGCATGTAATGACAACCTTGAGGCTTTCGGCCAGACCAGCGAAGAAAGCAGCGCAAGGAAAAATGGCATGCAATGCAAATGTATATGGACCACCGCTAGACGGTCACGTCGTCGAGAGTTCAGCAATGGAGAAGGCTAGAAGCACGTATAGCGCCGTGACGAAGGATAAGATGATAAGCAAGCCATCAAAACCAGCTACAAGGCACGACGGCACCTACGCCCAAGGCCCATAGATGCGGTGCCTTGGCGTAGCGATGTTTTTCCATAGAATTGATTACACTTTCTGGTATAATAATTTCGCTAATCGACATTGATTATTCAAGATAAAAATGATTAGGAATTGATTACTCTGAGGCTTACACTTAATTGATTTTTTTTGTTGTGTGCATGTCGCACGATATGTTATTCGTCTCAGGAATTGCTGCATAACTTCAACTAAAATACTAAGCGCTGATTGGTTTTCTAAATAGTAGCTTTCTAAATAAAATCATTTCAGGTTTTTTGATATCTACGATTTGATTTGCCGATAATATAAATATATCCATCTCTGATTAAACCAATCAATGGATCCAATATTACATCGTCCATCATAGTAACACGAATCTTCAGCAGCTCCATCTATAGAAAATCACTACTGATTCCACTGGACTACAGATGGGCGCATGCCGTTAATTCTAATCCCTTGCTTCAATTATTTCAGGATGAGATTCAAAAGAAGCAGTTGATGATGTCTAATTTTTTTCAATGCCACTGAGGCCGACATTATCTGGAGTGAAGTCAAACAGATATCGGTCATGGGACATCCACCCGCTACGGACGGCGATTTGACCTTATCTGAACTATTACATGCTCTGCTAGAAGTTGCGGCCAAATTTCAACACCCATTGACAAAAGATGAGACACCTTTCATTGTCAAGCTCGATTTTAAAAGTAGCCGAGCGTTCGAAACATCGTTCGAATTGCTGGCCATGTTCGTGGCGAAGTACCCATACACTAAGGGTGTTTTCATCAATGCAGATATTTTACCAGGACCTGAAAACTCAAACTCTGTCGCTTTTGATGCCACAACGTTCGTAAAACAGGTGGAGATTGTGATATAGGACAGCACCGACACAAACTTGTGCTCTCAGTAGGTGGACAACAGCAAGACCTGATGAAGCAATAAAGCATCGAGAATATTCCTTGGAAATGGTTCATAAGATGCAAAGTTTGCTGAAACCGTATGAAAACAGTCTCGCCGTCTCGTTTCCACTACGTGCGACAAGTGTACGAAAGTCGTGGCATGCGTTGCGCTTACTTCTAGAAACACCAAACTACACTTTGGTGGACTATGACTCAGATGTCTGACGATAATCCTGAATGGATATATACGACACTGGAATGCACGCCAGACGTGGAGAGCTCCACTGGCAGTCAGGTAACGTACGCTAATCGGACGTTCTACGATATCAAGGGCTTTAGCAACTTTCTGGCAAGACGTGGGTGAGTGCAACCACCGTTTACACGTACAAACTGCATAAACTATGTGCGGTTGTGGTGAAAGCTTTATGTGCAGATTCAGCGCACGGATTGATGTCCATTCAGACATGTATTTCCGCATGGTACCAAATTCATGCCACAAACATTATCTCATTCTTCACCGAGAGGGCTTGACTTATTGTTTTTTACTGGTGGAGAACGGAAAAGATGACAAAGGAAATTTCTACCATAAACATGACAAAAGGATTACAGCTTGGGGTAATTTTAGCCAGTTTTGCCATGTCTACGTGCTGCTGTGCTCGATACATTTTGCAGGAAGCAATGGTGAGGTAAATAGCCCGGTCCACGTCGCCGCAGAAACTTGACTCAAAAAGTAGCGAAAATGGGAATACTCCGACGTTATTTTCCGCACACATGTAGATGCTGCAAGTGATCTGGATCCGTGAGCTGTTTCAGCACAAAGATATGCTATGTTGCAAAATATCTTTTCAATGACCAACAGAAACGACTATGCGTATTACGCCTATCTCATGTATTATAAGATGGCTTCTAAACATGTGGAAGGAAGCAACATTAATGCCTAGAATATTTAGGCTCCAATGTAAGCTCAGTTTTGTTTGATACTGAAGTGATCGTCCCTCAACGGTTCAGGTCCACCGCTACTACCCGACGCAGCTTTACTAACATCGCCTCTAACAAGGTGACATAATTGCGGTTGAGTCACAGCTGCTTCGCTACCTAGAGCTTTTAAAGCGCGCATCTTTGTCTGCACGCGTCGAATGGCGTATCGTAGTTCAGTGGTGCTTACCCACTGCAACAACGTGTGATTCCGAATCGAGCAGCCACACATTTTCTTAGTATGCCGCAGGCAAGACAATCGACCAGGATTACATGTGCAAATAACGCCTGAAAAGAAAACGTTATGCTTGCATAAGTAGCACTGCCGTACGTCATCAACCTCCATTGACCGCTCGTCCAGCATAACATCCCCACTTATTTCCTCCACATTCTCTAAACCCTCTGCAAAAAAAGCTTTCTGGTAGTTTCGCTCTTCGTGGAAAAAGCGTCTCAACTCTTTCAGCAGAATCTCGCAGTCTGCAACTGAATATTCATTCAGATTTTGGGTTGATCCAAAGTGAAACACGAAGCGATCGTGCGAAAATATCGACATTCGTCCGTAACTGCGGTACATCTCAGCGCACTCTCTTCCAAAATCGATCCAGTTTGGAAGAACAAAGTTTACAGCCTCGGTGCAATTGAAGCCTTCGCTAAAACCACTATGATATGCCTTTGGAAATGTCAAAATGATATCACCAGGTTCTTGCACATGTGTGAATATGCTCACACCTCGATCTTTCAATACGGATGGAGGTACCATGGTTGTTAGGTGTAAGAGTAAGTCTGGGTTCTCTCGAAAACGCTCGGGCACTTGCGTCCTCATCGCTACCTCAAACTTCTCAGCATCTGAGCACGGAATTCCGTACCACCGTTTCTTAGCGCCAAGGTGGTGGTAGTTGATACTGGACATGTAGTTATCTTCAGCATGCCAGCAGAACGACGCAAACAACATACCGCAGTACAACCACGGTACGTTAATGCCATTAATTGCAGCACCCAAATGCCGAAGCAGAGAGCCATAGGCATCCGGAAGGTTGTTCAAGTTCCATCCCGTATTTCGATAGTACTCTGGATTTGTAAAGTCGATCATTTCTTTTCCTATGTGTATGAATAACATACCCAATATCAGATGCGATGAAAACGAAGCAATCCACGTAGATGATGCTAATATATTGTTGTACCTTTTGTAGCTTGCAACGCAAACCGCTTCACCAAGCGCAAAAAGCCACTGCCGACCTGCGCAATGTCAAGGTCATTGGCATATTCCACCTGAATGCCAAAGTATCACCGCACAAAATTAGCGCGGCAAAAGGAGTTTATCATCATGCGTGCAACTGTCATACTTTGACCTTGGGCTTTCCCGTCTGAACAATTCGCCAGTATTCCAGCTCAATCTCATCCGATGAAATCGTATCCAGATCTAGTCCTCTTGAGCTAAACCAATGGTCGCGAAAAGCATCCGCATTTGCACGAAACGACTTGAACGTGTGCCTCCTGCCGTAACCGTAAGCATGTCCTTTCTAAAATGGACCAAACAATTTTTTTTCTCCGTTAATGACAAGTTCGATACCACTTTTTCAAAAAAAACTGTAAGTTTGTAAACCTGTAGCTGGTGAAGATTCTGCTGTTTCGTGTCAAATTCGGCGCGACTGTTGTCCAAATCAATTGCAAAAGGAGGGTTCCACCCTCGTGGAGGAACAATTTTACAAATACCCGTACGTGCTGCTTCCTGCTCAATACTAGAACAACACACGAAATGATAACAATCTTTTGCTCAAAACCCAATAATACGTATTCAAAACTCACGAACCTTGCAATGTACTTGATGGGATCAGCAAACTGCTCCAATGTCGGATAAAACACAGCTCCATATGGCAAGGATGTAGTTTGCACTGTACTTTTCGTCACGACGGACTTGATCCGTGTCAACTTCAACATCTTCCTAGCCCTGTATGAATTCGAGTCAATGTCTGATTCCAAGGGCTTTTTTTTGTAACGACCTTTGTTCAAAAGTGTACCACTCGAGTTGGTACCACGAGATGAACGTGGAGAGTGCCAAGTTGTAAGGTTGATTTGGTCCGAGTAAATTTTATTTGACGGCGTCTTTATTTCCATAATTGAGTCAGTAAAATTGCGTGAATAGTCGTCGTGGCTTTATGGCTTGAGAATTTTTGTATCGGTTTCACTTGACTTGTGGCAAATCTACTAAATTAAATTGTAAACGAAAAATGGTCATCTTTGAACAAGGACGAAAGTAATACGTTCTAGGTTTGTAACTTTCGTCCAATTGTAGCTGAATTTAAATTCAAAAAACAACTAGAATAGCACTCGTTCGTTATAGCCTCAAACTTCAGATTTCATGTCAGCACTTTTAACTGGCATCTAACAGTATGAACCTTAAAAAGAAAGATAAAAAACCGATAAACAGGACATTTATCAATTTACTCAGGAATAAAACGACAAATTGTAAAAGCCAACGAAAAAGACTAGGAAAAAAAAAGCGTACCATTGAAAGCGTTTTAGCAACATTTTGTAGTATTAGGCTTGACGTTACCATAGGCAAAAGTATGATCGTCGTTTGTAATAGCCAGACCCAATACAACTAACACAGTGTCATGTGGACAAGTACAAAAAGATTGAACTTGTATCGACATTCCTATGTAAACTCATTTGATACGAAGCATAGGCCACACAGAACTGTGACGACGGGTCGTCATAGATTGAAGATATTCGATCTCGGTGAACGGGACATGCAAGTAACTACGAGACGCTTAAAACTGGTGGTAAAGGACGGAAACAACGATATCTGAACGTAGTAGTTGAGCTTTGCTAGAAACAATAATAATAATAACTCTACACGGCTTCTAGGCTATCTCGATGAAGAACAATTGTTTTGGGACGGCCTAGTGTTTTGCTGCAATTGATCTCCAGCGTTAGTGAAGGCTGCTGAACCGTTATCTCTTGCCTCTCTCATCCTGATCCAGTGGCACCTTAGCAGTACCATAAGAAACATTTTCGATCGGTCGCAACTTCTTCTAGCGTGCCCGTGCTGATACGCGAAAAAAGTTTGATGCAGTCATTACCTCACTGCACTTGACAGCCTCACAAGTAGCCCATTATTGTGCAATCTCTAGATCGTCAACAACTCTAGACGAAAGATTGCTCCATCTAGCGGCATGTACTGATGGTTAGTAGACAACAAACGTAGCCGAATGGTAAACTCTGGCAGTAGAGGTGATCTGCGCGTTGCCACGTTCGGGGTACATGAAACTCAGCACGGGCGATCTCTACGAGTGTGAGATCAGAGGAAGAGCTTGGTGCAAGCAGCTCGTATTCTCACGTCGTGTGCGCAATGGCACGGGACAATCTAGACCAAATTGACAGCGATGAAAGGGGGTGTTTGGTATGCAAGATAATTAGCAGTGTGAGTCAAGGAGAACAATATATATGTCAAAAGGTTTTTGTCTATATATTGTTATCGTTTCAACATGCGGGTCGCATTGTGTCTTGTCGTTTGTATGCTTGGCGGTTAGAAATTTCGACGGTTGGACTTTGTCTTCGATTTTTTTTAAGATAACGCTTGGGCTCATATTGAGCGTCAGTCAAAGATTTGGCAGTTAGCAATAAAGCAAAAGAAGCACATTAAGATCCACCGGCTGAGCGTAGAAAGCTCATATTTTATTAATGCAAAGTCAACGTAAGCCAGTAATGCACAAGCTTCGTAGAGAGCGCAAACCTGTAAGCAAATGGTCAGAGAAAGAGGACCTCTTGATGCTTCAACTTGTGCAAAAGCTTGGTACCCGCCATTGGACCGTTATTGGCACAAAATTGCCTGGACGGAATGGCAAGCAATGCCGCGAAAGGTATTGCAATGACATGTAGCATATCCGTTTGATGATTGAAACACTTCAAGTTAAGATTGACTTAATATTGGCATTTAGATGGCACAATCAACTTGATCCGGCAATTCGAAAAGAGCCGTGGACAGCTGAAGAGGAACGTATTCTCAGCGACATGCATGACAAATTTGGCAACAAATGGGCAGTGATTGCCAAGATGTTACCTGGAAGAACGGATAATTCCATTAAGAACCACTGGAACTCCAGCAAGCGACGACTTCAACGTAATGGTGCGCCGCTAACTGCATCGCAGCGTAAGCGTCGTCATAGCTCGGGGTCAAAACGCATCTTCTACGGCGACTTCCATGAGGTAATGTCTCCTCTGTCCATTGTGGGCAATGAGATGTATCCTCTCAATACTTTTCTTACGGACCAAACTAACTTTGCAAGTCTGTGCCCGAACATTTTCCTACCATCACCTGTTGCAGTTCAAACTAATCAACTTGGTAGTCCGTGTAACACAATGTGCTGGACACCAACCGATACAACGCACAATCGCCTCAATTCCATGTGGCGCGTTCCGGCAATGCCAAATTGGAATCCGACTATTACTTTCACTCCTCCTTTCAGCACATCTACCACGATCGAGCCAAGAAGTACGAAATTGGCGTGCGATCAAACTCCAGTAATGAATGGGAAGCGCTTAATGGAAGATAGGAACGAACATGGACAGAAGCAGTTGAATTCACAAGTGATAACGCAGGAGAAAGACGACCCATCGCTGGAGATCTTGGCCAATGCTGCGCTTCTTCAGGCGATTGGAAACGTTGAGGAAGCGTCATCAATTTAAGCGCGGTCGGAGCGGGAAGGGTAAGGGAAGGGGTGACAAGTTTGATCATATTTCTATGGGAATAATATTTAGCAAATAAACTGTTCTGAAAGCACACGAGGTCCCCGTTTTTGTGTCACACTACACACACTCTAAAACTTTGTCTCAGGTCAGTATTATTCTGATTTTTGAACTTGATTTTTTCCAAGCCAAAACCTCTAAATTTATGAAAAATTCTGCGGTGGTGGCTGTCTCTCTCACAACTAAAAAACTAGTCTTTAAACCATACAAAATATGTTAAACCAGCTTGTAAAGCAAACTACGAACAAAATGAGTGCGGCCGGCCGTCGCGGCATCTCAGCCTCAGCTAAGCGTATGTCAGCCGAGGGTGAGCACCATCAACATCTGGTATTTGAAGGTGATTTTTCCAAGGGTGTCGTGCTCGGTGTGTCGCTCTTTGTGACGCTTGGCGGTATCGCCGTACCCGTGCTCTTGTACCGCTATCAAAACTGGAAGCACGGATTTCCGCAGCAGTAAACAGACAAAGCAAAAGAAGAAGAAAATGAGGCTGTCCAGGACAGAGATCAAACAATGGAAACAGAGATATCAAGCGTGCGTTTGAAGTTGAAAAGAGGTTCATGATTCAGTATCAAATGACGAGTCGTTCTCAAGTTTGCTACTTATTCGTAGTGAATGAAGTAGAGAGACGAAAGAAGTAGAACTGATGTGAACAATGAAGCAAGCGACAAATGAATCGAGTATATTCTTGGGGTCAGCATAGTAAAAGTGGTTTATTCAATAGTTTGTAGTAGCCTCATGTCTTCTACTATTGTGCATGTTTACAAACGACTGTAGCTTATCGTCACCAACTAATGTGGTATCAAGTTGTCAAGGAAGCCTAGTGTGACACCGTAGCGGAGAGCCTTGAACGTGTGTTTTGTCTGGTGGCGTGCACGTGACAGCAGCAGCGTCTTTAGTATCGGTCGTCCCTTGATGAAGGGTCCGCAGCTGTACTTATCCCTCTCCAGCATTTGTGTAGTTCTCAAATGTGCGCATCCAACAACGGCCGTGAAAGGAACATTCATTTTGCTCCTTGTACCTTTACCTTACCTTGTCTTAGCTAAGCCATTTAAAATGTATGTGCGAGTCTGTAAATGGTTAATTGTAATCTCTGAATTGATTCTGGAGCCAAAGATACGACTTCCGTGCTGAGGCGATAGAGCAGCAGTAGTAGTAGTAGTAGAAGAAGAAAAAGAAAAAGAAATAGTGAGTGCGAGGCAGATCATCAATTCTATTGTAAGTTATTAAGGTTTGGCTGGTATATCCTAAGCCTGGTTAGCAACACCGGTCCCTCGTCGAGTCTGGTGGTTGTCGGGGCTAGTCACCTGCGTGACGGCTCTCGAGGTTGCCGCGCTATGATGCGCTGGCAGTATAGCAGACGTGTACACTTAATGGACGTTTCGACGCGTCGGCTCTCGCGCTTACCCATTGCACGCAGCTGTCACATGGGCGCAGCAATAAAGCGATCAGTTGCTAGAGTCTATGGCCTGGCCTCTAGTATCGCCTCGTTATTTCTAAACACGGCAACACGCCTGCTGTCCAATGCTATGTCGCATCACGACAGGCCCAAGCCTGCCATGCACTACAATAGATGTCTTTCCGTTGGGTGAGCTAGAGCATAGATGGCTTCAACCGCTGCGTCTTCCACGCAGCGCGTATAGAGGCCAAACCGACTCCACCCGCCCGTTTAGGCGTGTACAGAATCGCCTGATTCATCTTATGGCGACCAGCCTCCGTGCTGGTGGAATGATGCCACAAAAATTGCTTCTAAATGTTGCGTAACTGTGGTTCCACCTAAGGTTGTGTCTCAAAGACTGCCGCCGTGAACAGCACTGCTGGGAGTATGATGACATTCGGAAGTAATGCTCTGGTCTCAACGCTGGTCGCAAGTTAAGTTGCTGTTGCATATTGCCGTTGTACGTTTCGAATACGCGGCGCCCAGTTAAGATGTTCTACCCGCTAGTACAAGTAATATTAGTAGAAATAGTAGTAGTAGTAGTAGTAATGATACAAAAAGGAGTGTTACTAGTATTAATGTAGCAGTAGTAGTAAAGGTGTACGTATGTGTAATTCATGTCGTTTGTATAATTTCTAATTCTAGTCAAAAGTTTCAGCTCATGTCCTCTGTTCTCTCCATAAACTCTAGTTTGTGCTACCGACCGGCATGTTCTTGCTACTCTTTCTATGCTCGGCTTTTTCTGCTGTAACATCAATTCGAATACATGACGCAATTCCATCAACTTCAAACGTAAATTTGTAATGAATTTTGGTGATGATTTCATATGTAGAGACGTAAAGAGTTTTTGGGTAAACTTGTAGAAGACGAAACAAACTTTAAAGTAAGAGTAGATGATTGATGCAGTACGAGTTTTGCAACCTAAGATAGAGAAGCCACCTCTACATGCCAAAGAAAATAGTCGGAAGGCGTTACCATTGAAAATGCAAGAACGGATGCAGATGCAATCGAACTGTGAAATGACAATCGACAAGTCACTTCAAAATCCGAAAATTGTCGCTTCTGTGCTATCAAAGCCACATATTGCTGACTCTTAACCGATTCTGTGCAAGGATCAGTTGATGCGTTATGAGCACGGAGCTACGTTATAAGCTTATGGTGTTGCAAGTAGTTTGGAAAGTTGTAATTAGCGGGTGAATATCTGGGAACGGTTTTAGCGCATCTGTGTGTTTGTGCTTGCAAGAAACATTTGTCATTTATATTGACGTACATGTATACTACTAGCGTTAAGTTTATGGCGTGCACAAATGGACATCAAGGGTTTCCAACTGTTCACACAACCTCAATAACTTTAATCTCTGTTGACTTGTCGAAAGCTCCTAAACCGAAAGCTCTTTGCTCGATTCAAGTGTTTTACTTTCGTACAACCAGCATTTTGAAGAGCTGACCAATCACTTGGCGCCCGTTTACAACTAGATAACAGCGCTCCTTACTATACCGCTTATTGTTGAATGGCTACCAACATGATGTTTTCGTGGTACCACATCCTGTCGATACGTTTTGCATTGAATCGTCTCGAATGCAATGACGCTTGCATTTATCAGTCGTTTTTGTTCGTGTGAACACGATTTTGCATCATTTCATACCCTTAGTTGACAAAAACTGCAAATGCTCATTGAACAAGTATGGAAAAGTAGCTGATTGTGTCGATCACTGTGTATGAGGATAGTTGAAGTTTTTCACCATGTCACTTTCAATTGATCCCTGTCATTCCTCGGTGCCTAGTTTTAAACAGGAGGAAAAAGTGATAAAGTAGATTAACCTTAAGCTCTCTCTTGTGTTGCAATCAGACGTGAAAGCATGAAAGAGAATCGACGGTAACGACTGGCAGGAGATGAAAAGATTGGCTGGCTAGTGGCTGGGATGTGGACGAGCCCAGCACTGCTGCAAACCGCAGCATGTATCTGTGAAATTGCATATATTTTATATATGGTACATTTGTTGTCTACAGTCAATACAAATATCGATATCTAGTGTACCTTAAAACTTTATTCTAAGCACATAAACAGACACCTCCGAGGTTTTGTTCCTTCATTTTTTTCTGGTAAGTAGCTTAGTTTCAATCAAGCAAGCGACCCGCCACTAAATAAACACCAACATCTCAATCATTCGACTCGAGCTACTTGTCTCTACGTACGTGACGTAAATCTCGTACTTTACCATCTTGCACTGTTTTTTCTTTCTTTCTTCATCATCATACGCAGTGGCATCGTGAGAACATCTTAACGTATTATTTCCCAAATTTTGTTGTTAAACACATGAAAACGTACCCATTTTCTCTAACCTGGACATGAATATGACCCATTTTCAGGAAAATGAGCGATAAAGAGAGCGATTTGGACTCAGCGGGCTATATGATCATACAAGCACCACCACCACCTCCTCCTCCGCCAACCTCACCTCCTCCTCCTCCAACCTCACCACCTCCCTCTTTGGTTCAACCTAAATACACTGGCAAGGCAAGAATCATTCAGTCTTCAATCTTTTCCAGTCGAGATTCGGGAAGACCCAAATCTCGTGTCAAACATACCCGTAAAACCCTAGGAAATAAGGTCATGCCGGGTCAATCTACCCATTTTCACATGCAAGAAGACCTAAATAGTATTGACGGTCCGGAGGGGCTCAACAATTTAAATGCACGCCCTGCTCATATGTTGAGCGTCGTGGAACTATGTAACAATAGTGACGAGGATGTAGAGAGTGTTGCAACGACAGGAGACGTGGCTATTGAGACACCCGTGCACTCGGGTGATGATGGTGGTAACGAGAGTGGAGAGACGATAGATGATGGATGGGCTGATCATAATCGATGGTATTGCAATATTTGCAAAGATGGAGGAGAGTTACTGTGTTGTGATCGCTGTCCACGTGCTTTCCACATGACTTGGTATGTTTTTGTTGTTGCTGTTGGTTGTTGAGATTTTGAAATTCTTTGGGCGGGGGTCGTTTTTGATCATTTGAGACTAATGTGAGTGTTGTGGTTTGCAGTTTAGGTATTAGCAATGATATGATTCCAGACAGAGAGTGGTATTGCAAGATGTGTGCGTACGTGGCTGCAACGCTTGGCGTGGTGATTAGCTGCAAGTAGTTCGTGAATAATAATATGCAATGTTTTTATGGACAATGACAGAGAATGTTTAGACCGACGTCGATTGAAACAGGAATCGAAAGAAAAAGCAAGAGTGATGCGTGAAACGGAAAAACTGGAACGAGATGCTCGTCGACGTAAAGCTGAACAGATGAAAGAAGAAATGCTCGCGAAAAAGTCGGTTGAGGCAATCGAGCACAAGGCCAAACGTGTGTTGGAAATGCAGGATCGAATTCTCAGCCGTAAGAAAATCAAGTACAAAGACAAAGAAGAGGAGAAACTGGGCAAAATGGCTGAAGAACTTGCTCAAACCGTGCGGTCATCTAAAGAAAAGCTGGAAAAGCTGGAAAAGGAGGATGCAGCCCTTCGGAAAAAAGAGGAGGCTCTTAAAAAAAAGAAGCGCGGAGTTGACGATATTCCACTCGACGTTACCGAGGTTACGTCGCGTTCCGACAAACCCAAGTGCGTTCTACTTGTAGCATTGGTGTATCGTTAACTTAATGTGCTGACCTTGTTATCATTGCAGGCCAGTGCCATGCAATTTTGCAGAAATTCCGACCAAGTATGTTGGCAAGATGCTTGCAGTGTGGGATTGTATCTATGCGTTCCGCGACATTTTGGAACTGGCGGAAATCATAGTAGACCAATTTTGTCGCGCGCTAAATCATTCAAAGCACTCATCTATGCTGACTGAGGTTCACATGTGTTTAATGGAGAAGATTTTAGAGGACAGGTACGACACAAAAATTATTATCGCATCTGTAAGCTTTTCGTCTAAAAATTTCTGCTTGTATTGATGACTTTAGAGAAGACGAGGACTATTTGTCCGATGATGAAAGCTCGATGGATGACAGTGAACGATACCGATACGAAATCCAGCACGCCCCTTTAACTGTGGGCGTGCCGACACGCTCAATGCTCACTTCGCTCACTTGGCCGTCAATTTTGTGTGGCTTAATTTCTGCTGTACCTCGCTACACAGCACACTCCACGCCGACATTCCTAGCCGCATTTAAAGCGCTACAAGATACCGATTATCCGGCGCTGCAAGTGCAGCACAAACTGGCGCTACTGCAGTTCCTAGTCGGTCGCTTCGTTGGCACGGAAAAAGTTCGCCACGTGCTTGGGAAGCACTTAAATGAGGTTATACAAGGATCCAAGGAATATAATCGCAACGTAATGCTTGACCGGAAGCTCACGCTTGAGGATGAGAAGAAGCTGCGCGAGAAGCAGCGCGCAGAACTCGTTAGCTTTGTGGAGTCGAACAAAACGTCGATGACGACTTGGTTGGGAAGTGACAAAAAGGGTCGAGCCAATGGAGATGCAGCCTCAGCTGACGGGTATGATGATGATAAAAGCGATTATAATGGAGATACGGGTTCAGGAAGTGACTCCGATTTGGACGATCTTGCTTACAATGAAGAGGCCTTGTCGAAAAATGAAGAAGAGCTAGAGAGACTTCAGCTACAGGGATTCATTTCCCGACATGAATACGTTGCCCGAAAAAAGAAACTTGACAAACAGCGTGAACGGTTGAGACATAAAACGGAAGCAAAATCACGCAAGCAAAAAATGCAGGAACAAATAGAGCGTAAGCGAGCGGCAGCAAAAAAAGGCATCACTGATGGCTTAACATCGAAGGATGCTGCTTTGCTTCGAAGTGCTATTGAAAAGGCCAAGGAGTGTGGCCTTCCGGGACGTGTCATTGTGTCGGCTACCCACGTACTGGAAATTCTGGATGCCGAAGCTGTTCGCGAAGAGGAAGCCTTAGTGAAGAAACGCAAGTTCAGTGCATTGCTCCGTCAGTCGTTTGTGCGGTCAGAGCCGATTGGGCGAGACAGAGACCAGCTGAGATATTGGATTCTTCGAGGCGACTTACAAAGGTTGTACGTTGAAAAACCAGGTCCCCTGGATAAGATAAGGCGTAAGTATGAGTCGTTGGCTAGAAGCGGATCTCCTAGGGATGGTTTGATCGTGGAGGACGACGATAGCAATGCAACATGGTACTGCTACTCTTCGCAAACAGAGGTGAACTTGCTAGTGGAAGCTTTAGACACGCGTGTTCCTCGTGAGGCTTGCCTTCGTTCAGCTTTGACTGACCACATGAAAGAAATTACGAGTGAAATGCCTGTTTCAAAGCCTGGTTTGTTGATTTCTGATCTGTTAAACGAGGAGAGTGCTACCAAGCGTACTATACCAGCCGCCCCGACCGATGAAACAACGGAATTTCTTCAGTGGAACAATGACAAGCACCCAAAGCGCAAGTCAGTTATGCATGCAGATCCAAGTGTTGACGTCTTCCGCGAAGTTCTGTTAAAAGGCCAGGACTGGATTTGTAAGTGTCTTCGTACTTTAGGTTCAACGTGGCCAGATCGCAAAGACAATGGCGGAGCGGTTTGGCGATTATCTGTGCAAACCATCGATAAGATCGAAGGCTTTGCAAGTGCTTTGTTTAGTTTAGAAAATGAGCTGATGTTTGCTCAATGCAAGTTGAAGCAAAGACCCAGCGTGGCAGCAGCAGACGAAAACAAGAACGACAGTATCTCCAACGAGGAACACGACAAATCTGATGAGAGGAGTGATGATGAGGACGACGATGAAGAGGAGGAGGCTATTGATCCTTTAGTGGATGACGGCACAATGCTATGGCCGTCAAAATATTGCCGCGAGCGTTGGATCCAGAGCGTTAAGTGTGGTAAGACAATTGCAGTGATGGCCACTGCTTTAGCCTCATTGCTGCATCGCCTAGAAGTGCTTGGTTTCTTGAATGCGTTAGATGAAGATGCGATGAAAATACGCGCGAAGAGTGAAAAGGAAAAGCAGTCTCGTAAGGAGCGGGCAGCTAAGAAAAAGAAACAGGTCGAGGACGACGAAGAAGGTCACATGCGTGAGTCCGTGGATGAGTGGGAAGAGGACTGCTACATTTGCAGCGAAGGTGGTGAACTGGTATGCTGCGACGGCTGTCGTCATGTGTTCCATTACCCATGCATTGGGCTTCGTCGTATCCCTCGCGGGAAAATATTTTGCCACGAATGCGACACATCGGTTAAGCCTGTGATTCCTGCAAAGAAGAATGAAAAGGTTTTGTTAAAGCGGCCTAGCCGGTCGCATTCTCCATCATTACGGCATCAGCCTCGGAAGCAAGCAAAGTTACTGAAGGCAGAGTCCGAGTTTGACGGAAGTGATGCTGAATCCGATTCAGCTGTATCCACAACCTCTTCTGCTCGCCCTGCGTCGAGAAAGACATCTCCGATGCGGCATAAGTTTATCGAGAGTCACGTGAGACCGAAGGCTCAGGACGATCAATGGGATGTTGACTGCAGTGTCTGTAGCTTGGGAGGTGAGCTGCTCTGTTGTGATGGGTGCCCTCGTGCTTTTCATGTCAAGTGTATCGATTTGGCCGAAATTCCTGAGACAGAGTGGTTCTGCAATGAGTGCAACCTACAAACATGCGGGACATGTAAGAAAAATAAGATTCGGCTTGACTCGCATGTCATTTGCGGATCTGAGGACGGCTCCAAGGGCTGTGATCGTGTTTTTCACCTGGTATGTTTGTCACTTGCTCCTGCTTCTTATAGCTGTGATTTGAACTTTGTTTGTTTGTCTATTTATTAGAAATGTGCGAAGCTTGACGTTGTTCCAGCCGATGACTGGTACTGCAAAAAGTGCCGCACGAAGCTGAACCTGTAAGGTACAGACGGGCGCTAAAGCCAATTTTACACAAGATATGGTGGAAGAAGTTGCACTATATGTGGAGATTCTCAGGCATGTAAACATGTTTGCTAAAGGAATTCTCGTGCTTGTTGGATTACGACTGCTACTACTTGAAGCGGTCTCCAAAATTTTTGAACACCTCACATTTCGTGTAGAATGAATGGATAATGAGCTAAACCCTCGGCCACAAAAGCATTTGCCGAAAGCGCCTGTAGCAGTGGAATGACCTTGTACGTGAATGCATTCGAGCGCACATGAACCGGCACGCTAATTTCGATTACCTGTGGATCAAAATCTGTCTTGATTGAAAGAAGCAAGTAACATTTTGACAGGATGGTGCGAGTAGCTCGGATACGCTGTTGGAGTCCTGCCTTAGAATCTGCCTTGAATACTCGCCAGTACAATAGAATCACTATCGTAGTGTACACTTGCACAATACCAAGTATCACTTTGGACAGCTTCGGTTGTCGGTACTTGGCAAAACGCAATCAACGCTTCATAGCGATTTCGCTGGTACGTTTGTAGACGATAGAAAACACTTGTGACCATGCTGGAGGCAGCTCCTTTATAGCGTAAAGAACCTTTGTCACCCTTTGCAACTCGGTCAAACTGTAAGCAGCATACACTAAAGCTTTATTGCATAACGACCTACTTCCGATATGTCTCCAATGTGTTGTCAAACTAACGTGAAAGCTTCCAGCATATAAGCAAAGTTATTGCCTTGCACTATAATATCCAAGCGTGTTGTGAGTGGTAGCGACCATTGTCACGTATTGAAGGTGTCGCTCAGCAGCTTGCGGTCATCGCTTCAAAACCAGGTTGCGTCTTCAGTTTCAAAGAGCAAGATTGTATCGCTGTAAATCTCAAATGCGCTTACTACTCTATTGTGGAATGCTTGCGACCATGGATTGCTCCAGGCTATCAATATAGAAACAAAAGACCTAGATCGACTCGCGCAACAATAACATTTGAGCTGGCTGGTCCGTGGCCTCTGACAATGCAGACCCAAGGCGTCCGTACATATGTCAAGTATGGAAGTGTCGAAGTTGGTTTGAATAATATTCAATGCAATTGACATTTTCTGGACCTTGGTGGTTTACAGGCCAACGATGACAGTCGTACGAGGTTGACACTGGCATCGCGGCGACGATCGTTTACTTCATGTGACCCAATAATGCGTTAATTTGCAACATCATAGGGTATCACACTTCGTTTGTCTACTACTTTCTCAGGCCATCTTCATCGAGCTCTTTGAAGAAAGCTCGGAACATGTCTTTAGGCTCTTTGTTCGTGGGGATATAGTGACCCCCAGCATGCATCAGCACTTTGGCCTCGATGAAAAGATCTTTAAGTGCAAGACTTTTGTCGTTTTCCACCACGGCGTCCGTCTCGCCAATAACGTGCAGCGATGGCAAATCCACTCTCACATCACTTGCATATTTTGGGTCGTCACAAGCTCCAGCTGATATGAAAAAGGCGAACCGAAAAGCAAAGGACAAGTCAAGACCCTTTACTGTATTGTATTGATTGATCATCAGCACGTCAAAAGCACAACAATCTCCATTAGTTATGAAACCTTGGTACATTCCAAACAAACAAACAACCATACAAAAAAAACTCACTCAACCTTGTCTCTGCAGAATGAGTGAAGCCATAGTACCACCTTGACTAAATCCAAAAATACCATCAAAAGGTCCTGCCGTTTCTACAAAGTTTGCAACGTACTTGATTGATTCTTCCACCCGCTGTAGCTGATACTTTCCCGAATCTTCTTCATCTTGAATATAATCAAACCATTTGAATTGTTTCATGTTCTCATCAGAACTAGTACTTTCAATCAACAAGAAGAAGAAGAAGAAGAAGAAGGATTCAGACCTAGAAGAAGGATTCAGACCTAATGAATCTCAGATACCATCTCGCACTCTACATCACTTAAACCATCAATATCTCTTACGTAGTAGCATGTTCTTCTAACGTTGGTTTATAATCGATAGTGAATGGTGCATCCAAACAAACTAAAATGTAGCCATAAATGAAAAGTATCCACTGGTCAGTTGAATTGAAACCATGAAATGTTGTGTGTTAATCAATATTATTTCAAACCAAATTCGACACTAGACTTGAATGTTCTACGCAATGCAGCAATGCGACCATGAAGCTTTAAAGCATTTTGACGATAGCCATGAAGACACAAGACACGATACTTGGGCATATGTTGGTTGATATGGTCGGTCGGTTTTTGAAAAAACTACCGCTTCAAGATGCGCCCGAAGTATCCTACCGGTATGTGACTCAGTAACGTATCGTAATAAAAGGGTAGTACTGTAAAAACTAATTGTGTTGTAGTAGCTTCTAGGTTAGTGCAAGATCTCTAATAGGTTGTTAACCACACTAGCAACGCTAAAGGGTCCATACACTGCCCACGGCTGGCTGCCTGGCTATGAAGGCCGGGCTGCCCCTCTCGGTTCTGATATACATATGTCGTAACATGCAGAAAGTTGGGCACCCTGCACGGCCGTGTCAGCCCTGCAATGAAGGCGTTTAATGAGCGCTCGCAGTTGGAGCTGAATCCTGCCCCAAATCAAGGCTTCACTGGCTTATATTGAGATATCCGCAAGGCGAAACACCCTGTCGACGCGGTGTTGCCAGAGCATTGTGATGATGACGGTCCCTGCGACCTCCCATATTGTCTTCCAGGCCGTGGCGAATTGATCGATATCGTTGGGGTAACGGGCTACCAGCATAGCTGTGACCCTCGGCGAAAGGCGAGGTACGCTACGGTATGCGCAGTGCTCGATCCATCCCATTAGGTGGTGAGGCTTACGGGGTGTGCTTTCCCAATGACTGATGAGCCGGGCCCAAAGTGTCTGAGCACGGGGACATCCCCAGAAGATATGCTCCTGGGTCTCCTTCCGTCCTACACACTCTCGATACGCGCAAGTTCCGTCCGGGGGCCGGTCCTGATACCAAAAGTTTAGCTAACCGCTAGCGTGGCAGTACCGTGTCCAGAGCTGATATTTCGTCACCGCGTGTCCGTGATCCCATAGATGACCCGGCGATACATCGAAAGCTGCTCGTTGCCATCGCATTTGCTGGCTTTTGGAGCCTAGTCGATTAATGACCTGCTTCAGCGGTGCTGCAAGACACCGCTTAGACGACTTAAAAGCTTGCCGTTTCAGGAACGAGAAGACGTGAGCTTCTAAAGTCGGTGCACATACCAATTTTCATATTATAGAGTATCGTCAGCATATTACAATAGAAAGGAAAGCAAATCGACTTGTCTGACTAATTCACAAAGACGCTTTTTGTCAGATTCAATATTATTGATATTTATAGGTTATTAGAAGAATAATAAAATCATAAGTACACACGGAATCTGTCGACCAATTATTTCCACAGTCTTTCGTTAAAGCCAATTTTATTCCCCGCCATGCACGGACCAAATCGCAAGCGCTCGTTCGATGACAACGAACGCGACAGCAACTACAAACGCTCACGGATTGACGAACGATATGGAGGACCTAGACGACATGATAGACGTGGTGACCGTGGCGAACGCTTGAATGAAAGTGATCGTGCACGTGCTTGGCGATTGGCCAAGAAAGCGATCGTGGAGCTTGGAGACGGTGCGGAGCGTGAACAGTTAACACGCACAAGCGAATTGATGCTACGTGAGATGGAGGCAGATGCCCAGGATGTAAAACTTGGTCACTTAGTGACGTTAGTGCTGCGTTCGGCCTCTCGCTTGGCTCATAAGACAGCGCTGTACGCGACGCTTGTGGGGCTAATAAATGCCCGCAAACCTGCTTTTGGACGTGAAATTGTAAACAAAGCTACACGCTGTTTGCAGCAAGACTTGGACTACTTTAGTGTCGAGAAGTTGGAGGATTCTGACACATCAGATACCGATGTCTTCCGTCGAGACGGAGACGTTACAGCGATAGCCACACGCGTGCGGCTTACGGTACGACTCTTGGCGGAATTATGCGCTGCTCAAGTGTGCAAGGCTGAAGATGTACTCGCTATGCTGGACTCACTCCAGGGACTGTGCACGTCAGACGACTGGGACGGAGACGACGAGACCCACGCGTCTTTGAGAGTGAGAGAAGACGCAGCCGCTTGGAAAGACTTTTTTGCCTTAGTGGTGCTGAATGCACTGCTACATAGTGGCAAAGCGCTGGCCAAAGCTGCCGAAAACTTGTTTGACAGTTTATTGAGTCGATGCAGAGAATACGTCTCGCACCGTGAAGACGAGAACAACCCGCGTGGCTCAAGTGCAGGCCCATCGTCCTGGCGTACAAGACGCTTGCAATTAACTTTATTGTGGGGACCTATGAGTAATGACGAGATGTCGGCATTGTGTGCATCCAGTGACGCATTGTCGCTGATATGGGATGCTCTGAGCGCTACTCAGAGTAGCGATGGAGACGATAAGGTTGCTGCGTGGAAACTACCTGGTGTCAGTCACCCGCAGGAAGTCTTTGCCCCGGACTTTGAAAATGCGGAGACACATACTCTCGATGTGTCTCTTTCAGTCGACCTGGCCAAGGTACGCAACTAGCTTGCGCTGTGTAAGGTGTTTGTTTATACTAATGTTTCCCTTCATTTACAGCTTGACTCGAACAAGATTCCAGCGTACACAACGTGGTTCCGTATTCTTTCGGATGAATCTGGCGCTGTTGGTGCCGCTGTTGCAACTTTGCCACTGGCCTCTTATCTCATTACTCGCAGCGATTTTGTAGATGCATTGGAGACGTTTTACCCAAAGCCTGCTATTGCGGCTAAACTGCTGCTTGGTTTGTGTCAAGCGTATAATACCCGATTTGCTTTGTTTTTGGCAGTGGAAGCTACTCCCGTAAAAAGCGAGTACTTGCTTGTGGAGACATTGCTGGTGGCTGCTTTGAGTGAGAGTGCACGTGCCAAATTGGGTTATTACTGCTCGGTATTGTACCATCTTGTAAAGACAGATGCTGGCATTGTGTCCCCAGCTTTAGCTGTCGTTGTAGAGTTGCTATTCCGTGAGGTGCCGACCATGCGTGCTGCCGCCGTTGATTCATTTGTGCTGCTTTTGAGTCACTTTCTGTCGAACTTTGAGTTCAAGTGGCGTTGGGCCGCGTGGTCATACGTTCTAGAAGCAAACGAAGACGATCCTCAGCGTCTTTTTGTCTGCGCTGTAATCGAGCGTTGTGTGCGCCTCTCGTACTTACAACACATGCAGAGCGTCTTGCCTGCTGATTTTCACGTGCTTTTGCCTCCAGCACCCAAGCCTCGTATTCGCTTTCAGTCTACAAAGGAGGGAGATGATGCTGGTGTAGCGGTCAATGAACCCGGTCCTGCGTTGGAGTTCTACCAGTCAGTGACGACGAAGCTGAAAGGCCACCCACCTGCTTCTGCTTTGCGGACTTGGCTAAACGACGAGCTCCCTCGTTTGGAATTGTCACGCGCAGAAGCTGTGGAAGTGGTGTGGACGTGTATTTTAGAGGCTGGTGCGGCAACGTTCACACATATGCGTTTGTTGTTGGAAAAGTACGGCAAGCGTTATGAGCTCTTTGGTGGAGAGGATCAGTCGGGCGAGGATATGGATGCTGACGAACTTGTGTTGGTCAAGACAGTGGCTTCCGTTTGGCTGAAATCGCCGCAGCACATTGGTCTGATTTTAATTGCAATGCTGCGTCAAGGTCTTTTTCGTCCATCTACCGTCATTACATGGGTTTTCACCCCTGATGCTGTGCAGCAGTACAGCTGGCCGTATGTGTGGGAAATTTTACACGATACTCTGAAGTTTGTACAAGATGCCATTGGTGCGAAGACGCGGCAGTTAGAGCAGGCTGCGGTGCCGAGATTGTTGGACGATTGCGACGAGGACATGCCTGACATTGTGATGCTCGAGGATGGCTGCAAACGCTTACAGGACGATTTGCATCATCTGCTGTTGCTTCTCTTTAGTGGTTTTAACCGCGTCATTGCAGAACACAAGGCAGAATGCGATACCGAGGGCACAGACCCTCATGACAATTGGTTCCGTAGTACTCTGGCACAGATGCAAGATATTGGCAATCGGTATCGTATACCACTTGAAGGTGTTCTTGATGAACTACAGCTTGAAGTTTTCAATGTTGGTGCCTTGGCTGATGCTGATACTACCAGGATTTTCCAGCTCATTCGTGATTCATATTGCAGCCGTCAATAGGAGTTAGATTACAGCAAAATTCCGAGCTTTTCCTCGTCGCAATTCAAATTCTATAGTGTGGAATCAATCAGTCGTGTTCAGCCAATCCTTGCCTTGAATCAGCTCATATTTAACCAATCATCGATCAAAGATCGAAAGCTGGCTTTCTCTCTTTCGTGCTTGTATAAGAATAATTCCACTTGACCGCGTCAATAAGGTGTCATATGGGCGAAGTGATCCGTGTCTTACTGCTGAACCCATTAACAGGCATCACATCGCTTGTATGTCTTCAACGTCCACTTGAATGGGAAGGTGTGCTAAGTGATTTTTATCAGGTTATTACTAATTCGGATGATGACCCTGCACCAAGTATTCTCGCCAAGTGTAAAGTACTGCTGCATCCGACCAAGTCTAAGAGCGAGAAAGGAGTTGTGGTACGATTACCTCTTGTATTTAATTAATAAAGAGTGATTAACATTGATACAATATGTTGATAGATTCGCAAGAATGCCTTGGATCGGTCAATTCGTGATGGAGATCTCTTGTCTTTAGAAGGATTCCAGCTGGATGACGCTCCTGGACCCCCTACAGAGCTACTGGACATCATGGATACACTGGATTTTGACGTGCCTGTGGATTTTGGTGCAGAGATACTTCCATCTGATAATTTAAATGCTAATGGGAATGCTCCATCGATCTCGGAAAAAACGACACCCGAACCGATGACTAGACCAGTCTTGAATTCGACAATGCACACAGCGCCTCTTTCTGCCACGTCAGTTAATGTATGGCAAGGAAATTCACGTAAATCAAAGCGTGGGCGCAGCCTATCGTCTAAGTTCTGGCTTGTTAATAAATTGGCGGCCAGCGGTAAGATTAGTAAAGAGCAAAAGGACTCACTCAAGATGCTTCTTCTTGCTTCGGACGATTCAGCGCTGCATCAGGCTTTTGAGCGCTACGAGGAGACGGGAGATTTAGACACGCTGCTTAACTTGCATATAAACTCCAAGAAGTCATTTGCAGGATTGCCGCCGCTCTCTACTGAGGCCTTCGATTTCCAGCTTACGCAGAACATTGAGAACGAGCTGGATCTGTTAACTATGCGAAGCTTTAACGTTGGTGGAGACATCAACTCTCCGGTACATCAGGCTACTTTGCCTGCTATTATGCTGCCGTCAAGGACGGCCAGCACTGGTGCTAGTGACGAGCCGATTTCATTCTCAAACTCGAATGATGACCTCTTGGACCCGCTAGACGTGTTTTTAGATTTGTCCTTGGATTCGTTGCCTATGCCTATAGGTCACGGCGATGATCAAAATCTGCCACCAGCACTGCCTGGTGACTTGCATGGCATGGAGGAATGGCTTCAGGATTAGAAAAGGTGTGAGAGTCTCGTATGGGGTTGGTTAGTCAACTGTACAAGCAGAAAAGCATCGAAGCAGGCAAAACAGAATTAAGTGGAGAAGAAAGACAAGCACAGGATTGGATGTTATCAAGTGCAAGTAAATGAGTACGACGTAGGTAGAATCGAATCGTACAGCTTTGTATTGTAGACATTTCAGGATCACGTTTGCTTTACGTCGGTTTTTTTAGGTTCATCAATTCGTACCACATCGAGCGCACTAGCTACCGTTTCTACCAGCCAGGTGTTTCTTTTCTCTCCCACACATCCGTGATGTACGGGCTCTTCGACGTGTCCAGCGGTGTATCCTTTAGAAAGTCCTGACGTTTTTTCTCATCCATCATACTTGATCGATAGCACAAATACAAATTCTTCCACGTAAATTTACACTCATCTACTTGTCCATATCGATAGAAATGTTCCATTTGGTTCCCAGGTGCTACTTTTTGACAGTAAAAATGTATAACAGCACATATTGTTAACCATCTAACTACATTTTTCTTTTATATAAATTGAATCAGTATTCAATTAACAATGTACGTTTATAACGTACTGACGCAATAGAACGAACGATCAAGGAACCACCGACACGACAACGTATTCTTCTTCTGATTATGTTTACTCTCATTTACTCTCTCTTCATGCAAATATCGAACCGTCCGCTCAGCGTTTGATGCCTGTGAATTCATGGGACTACTGGAATGGTGTGATCACACAACAAGTATGAGATTCCCTTAGTAAGTCGTTCAGAGCCAACGTGCCTTGTTATCAGGTTTAAGGGGTGTGACGCTCTGAAATACGCGCATCATTTGTTCGCTGCTCTGGTAGGACATTTATAAGTTGCTCTAGTAGGACATTTATAACTTGCTCTAGTAGGACATTTATATGTTTGATAATGTATCAAAGACGCTACAAAATCATTCATCTCCTCGACGTAAAGCCTTGTCAGCGGATTGTCAACTTTTGCCTGTTTGTGATGTTCCATCAGGTGGTAACGTTTGTGGTTGATGCAAGGCTCTAGATGACTAACACTCAATCTGAGCTGCTTCGGTTGCTACACTACGGCGATGAGTTCTAAGATACGATAACGACCAGTTTATTTGAAGCGTCGTTGTTGATGAATGAGTTACGAGACTGCATAGTTTGGATCAGCTAACGAAAAAATGCAACTCAGATAACGCTTTGTGGGTCCGGTAATGCTGTGTAGATAGACAAGTGACATAGATACATCTGATTGCTTGTGCTTGTCGTCTTCATCGAAGATATAAATTCGTAGTTGACGCCAGCTGGTTGAAACTTTGTCTTCAGCCTAACCTTTGCATCAGACACCAACAAAATCAGCTGCTAAAGCCCAGCAGCTGATCATTATCTGTCTACCAACGCGTAAGATCGGCACACTCACCCGCAAGCTTTGCGGCCTCCACGACTTTGTCGAACATGTAAACGGCAAGCGGGGCGCTGAATGGCCTGTGTATCGTCCGGCAGGTAGCCGTGCTTTAGTGAGCAGTCGGCGGCGCAAGCGATGCGCTTCGTACGAGCTTGGCAAATTTGGCCATTGATCGAGTGCAATGTTGTCTGCACCGTTGTTGTGTCCACGATCAAGTTTGCGTTTTAAGTTTTCATAACGCAATGTATCTGATACTTTTTTTTGCAGCAAAACGTGAATGTAACGTAAATTGTTTAGCTTAACGCCTACTTTCTTAGGTTGCATCTATGTGACGGTTTCTCTCAAATAAATTCCTAAAGTGTGGGATTCCGTTTCTTTATCGCTAACGCCTTTGCTTCCAGCTTCTGCTGCTTCCTCGCGTCCAACTTTTGTTTCAGCTGCTCGTCCAATAGGGTATCCTTCCTCTTTTTCAGAATCTCGTCAACTTTTGTGTTCTCCCCATTGTCTCCAACGTTCAACTCATTAGACAAATCCACTTTTCTCGGATCCGATATTGTCTTCTTCACATTGTCGCCAACGTTCGGCTCATTAAACAAATCCTCCGATATTGTCTTCTCCTTGTCGCCTTCCTCGCGCACCTCCCTTCGCGCCTCCCATCGATCAGCTTTGTATTTATTATTATTTTTTAAGTACTTTAAATAATATTCGCTTTGTTCCTTCTTTGAGAATCCTGAGTCTTTCAAAATTTTACCCACCTCATGCGGCTCTGCATCATCGTGTTGACCCCACAATTCAAAAAACTCCTTCTTCATCTTAACAGCCATTTCGTAATGTTTATTAGATTTAACAGCTGCCTTAGTCAGCATCTTATGCACGCGGATCATGTCAAGCTCATGCAGCATTACTGATACCGCAGCCTTAACCATCGCGTCCTCCACCGCCGCATCAAAACTCTTCCCCGGGTCCACCGCTTTACTAGAATATTTTGGTTGTCTTATACTTAATATACTTGATCCAAACCTGTAGACCTGCGTCAGATAGGCTATCCAATTTGTTTATTTTGTTGTGAAGGTCTAATACTCTGAAAACATCGTCTGCATCGAGCAAGCTGTATTCCCACTCCTGAAATTGCTGCTTCTGCAATTCTCGTGGCCATTTCCATTTCATCAGGGTTAGTCAGTCTTACCTGAAGCCATCGGTTTAGCTCAGATGGATCGTAGTTCATTAATAGCGCATCAATCATCTCTGTCTTGTCACGATCTGCGATACCAGCGTTGTAACGCTCCAAATATAGCTCAAACTTTTTGCGAAGAGGGCTCAAAATAAAATTTTCCAGACTGTTGTGAATCCCCATGAATTCCAATACTTTGCCTGGGTGACAATTCGCTCTATCCCAGCTATGTATCAGCGCTTTCTGCAAACTCGCGGCTACATCCTTCCTTCCGGGAACTATTAGTGACGCTTCAAGTGCTCTAAACACAGCACCATCCTTGTATCTAGCCACTAACAAGCCAATTGCAGACGTCTTATAAGCGCGATTTATGTTAAAGGCGTCGACATATTGTTCCCAGGCCAAAAAAAAGGGTTGGCAATCATGCGATCCACGTTGCCGAAAGTGTCCATGTATTCGAGAATCTTGCCCGGCTCGACGTTACTTTTCATCCAACCTTTAACTAGTAGCTGCTGAAGTTCTGTGGCAGTTTCCTTATACTTACCTGTCGTTTCAGCTTCTAGGATCCTGTACAGCATATCAGGATGAAGACGATACCAGTCCATTAACACCTTGATCATCGCTTTTTCAGGGTGTTGTGGAGACGCATGTTTCGCGTATCTTACAAGATTTTTAAAATTTGGGTCTTCAAATAGCTTGTCTCCAGCTTTGTCCAGCCTGATTGCTTTCATGATGGCCTCCGAAGATTTCTTCTTCTTCACCAGCTTCATCAAATAATCATCCGTGACACCTCTCTTAAAAGGGTTGATCTTAGAAAAGACCTCCGCAAAGTTAGAGAGGTTCCGTTCTTCGTCGTCTTCGTTTACAGTGGCGTCAGCGCTGCTCTCTTCGTACTCTTCGTGCACACTGGCAGTAGAAACCCTCTCTTTATCGTCTTCGTGTGCATTAATCCGCAGCGATCTCGTAACAGACGTAGTAAGAGGCTCTGCAGAACGTGTTGTGCTCGGGACCGAGACTGTTTCCTCAGACTTCGCTTGAGCACTTCCGACGACGGCTCCAGCCAATGACAACAAAAGGTAGTGAAAGCGCATTATGATTTTGTTTGAAGTTTCTTGCGCAATTGAGTGAGTGTATTGTAAAGTGACAAGTTACCCAACTCGTGAGGACGTAATGAGGCTATCGTAGCTTTCGTTGTGTGAATGTTTTATGCTAGTTTATACAAATATACAATACTGGAAGACCCAGGAATAAATATTCAGTGTATATGATTAAAAAGATGATCGATTCGTAAATCCTTCCAGCTACCGTTTTTGTACTAGCTAATCTCAACTTGCATCTGCGTTTGGACATCAAAAGGACAGGTAGATGATGTAATGCTCAGCATTCAACAAATAGATGATCAATACGTAATATCGTGCTCGCAGTGTCCACTAGTACCGAATACTTTTGCTGGACGACAGCTGTGTAATGTGTACTTTTGTGAATGGTCAGGCGTTCTTTTATCCATGCTCTCTACTTTCTTCACTAATTCGTACGACACGTCAAGACAATCAAAAGAAAATCCCGGTGATAACAGTTGTTCTTCTGCCCTGTCTTCTCTTGGTACAAGCAGATTGGCCATCGAAAGGGTTGGCATGTTGGCCCTTGGACATTTACATTCAACACGCAACTGCAATTGGTCGTCAACATTCTGGCATGCGGCTAGTGTAACAGGCGTTGATAAAGAACGCTTGACTATCCCTATTGAATGTGTCGCATTCCCGTTTGTGTTGAACAGAGGCAGGTCAAGTGAATGCAATCTGTCAAGTGAAATGATTTGTTCATGTTGTCAATAGTGTTGAGATCAAACCTTACAGGTTTGAGATGCGAAATGAAAAACCTGCTTCGCAGCACTTATCGTCACTGTAATAAACTTGAACTTTTGTGATGTTTGGTGGTTGGTCCGTCATGTTGTTGCTGATTGGAAAGTCATTATGATGAAGCACATGATCATACTGATATCAACCACAAGGCTGCCCCATATGTATCCAAGCTTACCACATGTTTTATGATGCTGTAAGCTTTTGAATGACCTAGCTACTTTGGACGCAATAGTCTTGACTAGGTTACATGTAACATACGGACAGTGTATTTACCACTACTTATTGCTGGTAGCTCCGTCAAATTTACTATTGTCATGATGATGCTTTTGCACCAGTACCGAAGACAGCATATCTGCAATCCAAGAGTTCAGTCGGTATAGTATGTATTGTGATCTCATACTTCAGCAGGCGGTCTTATAGCGACAATGCAGTACAAATACATGCTCTATAAGTGTCATTTACCTCATGCTTGTGTACATGATAGTAACATTGAGTAGATCGCTTTCAATACCCAAGCAGAGAAAAACAAGATGCAAACTTGTTTGCTACTTAAAGTGCATCGGCCCATGCTTGGACGTTGACTGCAATTTTACTTGCTACTAGCAGGTGCAAACGCCTCCATCATTTCCTTGGACTTGGCCACACATGCCTCTGTCTTCCGTTTCTTCACCGGAACCACGTTAACTACTGAGGCAGCAGCAGCAATTGATGCATCAGTCTGTCGCAATCCAAGGGTTGTCACCGCCTCATCCATTCCCTTATCCTTCTTTGGTACAGCACCTACACTAGTCTCTATAATGCCATCCACTTTCTCCTTTAGTTCCAAGTAGATTTCAAGGTATTCAAGCAGAGTCTTCTCGTCCGCTTTCAGCGCGTCCTTTTGTTCCTCCGTGACGTCGACACAAGCGAGGAATTCCTCGCGAAGCGCTTCAGGACGCTCTCCATTAAATTGCAACGTGAGCGTCGGATCTCGTGTGCTTGATGTACAACCCTTCCTCTTGCCTTTGCTATGTAGCTCTGCAACACTGTCTCCTTCAAATGAATACTGGGGAACACAATTCGCCACAAATACTTGCACCTTATCGACACACTTTTTTGCCACCCGATGAATATTCTCTGCCATGACTCGGCCAGCCATGACATAGTACGTAAGTCCTTCGTTCGAATCGCCCTTCTTCTCCTTTTCTTGTGTTGAGTCTCTATAAATACATGCAATAGCCAATTGACAGTATAGATCAGCTAGCTGCGTCGTGTCCTCGGCATTGGTAACATTCAGCAGCTTCCTTCGTAGCAGCAATGCCTTTTCAAAGTCTGCTTTAGCTTGTTCATACTGGTCACTTTCAAGACTCAAATCTCCTAATCGAGTGTATACCCTAGCCAGCTGCATCTCAACTACTTGATCTCCAGGGTAACGCGAGTAAATAACGCGCGCTAATTCCATGACCTCCCAAGCTGCCTCCAAGTCACCCAATGACTCTTGAGTGTCCTTTTCACTATTTTCATTTCGATTGGGTACAGAACCTTCAACAACATGACCAAATATACTTGATGTTGTCTCATTGAGACTTAATAGAGCATTACCATATTCATAGTAAATAGGAGCCACAGCCAATGATTCACTCTTGCCTTCTGCCTCGCAAAAAAGACGTAATAGATCCTCAAAGACCACTATTGCTTCCTCAAAACGCTTTTTCTTCAGCAATGATGTACCACGTAAGAAGCGAGGGTCCATAAGTGTCGCCTCCAATTCTTGCGCAGTGGACATGTTTCTCTCCATTATTCAAACACTTGCCACAAAAAAACGCTATACTAAGTTTAACTATGTTACATAGGACGGAATGTGTCTTGTTTAATATGGCTACATGCACGTTGTACACGAAGCTAAAAGATGAGTAAAGATGAACGACAAGGGGGTTGAAAGACAAGGGGGTTGAAAGACATGTAGCATTGTAACAACTACTATGAAAGTAAGGACAAGAGTACAAATGAGGAACAAAAGCATCAGCTTCACCTTCTTCCACCCTATTTCTTGACGCAAATTCCGACTAGTATTGTAACAAAACCTGACCTGATCACTTAAGTCATTGGTCTTTTGCTCCACAACTTTTATCTTCTCCATGTCAGACAGCACGAGTTCAAGATTATGGTGCATGATAGTCGTGCATGACTTGATTCATTACCTTGGACAACTTGTCACTTGGTACGATCATCGTATGTGGTGGCAATAGCTATGAAGAACTTCACGCAGACCTTGCTCAATCCGTTCTGCAAAAACACCAAGACAAATCTTCAGCTTGCTGCAATTACCAGTCTAGACCACATGAGTACACACCTCTCGAAAATTCAGAGCATTAGAGCCAAATTTTACCACAATCGCCTGCTGCATGACAGAAATATCCTGGAACGTCAAGTAAGTGGATAACTCTTAGCGGTCATAGCTGCCAACACAAGCTCGTCATTGTTCATCATGAGGTGAAGCTTACTAGGGTCACATTTGAGTGAGTGACAGCTATTTAGCTGCACGTGCGGCTTCCACGTCGGAGCTTGGATCATTTTATTCAGCATTTACTTCAATACGTTGGTATCTTCTGGCGCACGAGTTTGCCGTCCGAAGTATGCACATAACAGGCTACGACCATTTTATCCATAACGCGACCAACCGCCAGAAACTTGATGTTGTCCCGAGTCAACGATGTCGATGTAGCTGTCAGCGGTGCTATGGCATTGAGCGCCACGGTTGCTCCTACGAAAAACTTCTTGAGCAAGTTGCGCAATACTGTTGACACAACAACGAGGTGCAAGTACAGATCAATCTTGATGATAACATATTGAGGAATGCTTCATAACTTCAGGCCTTTTCCACGACAATAATGGCAAAACCCAGTGACAGTCTTTGGGAACCAAAAAGCCGTAACATGGTTATTTTTTTAGGCTGTTTTACTAGCAATCTGATTATTCGGCAGCAAAATGAGGCTCTGCTAGTGCCGTGATCTGTTGCAGTTGGGTAGAGGAAAACTTGTGGGTGAAAGGCAACGAGGACGAAGCGGGAAGTTGCTCTTCAAGCAAAGTGATGTCGATGCCGGTGCTAAGCGCTGCCATCACTGCCACTTCTTCAGTAGTAATTTTCTCCGATGGAAGCAATCCCTTTTCATTCTTCCACGCGGTCATAAGCCTTGTCGAGCGGTCAGCATCTACGAGCTGTCAGATAGTAGTCAAAGTGTCAGTAAATTGACTTCAAATCGCGATGTGGAGTTTACGAATTGACGTACCTCGACCGATCTGGTAAAACATTTCAGCAATTGGTTCAAGACCACTGAGTAAGTAAAACCCAGCTCTTCCGTCTCCTTGTGTTTGTTGAACTGCTTAATGGTTGCGTCTAAGCGAGGGAGAATTTGTGTCTCACGGACATATTGCCAGACCTGAAGATTGTTAAACTGGCTGTGCTGGTTGGCTAGAATATGCGCCCACGCCACATCTTCTACTGGTGGCAGATCAAGATGCTCATATTCTGGTCGAATCTTTTCCATGTACTTCTTCTCCACAGCAATGCTCAGATTAAATGCCGTCTTTAGCAACAGCGCCACATCCTCACCAGAGATGACGTCGTATGTTTTCACATGGAACGGATGACCGCTCGACAGCATCGCTTCAATTGGGCGGTCACCGATAAGGAGCATTTCGCGTTCCTTGCGGAATTGCATCACAATTTCTGGCAGCGCAAATATTGCACTACCCACATGCTGAGGCAGCTGCAGTGACGCGAAGTTTCCAAATAGTTCCGACAATGGACTAAACGTTTTCTCTACCAGTTGTTCCAATTGACTTGATACGTCAAAAGTTGGTAATGAAAAGCCATAACTCTGCACTTTTCCATGCTTGCACAATGTTTCTAAGACATCACACGTCGTCCTTAGCTTTTCCATCAATTCCTTTTGCTTTGCTGGTATGAAAGCCAATTCTTCTGGGATCTGACATACAACATGATCTAGTGTCTCAATATCCAGTTCTTCAATCGTAATTTCCACTCCTTTTTTGACATACTCTCTCTCCAGTCTTTCATTTGTTTTCAATTGAGTGGAATGTAGTACATTTGTACCAATTAATGCCGATATAACAAAGCATTCACGTGAAATATTCGTGTCTTTAAGAACCTCACTCAGTGCCAGAGCTTCCATGGAAGCTTGTTTTTCACCTGATTTTATCCGCACTAAAGGATCAATAGCTGTCTGGATAAAGTTACTAGTATAAGAAGACATGAGCATTTTCATTGTATTCAATCGAGGCATATCTTTTGCCCAAAGATCAGGACTTCCAATCCCTCTTTGGTTTATATTCAGCCACTGTGTTTCATTACTTCCTGGTGCACTTACACGAAGCTTTGGACTCATACTTGAACGAGATAAAGGTGATTGACATACAAAATTGGTTGTAGCAGACTTTGTAGCACGTCCCACATGTAAATGAGCACATTGTGACATTAACAGTCGCAATGAGATAAACGGACCATATGAACTCGAGATAATCACCTTCATGGATGATAGCTAGTAAATCGTAGTGTGATACCGGTATACAACCATCATACATAGTGGTATAGACATCATTGACTGACATAGTGAGTGGATGGACGACAGCAAGCGCTCAACATGGTGCGAATATATCGAGGCACACTCAAAACAAACTACAAGTCTTTCATCAATATTCAGTACTTTATTCACTATAGCGTATAACTCTACAAAGTGATCAGGTGCACGCTTGTAAGTTTGCAGGCGTAAAATAAAGGTGCTGTTGCTATTTTGCTGTCGGATGTACACACGTACGCTTCAAAGACAAAACTAGTGACCGCAGTAGCGTCGACGGCGTTAGTTCTTGATCAATCCAAGCTCTCGGATTGTGTTGTATTGCTCTGCACAAAGGAACAAGCAATAGTGTTGTCCACATGTAAGCAACATTTTTGTAGTCTGTCCTACTCATACAGTCAAAAACATGTACCTGGAATCTCCATGAGTGCCTGCATGGCAAATCCTCCATCTGGATTGTCGAGATTTCCTCTTGGAATCGTGTTGTAATTTACAAACTGAAAGTTATCAAAACGACGCTCGGGCAACTTGTCGTCAAACTCGGTCATTAAAGTCCAAGGACCATCGCCCACACCAACCATGACTATGGCTAAGAAGAGCAAAAAAAATAAACTCATCTCGGGTCAGATATTCAACACCATGGTAACAACTGTACCGCGCAAGATATTTTACGTACAAAGTGGATATTCAGAAGCCTCCACAATTGCCCTCCTAGCTATTCCAGGGTCGTCAACGTGACCGTCAGAGATAATGATCAAGATGTGGTACCGGCGACTCTTGTTTGCCATCTTCATTGCTTCGTGGATGATCGGTACAAAGCTGGATGAAGAATTAAGTTCCATAGTAGAAGCAATTGCAAAATATCGCTGCAAGATCTCGTCAAACTCGCACCCTTGACCTTCGACGAACGGAAAGTATCGTTCCGCTGGTGGTCGCTCTGGATATCCGCCATAACCAAAGGCCGGGATAGAATCATCGTCGTCAAATAACTCAAATACACGAGTGATTGCCGAAATCACAGTCTGCGAAGGAAAAAGAACGGTCAAATATACCCGTCACGTATTTAAAACGAATATCAATGAATATCCATCCATCCTGTAAGAGGACTCATCGTATTAAGCAACATACCTGGTAAGGGTTTGTCACACGGCCTGTTTTATCAATGTAATGAAGCGATCGTCCTTCAAATGTCTTCTCTCCTTTCCACTATAATTTGCACAACAACAACAACAAGCTCAGCAATCTGTCACCAATCATATCAATTGTGCACCAACATTCTATATACGTATACATATATATTCCATACTAGATTTGATTCTGTAAAATCCACCTACATTTTATTCAAAACAAAACATGAAACACCATCACATATGAAAGTTATTTTTGAATCAAGACGCAGTAAAAAGCTTGAATAATGACAACCATTCCGTTGCTAATGAAGCATACACGCATATACGTACTGCAATAATCAGATCGGACGACTGAAGTCCAGCTTGGCTATTGACAACAAGATATCCACAACAATTGTTGAGGTAGGTATAATCCAAGATAACACAAACCTCGATACTACACGGTCTTTGTTTATCATTGAGACTGACACTCACCGAAGCGCTTTTTGAACTTCCTCTGGTAATTGGAATGATTATGCAATTTAAAAGCATTGAGTAGAGTTAGTAGTAGGAAGAATACTCTTTTATAATACAAATATTCAAAAGCGTCTACTATCAAGTACCGACAGAATTATATTTGTCTGGAATGGACTGGAAAACCCCAGTACTAGAAGCACAACCCATGACCCGATAGTCAAAAAGCGGTTATGAAACAGGACACAAAGCCAGACGACGTACGTGAGCAATTATAAACGAGCCAATCGTATCTCGTTTACTAAGTATCCAAGACAAAACGCAACGGATTTTTTCACTAGTAGACCCTTGAGAGATTATATATGTATATTTTAATAAAAATAACAAATAAATACTTTGCAGCGAAAACGTAGACACACTCCACGATAAATTCCTTACCGAAATATATTGCATTTTTTTATAAAACTTGCAACGTAAGGAGAAAAACATGACGGACGAGAACAAGATGAAGATAAAGGAGAAAGAGATGGAAGATGTGGAACTTGTCTCAGGTAGCATGAGTTTACCTTTAGGAAAGGAAAACACCTTGGATGAACCCGTGTCTGTTACTATCGTACGTAGCTGTTTAGTATCGTTGTCTCTTTGTAAATATCGATGCAACTTGCTCTGATTCATGTATTTTGTAAATGGACGCGTGATGTCGCTGTTTGCAACAGCTTCGTGATTTGCGACTGGTTGGAAGTAAATTGCGTGTTGTCCTTATGCCTAGTAACACGTCGGAGGAGACGCTCAAGGCACTACGTGACTGTACGATGGCGAGAATCAGATCTGAGTCGAGCCACAAGCAGATCCTGTAATTTCGCTTTCTTTTGTGTTTTCTATGTATAGGGGATCTTTGGGGACCATTGCTGCTGTGTCTAACGCTCTCCATGTACGTTGTTGAACGTGTAATGATGTCCAAAGTTGCAGAATTTTGACTTTAATTGTTCTATTCGGTGAAATGCTCGTGCAGAATGTTGAGTGTGACAGCACCTGCGGCACAATCAGCAATGGTGTTTACTGGAGTGTTTGTGGTGATTTGGGTAGGTGCTACTATTGTCACTATCAATGCGCAACTTTTAGGTAGCTCCATGTACGTTGATCTTTGATCTTTGTTATTGCTGAAATTGTTTGTATCTAAATGGTACTGATTCAAACGATTGTGACGGACTTGCATCTACGACAGATCTTTCTTCCAAAGCGTATGTGTACTGGGTTATTGCGTGTTCCCGCTGAATATTGCCACGCTAGTGTGTATGTTGGCGAAAATGGTGGTCTCACACGTTTTGCTGCGTATCGTGATTGTCGGTGTTGGTTTTCTATGGTCTACACGAGGTGCGTCATGCTTTGTAAACAGTCAGTCAGTCAGTCATGTATACCTGAGCTCTGTATTCTGATCTCTAATGGTAATATGTTTTTTTCTATTTGCACCACTTTCTGCTCGGTGTCATTGGCGATGTATGTAGCGTCAGTTGTGTTCATGTCGAAGCTGGTACCACCTAAGCGAAAGGCGCTTACAGTGTACCCAGTTTTGCTCTTTTACATGTTTCTCAGCTGGATGGTCCTTATTCAATGAGTCTGAAATACGCAGCATAGAGTAAATAGCATTACCAATATAAGCACATGCCCATGAAACCATAAATGCTACTTATTTCTAAAGCTTAAGTCACTCATAGTTTTTGTGGCATAGTTCCAACGTCTGGCATAAAATGTTGAATTAGTCCCTACATCGGTCACAGCCAAAACACAACGACAGAAGCATGCCTTGCAGTGGATAACGCGTCGGTCGGATCGATACACCGTGGCGTGGCGGCGTGAATCATGTGAACGACAACCTTGTTGCATGTTGCTGCTTTAGTAAGATTTATATGTTTGATAATGTATCAAAGACGCTACAAAATCATTCATCTCCTCGACGTAAAGCCTTGTCAGCGGATTGTCAACTTTTGCCTGTTTGTGATGTTCCATCAGGTGGTAACGTTTGTGGTTAATGCAAGGCTCTAGATGACTAACACTCAATCTGAGCTGCTTCGGTTGCTACACTACGGCGATGAGTTCTAAGACACGATAACGACCAGTTTATTTGAGGCGTCGTTGTTGATGAATGAGTTACGAGACTGCATAGTTTGGATCAGCTAACGAAAAAATGCAGCTCAGATAACGCTTTGTGGGTCCGGTAATGCTGTGGAGATCGACAAGTGACATAGATACATCTGATTGCTTGTGCTTGTCGTCTTCGTCGAAGATATAAATTTGTAGTTGACGCCAGCTGGTTGAAACTTTGTCTTCAGCCTAACCTTTGCATCTGACACCAATAGATAGTCTCCATCACGACCATCCTAGACTACACAAGTTAATTCTTCGTGACGTAACTCCCAATGTGTTGATTTAGACTTTGCGTATGTTGCTGCAGTATGTAATCTCGCTCAGCCGCAGCCCCAAACTTGCCGTCGTCAACATCATTTTCTCTATTTCATGTACAACACAGTTTTCGATCGTGCGCTCAATGCTTTATACTCCGCTTTGTATTCTCTTGTACTAGACGATGAGGTTGAGCCACTAATACTAGCACTGGAAATTCTGCACTTGCAGCTGACCAAGTAATAAACTTGTTCAATCTATCGGCTAAACGAAAAATAAATACAACAATCGCCCATGTAGCTCAATACCTGAAACTAGGAGCACCACATGAAGCAAACGACGCATACAATAATACCAAACGATTCAATTACCACACATTGAGTTCATTTCTTTTCATTCTTCGTTCATCTGCGCAGCGAGAAGTTAGTCCAATATAGATGCTTAAAGCCCAGCAGCTGATCATTGTCTGTCTACCAACGCGTCAGATCGGCACGCTCCTCCGCAAGCTTTGCAGCCTCTATGACTTTGTCAAACATGTAAAAGTCAAGCGGGCGCTGAATGGCCTGAATCTCGTCCGGTAGGTAGCCGCGCTTGAGCGAGCAGTCGGCAGCGCGAGCGATGCGTTTCGTGCGAGCCTGGTATTCCTCGTCGTTAACCCAGTGCAATGCCGTCTGCACCGCGGTCGTATCCACAAGCAAGTCGTCGTACTTGAGGCCGTACATGGCTAGTGACTTACTTATGGACTTTTGATATAGTCCGGTGATCTTAGTGATGAGGCTCATAACGTTTTGAAATGTCATGAAAGAGGAACCACCGCACAACCCACCACACCAATTGTACACAAATTGCGGTACAGGCTTTTAGCCGAAGTAGTGTGTACCACATTTTGCAGGATACTTTCAATAGAGTACCCGCAGGGCTACACTATTAGTATATTTTAGTATTCTTTTTATCCAATCATACTTGAGTATAGGCCTTAATATGCATATCTAGGTCAAGAGGTAGGAAAAGGCCATCCGTTTGGCAGCCTAATACAATGACTAAAATAGTTCTAGATCTATTGAATAAACGGAATGCTTTTTAGTTACTTGTTTTGTACTTTCGCATCAGTCGTACGAAGACTTTATACTTTCACAAATTTATCTTATACGCATTTGTAATCATAGTAATTAAGCTTAGCTGCGTATTGTGGTACAGATTCGAAACCTTAAATACGACAAAATGCTTATCAGTCTAGGGTCACGCTACATGTATTCGAGGATTGTGTGCAAATCAACACCTCTGCTTAACCAATCTTTTATTTGTAGTTTCTGAAGTTTTCTGGCAAAACCATAACATTTATTGTCTTTCCTGCTTCAAGGATTTTGTACAAATCACCAGGGTAATAGCATATTACCAACTTGTAATTATAGCTTCATTATGGTTGTCTGGAGACTCTAGTACCGCGTAGTTGATCAAAACGTGAGATGTGGTTCTTAATCAGCTAGTTTTTTTTCGGTCCTATCATAATAAATTCCGAGGATTTTTTCAGCTCTTCGAGTACAATAGTGAGCGGTAGCAGAAGAAAGAGATGCGCTATGTATTGTCTTCCTCCGCAGTGGTGCGGAACTGTTGTATTCTTTATCTGTGGGCGCAGCAGCTTAATGGTTTATTTTTGTGCTGTCTATCAGCCATGGATCAAACATACTGTTTTATCTAAGCCAAATGTGGTGTGCTTGGGGTCAAGCCTGTCGTTACGGAGCTAGCTTAGGCAATTTTAAAGTAAGCTTTAGCATAAGAGCAAATAAAATAAAAGTCACGTGTGAGTTTTGCCTCATATCCTTCCTTACGCAGTTGCTATGGCGTATTTGCCAAGTTGCAGGGAATTGTATTGCTCGTGAGCACTAAATCGAGTCTTTGTGTGCAGTGCGCCATTCACGATGCAAATGTATACGTACATTATGGCGATTTACTTGCTTGTGCAATGGGCTTGCACCGTACTATCGAAGGTACTGAAGGCTTCCAGAACTAAATTATTAAAGCTTCTTCCATTGGCGCGTGGTCACTCAATTTGCATTCAGCATGAGACACATTTTTATATTTAAGTTAACAAAACTATAAAAGCTTGAGGTGAACTCTAACAAGAAAACACACGCAGGTGTTACTATTCCATACATCATATATGACCCCTGATAACGCTTCGAAGCCGACATCGTAGGACCAGGCGTAATCTACTTCCTCTGCAACAGACCTACCGCAGCAAAGCTACTTTTGCATTAGGGCCAAGGAAGACAAGCTCGAGGAGCTTTACATCTCAGGGATACTAACTCGCTCAAGGCTAGCTTTACAAACTTGAGCTTTTTTTAACATGCAACATACACGTCTTAATGAGACCAGTATCTAAAACACAATTTCCTTTCACAAGGACTAAGGCTCTAGCAACAAATTTTATACACAGCAGGTTATAGACTGATTAATTTAATGTTTATCTTTGGGCACCAAATATAGAAGCATCTACTCTACATGTAGTTCTATCGCATGCAACAGACTAACTTCAAAAGTTTTTCCGTAAAACGAGGGTCTCTATCCGAGACGATCGCCACAGGCAATCCTGTTGTCAAAACACACGATCGGGGTCATACCTCGCATCCAGGTCCAAGGCCAAATAGCGCTCCATGCTGTTAAAGTCCAAGAGCTTTACATTTAAGTCCATCGAGACTTTGAATACTGTAACACGCGTACCCTTCGCTAAGCAAACTGTGACTGTGTCGCGTTTTCACGCGCTCTACGCGCTTCAGTATGCTACTGTTTACCTGCTACGGTAATACGCTCAAGCCTTCATTTTGAAGCGTCGTTTACAATTTGAGACCATTGCAATGCATGTCTTCAAATTGTCGTAATCATATGAGCTTACATCCCATGCTTAAAATTGAAGCTGCTTTGTACATTTTTCCATACTGACGTCACTACGAAAGTGCTCTGTGAACAACTTTTCTATAACGACCTTATGGTCACTATAATTTGATGCATTTCATGTGTTTTGTGTAACGATGTTAATGCTATATTCAACTCGAATTTTATAGCAACAAGAAGTTGCTCAAAAGTGACAGTTATTGCCTATTGGCCTTGATGTGTTTTGGTCGGATCCAATGTCATTCAAACTACCACTTAAATCATGGTCCTTTAAATCTTCATTTCGAATAGATTAAGTGTTGGGCTCAGTTATAGCCAAACTGAAAGCCACACAAACAAACCATCAATATACTCCATATGAATTCTTGAATAATTTGGTGATTTATACCTCTTGACGATTTTTACTAAAAGTTGTTAAATGACAGCTTTACGGTTGTATATAAAATGACATTACAATTTTACATTCGTTTGACTTGCCAGTATGTGTCTTCTCATTTTTTATATCTAAACTACGAAAACTTTGACTTTACCGTCGAGGTTCCTAATTTTAGAAGCTTATCGGTTCTTATCAGAAAAAAGATGATTGGCGTGACCGACTTTCTTAAAAGTCTTTTTGCTCCGATCAGAAAAATCAATATTGTACACGTAAAATAGCTGAAAATCCTGGACGGACAGCATTTGCCTACCATGATTCTGGAAACACCAAAATTACTACAATCGAATGCCTTGTGACATTTGAGCTTGTTTTATATAGCCATATAATATGAGCCTTCTAATGCCTTTTACTTGCACTAAGAACAAAACGACGGGGTTATACAAAGATGTGTATTGTACATACACACCTGTCACACCATTGTGTTGTGGCTGTACTTGGGTACATTGGTGGATTGATGTGATCGCATTAAGGTACAAAGGGTCGCATCGTGGTAGGGAGACGTAGTCATTATACTTTGTTCGGTTTTATCAATACATGTGTTATTATAATAAGAAGGCTACAGAGCCATATAAAGTATAGCGTAGCCGCTTCAGTTTTTAGTGCCACAAGATAAGCATTATTTTCATCCTTTTAATATATGCTGCGTAAACCATTTGTATCTAGAGCCTTAACCTTTGTGGAAAGGAATTTGTATCTTGGATACTGGTCAATTGGAGACTTGGTCATTACCACCAGAAGACACAAGCTTGTAACGCTAGCCTTGGTAGGGTCGTTAACCCTAAAATGTAAGGCTTCTGAAGCTTGTCTTCCTCTCGTAAGCAGTTTTGCTACGGGATCTCAGCTACATAAAAAGATAAAGAAATTATCTGCCTCATAGTATCATTGATAAGTGCCTCGAATGCGTTCAGTCACGCGTATAATGTCGCAGTCGAGGTGGTCTGGATGCTATTTGCTAGCAGGTGCCTCTGGTATGCGCTCGGATGCTGCTTGGCATTGTTTAAGCCCATGAAATATCGTAGAGGCTGACAGCAAGGCCTGCTAAAGCGAAAAAAAGCCGTCGCCTTAGCGACGGGGTGTGTCTTGTGGCAAGGTTTTCTTAGCCACCGCATACGCGGTTCTTTTAACGACTTGTGCGACCGTCGAGCTATGGTGTGTGGCGCGCGACGCCGCCAACTGAGAATCAAGCAATTTGGCCGAATACTGTACGATAAATTTTCCATTTCAGCTCATAATAAATGGTATCTACGCTTCGATTTACAAAACCATCAGCCGTGAAAATGAATGAAAAACTCGGAATGAATTGAAGCTCTGACCTATTTGGATATGCAATGGACAAGAGAGTACTTAGAATACGTACAGCGCACTCACTACGCTTGCAAAACATTGAGCAGATTCTTTAGTAAATTAATTTGATGTTAAGACCAATCAAGCCCAGAGTTAATGACAACGGTGCGCCGGCACATGCTATGGCAGCGCTTCTAGCGACTATGCTATTTTTAAGCACACACCCTTTGAACATCAAGTAAGCGGTTTTACCGGCTTCTTTCGCGCATAAGCGGAGGAGTTAAATGAAGGGTAAGCTATTAGTCTGCCTCGTCAACAACGAAGTCCCTTAAGCGTGACTAGACGACTTTTCAGCACATAGGTGAGCTGTATCAAAATTGCAAGACTGATTTATGCTGAATAAATATATATTTAACTACCTCTTGGTTCAAATAAATCACGTTTGGACGAGAGCTATGATGATATGCGCATCCCTGTGTTGGAGCCTGAAGTAGAAATTATGATAACGACCGTGACGTTTTCACTGGTTGCGTCCTGAATAAACTACTTCAGTGGCTACCACACTTTGTGTATCTCACACATACATGTGGTTGGTACCTTAATTCAAACCCTGTGTAATGTACACACACTTGTAGTGGGTAGACTTATAAGTGTACCTCACCCACATGGAAGAGGTTTCTTTGGTGTACCACACTAATAGCATTCTTATCTTGCCTTTGGAAATAACTGTTGGCAAACTGACCTTTAAAAAAATTACCATTACACATGCGCTTAAGCGCGATGCACACGCGTTTACATTATTTTATAATAACTTTTTTTTTTTTGATTTAAAAAAAAAAAAAATTTTAAAAAAAAATTTAAAATTTTTTTAAAAAAAAAAAAAAAAAAAAAAAAAATTTTTTTTTTTTTTTTTTTTTAAAAAAAAAAAAAAAAAAAAATAAAAAAAAAAAAAAAAAAAAAAAAAAAAAAAAAAAAAAAAATTTTTTTTTTTAAAAAAAAAAAAAAAAAAAAAAAAATTTTTTTTTAATATTTTTAAAAAAATTTTAAAAAAAAAATATAAAAATTTTTTTTTTTTTTTTTTTTTATTATATAAAAAAAAAAAAAAAAAAA